ATCATTAAATAATTCCGAATTTTACTATAAAAATAAAAATAATTTTGAAAAAACAGGTTTTTTTGAAATTCTCGAATACCGTTTGAGTTAAAGAGCTAAAAATTGATGCGAATTATTTTCATTCGACACCAAATCGACCCCCTAAATATAAGTTAAAAAAGCCATGGGGGCAGAATTCCCATATTAATCCGGCTATACCCTTTAAAATTATAAGGAAATATTGACCTATTTTTAATAAAACCATAAAAATGTAAATTTATCAAGTAGCAATAAGATGAATATGTAATTTTAAAACCATTGGATACATTTTAACATCGAGTATTTAAAATTTTCCAAGCAAGTAGAACAAATCAATCGTGATAAATGACAGCAGAAGTTAAATAAATGTCTTTTTCATCCGGTTTTAATTATCTCAATGGAATTTTTAAAGCATAAAAGTTGTTTCTATATAATTATATGTCAAATAGGATTAATTGAAATATTTTAAAAATATAACTTTTGATTTTTCTTTAAGATTCTGGCCTCGAAACAAATTGCGTTTTTAAATGTTAAAAAATTATAAAAAACTATTTTCAAAAAAGTTATTTTATGGGTAAAGATAATATTTATGATTAACTTTGGAATAAATTATATATTTTATGTAATAGTAAATGTAATTTATCATTTACTTTAACGATCGTATTACATTTCAATATCTAGACAATATGTATATACCAAAAAATGTCAATATATATTTAAAAATTTATTTTGATCTCTCTCATACAATAATTCGAAAAAGTTATCAATGTAAAATCATACTGTTAATTAAAATTTGAATTCGTGGTTGAAAAATTCAATAATATTTAAATTTCTTATGAATTTATTTTTGATTAATCGATTTGTCTGTCTGGCGAGTTTATAATTATCGAGATAATTTTAATTAGAAAAATTTGCTGCATTCATTACATCTTCCAGATAATATTAAAACATTTAAATATATTCATTCTCAAAATTATAATTAATTAGAAGATAAATAAAAAAATTAGTCAAATATATAATAATTTTTAATAAATATTAATATTTTATTACAGTAAGTCAGTTAAGAAATACGATTTGGTCGTCATGTAAATTTTGTTCTTTATTCAGATATACATGAAGAATATTCACGTTTTATTTTTTTATAGAATTTTATAGTCTCATCATCTACCCTTAATTTATATCAAATAAACTTACTATTTATTTCAATAATTTGATATTTAATGTATATTTAATAGATTTAAAAGAGTAAAGTAAAAGTTGATCGATCTTCGACGGTATAAATAAAATAAAATTTGTTAGGGCATAAAAAATTTTTATATCCGTCATAAATTTGCAATAGTTGCAATTGTAAATTTTAATTATAATACAGTGCCGCGACAGTAGCAAACCTAGTGGTGAATTTATGAATTTCAAAGAAATAAAACGCACAACAACTCCCTGTTGGTATTTTCCGTCACTATAAAAATGTGACCGAGTTTACAGCTGATATTTGTACTCTCCTGTCTCAAAAGCCAAAAAATAAATAAATAATCCGTGATTAATACCAGTTTTATTGATTAAGTTTTTGAAGTTTTGTGGCTTTTATATTTTTTACTAATATTACACTTTTTGTAATCAATTAACATAAAATAAAAATGCATTGCAAATTTTTTGACAAGCCATTTAATTATGCCAACGACATCACCTGTTGTTCGCGTAGAATCCAAACAATCAATAGTGATTAAATTTTTCAATACTCTTATTTCTGCTGATAAATAAAAATGATTATATCAAAATGCCATAATTTTATTCAAAGTTTTTAATACTCAGGTAAATAATTTATTATTACTGTTATTTTCATTTAACATAAATAATTATATATATATATTTTTTTTTCATTTCAGATATATTTATTTTACGAGAAAAATTGCGATTCATATATACATACTTTAAAGTATTAAAGGAATATACATAATAATAATAATAATAATAATAATAATAATAATAATAGTAATGATGGAGCAAGTAATACCAATGAGCTGGTTGAATAAAATTTTCCTGATTTTAAGTTTGGGATGTGCAATATTTTGTCTGATAATAGAACAATGGCTCACTGTAACATCATTATCTATTTATATTTTATTGATATGGTGTATAATTGTCATAATAATATCAACTTGGCTGAGCTGCTATATTTTAAAAATAACATTAAAAGCTGTCTCACCATTTAATATCAACCCAATAGATAATGTTATTAAAAATATGTTAAATATTAAGCCAGAGACTAGTAATGATACAGTGATATCTCCTGAAAATTTACTTATAAATAACGAAAAATTATCGAATGCGACTGAAGAGAAAAAACTGGATGGTAACAACGAAAAGGAGACTAAAATTAAAGCATCTGGCAAGATAGAGGATATTGATAAAATAATAAATGAAATTAACGATAAGTTTATTGATAACTGGTACTCAATTATAAGCGATGATAAAACATTTGACGAGGAATCCAAAGAAATTCTCAAGACAGTTTTTGAAAAAATTTACAGTAAAATATTGTTGGTAAATAAAATAAAATTATCTCATAAATTTGCAGATATATTGTTACTACATTTAAAAGAATACAGACGTGCTTTACGCCGCGTTGAAAAAGGTAAAGTTAAAAATATTGAAGAGGCTTATAGGTGTATACATCCAGGTTCTCGGAGTAACTCAACATTAGAACATACTCTACATAGTATTATAACAATAATAATTCGTGAATTTCTTCCGTTGGAATTAACAAGTTCACTACCATGTAAATTATTATTATCAATACTTGCCAAAAAGTTGTCTCTAATACTTGATCAAGTATCTTTACCTCAATGGATTTTTATCACAATAATTAATTATATACAATTAAGTGAAGATCCAATATCATGTAAAGATAAAGATGATGGTGTGATATCCCAAAGTTTAAATACAGGTTCAACTTCAGCGACAGCTGTAGTGATAAAAAGACAGTTGCCAAAGACAGTATTAACTAATGATAATAATCCAGTTATTGAAATAACATCACCAAAAATAGTTACATCTTGTAAGAAAACAGATCGGATATCTCTGTGTCTTGACGGTCTTTCGACAATTGGACACAAAGGATTGTGGAATGACTTGAATGATGTACAAATTGATTATGAAAATTCTGATAATTGTGATGATGATCATATTTCGCCAGTTTATGAAGAGCCTACAGACTTTGCAACGACAATAGCACGTTTGAGAAATTTACTTCAGCAAAAATCTACAGCCAACTCTCCGTTACCTGTTGAAGAAAAAACTTTTACGTATGACTGTAATCAGTTTTTCAATTTAGTAATTCCATGGACTGAGTTTCACACATCAACTGATGGATCGCAACAATTACTTTATTGTATTCAGTTTGACGATGTTGAACAACATGGCGAGGACATGTTTGAAACGACAACGGCTACTGTTAGACGACAGTATGTTGATTTCGTTCAATTGCACAAAAGCTTAGAAGAATTACCAAATTATTCGGCCGTCATGGCGGAGATACGTTTACCAGATGGCGGTCGCTTGGAGATGGAGAATTATTTAAAGACACTGTGTTTAAAATTGTCACCTGATACACCAACGCAGTTAAGACATTTTTTAAGGCCAAATAACGGTGGTAGCAAAAAAGCAGATGCAGTCGCTCCAAGATTTGATAGATTATTAGCTAAAACCGTAACTGGAGTTTTTAATACTTTAAGAACTGTAGTGCCAGGTTTTGAAATGGACCAAGAAGATGACGGTGTCCCGATGCCAACACTAATGCCTTTATCTGACATTCCATGGAGATTCGTTGAAGATATTAAATCTAAGAATATCGCTAATGAGTTAGAAATTTTATTAGCCGATAGAGTAGACTATTGTTCTGTTGATACTGCATACGAAGCTGTTGAATCTGTTGAAGGTAATTGTGACTCAGAACTTCTTTCACACTGGTTAAAAATAGTCAACACACCTTATGACGAAGAGCTTGAAGAATTAGATAGTAAATTAACAATGACTTGTATATGTATTGATTTAGTTTGTGAAATTTTAGCTGGTATTGAAAGTAGTAATACTTTAAGACAAGAAGCTGTTGTTAGATGGACAAAATTACTTTTTGGTAATATTACTGAGTCATTAATTAATAAATTTATTTTAAATTTTTATAGTTATATTGATTTAATGTCAATATTTTCGAATCAACAAGATGATACTTACAATGAACCTATTGATAGTGTTGAAAACAAATTGTTTGTTATATTGTCGGCTAAAGTAACGAGAGAACTTAAGTTGATTTTTGGCGAGGATGATTTTAATAAAATTATTAAATTTATATTACAATCGTTAGAATGTAAAAAAGTTAATCTTGATTTATTGCTACAATTTGTTGATATTTTAGCATCTGAATTATTGATGGTATCTAAATCTAACAATTTAACGACATAAATAATTTTAAACAAAGCATTTATTTTTTTATGTTCTACTTAAAAAAAAAAAAAAAAAAATTATCAGTATGGAATAAAAATGTCTAAGTACCTGATTGCACTGTCAAGAGAAAATGGAGTGACTATAATTATCATTAAAATATCTTAGAATAAGTGATTATTATAATCTTGTATTATTTTTAATTTAATCCAAAAATTTATTTCCATTTTCTCTCAAGTCATATATTAAAGAACTATTATGTTACCACTTTGTATTTTTTAGCTAACTTTTTTTTATAATGTTATTGAAAATAAATATATTTTGATTCTCACAAGAAATCTCATTACTAGCTGTTGTATGAAAAAAGTGTAATTTATATTTTTTTTGTTTTTACATAAGTCTCATATCGTTTTAAATTACAATAAATCAGATATGAAGCTAATAATATGAAAAAAAAAAAAAAAAAGAATACATTACAATAGAAGATACAAAGAAAATAATCTATTGATTATTATATATTTATTGCTTGAAATGTTTTCACTTCTCTAGTCCTTGGAATTGTTATCAATTTGATTTTTTTGCTTTTCAAGTTGTGCCCTTGAGAAAAAAGAAAAAACATAATTGATTATTATTTTTGGTAAATTTTTAAATGTTGAGATTTCTGAGATCCAATGCAAACATCACTCAAATTAAATAGTTACAATATTCTTTGTATTTTTTACACAAATATTTTTATTGTTTAGAAAAAAAAATGACGCATTGTGCCATTAACTATTTATGTAAGACAAAAATAAAATAAATAATGAATATAATTGCTTGATTAATTTTCTAATGCATTAACTCTAAAACTTAATTAACAAGTTAGATAAATAATAGTCAATTTTTTTTAAATCAAACTTTAAAAATAATTAACCATTTTTGAGATAGTTGGAACAAACAAGTGCCGAAATGTTAAATGAAATAACGGTACGGTCAAAATTGCAATCAGGATGTAATACCTGGAACAAGATACGTAATATTAAAAAAAAAAAAATATTTATCATAATTAATTCATTTAATTCAACACGAGTCCAAACTATTTTATCATTCAATTAAAAATTTTGTTAATAAATTAATAATAAAATTGGATTGAAATTCATAATATTAATGACACATTGACGTAGCTTGTTATTTTTAGTATTTAAAAAAAAAAAAAAAAACATTAGTCGAGGTAATGCTTGCAAGACATCAGAAAGCCAACTCCTGTAACTAAAAATTAATTTAAAAAAAATACCTCAATTGATGATTAAAGTCATCCTCAATATCATCATCATCCCAATTATCCTCCCATACACTTATATCTTCATTATCTTCATCCTTTGCTGTCCAATCTACAGAAAATATATGAAAAAGCAAAATTAGTACAAATAAATGAATCAGCACATTAGGTATCAATGACTATATTTAAATTCACGATAAAAATTACTTTCAGCAGGAAATTCCTCGAACTCATCATCTTCTTCAAGTAGTCCTAAGTCAACCTTAGTTTTGTCTGCTTTGTTGTCAGTCATTTTGAAAGAATAATTATTAAATTTTACAATAACAACGAGCTCTTATAAATGCAAGATCTTTCTAGATCAGTTTTAGTTGCAGGTTAGGGTAGACAGGAACAATAAGGTATCTACACAATGAATTGTAAATAAAATTTATCCTGCGGAAGGAGTGGGGAGATACCTTACTCCGTGGTATTTTATTCTCCTCTATCTTGCACGTAATTGGTAACGGTTTGAAAATATTCTCCTCAACCTTCAATACTATTGGTTAAAATTACTTTGACTTGTTTGCTTATCTGACTACAACGACCTCTACAATGACGTCTGTCACGACATGTCGGAAAAAAAATTAATTTATTCATGTGATTGTAAATTTAAATTGCAAGTTATACGCGCGCGCTCTCATCCTAACCAATAAAGAATCAGGATTCACTTTTTCGATTTTTTCGATACTAAACTGACTTCAGTTCAATCATCATCATGAATTTTACACTTCAGGAAGGACCGTCACAACACAAGTTTGTGACGTCATATTACCAACACTACTAATGTCCCACACATAGGGATGTGTTTTGTATTCACACATATATGTATATATACATTGTGATGATCAGTACAAAGCAAAGCATACCAAGTAATGGTATGATTTGTGTGACGATAGAATGAAATATAAAATATTTTTATTAATTTACATAAATAATGAGTTATGTATACTTTGAATAATTTTTTACAATTACTGACTATTTATTTTCTTTACTTATTTACTAATTAAACTTTTGAAGTGTTTTTATTGTGTTGAATGTAAAAATTTATCTATGAGTTTATCAAGTTTAACATAAATAAACAATCAGGTATATTTCTTTGTTTTTAAATTAATTAAAAATTTTTAATAATCATGAATATTCATTTTTTATTTTATCAGGTGTATGGAATTTATAAATTTTGAATTAAACAGTGGAGATGCATTCATCACGTACACCAAGGAAATTTCCTGTTTTTGTATTTCCTCAGAGTATTACTTTTTATTTAGATGATCAGTCAACACATAAACAAGTATTAACACTTTATAATCCTTATGAATTTCCAGTTAAATTTAAAGGTAAGTTGATTTTAATGTATAAATTATTTTAGTAATAAATTTTTATTTCCAATAATTCCATATTGAAATTTTTCAAGTGCTAAGTACTGCTCCAAATAAATATAAAGTAGTTGATCCTGAAGGAACAATTAAGTCAAGATGCTGTGTGGATATTGTTGTAAGACACACGGCTTTACTAGCTGCCAATTGCAATGTAGTAGATAAATTTAGGATTCAAATGCAAGAACATCCTACAAAACAAGTAATTATATGAAAAAAGATTTTTTTTTTTTTATAATTCTTAAGTAATTAACTTGATAAAAATTTCGTGTTAGAAAAAAATTACATTTTGCCAGAGTATTTAAATTTTTAAACACTAATAATATTTTTAAAAATTAAATTATATTTTATTAATAATAGGTAATAGGAAAACGAGATGTCGAAGCTAAACTCTTATCTGGAGTCAGTGATCCAGGAAGACGTACTCCAGATCCTGAGATGTTTCAACAATTACCTCTTAATGAAACTAGACAACAAAGAAATTATTCATTAGCTTCTCAAGCACGGACAATAGAAAGTATGTTATTTTATCCTGTGGCTTTAAATTTTTTATTTTAAATTTAAATTTATTGATTTTTATTATTTTTTTTAGGAGGAACGAATTATATAGCACTCATTGCGGGAATTGTCTGTATCATCGGGTTACTGTTACCTACCGAAGGAGAACAAAGTCTAAGCATACCTGAATATCTCTATCTATCAGTTAATTTCAAACTTATATTGTCTTTTGTATTAGGTAAGTTTTTAAAATAGATTTACGTATTTTTTAAGTTATAGATTTCAAAAGTTCAACACTATTTAATTATTTCTATTTGTCCACAGGATTGGTTACAATCATAATTTTGAGATTGTAATCGCTTACAAAGATTTCATGGAAAAAATTTTTACATAATTTAAAATTTTAACGTAATTAACGAGAAAAACGCACAACATACGTAAGAATTGTTTCAAGTGATATTACGTAGTTTTTTTTTCTTTTTTCGACATAACACAGTTGTTTTCTTTTCCAACGCTAGTCTGTGAGAATATATTGATAGAATTTTACGTCATTTTCCTTTCACTCATTTGAATACATTTATAACTATGAATGTAATATTTTTTTATTTATCACATAAAAAAACGCTTATTAATTTAATACAGATCGTGGTATGCTATATTTACTCTATTTTGTAAATATTTTTAAATAATTAATTCTGACATACATAAAGTTTATATAAGGGACTTTTATCTATAATTTAATCTTTGATGAAGATGTCACTAAAGAATGATAACTGATAGAATACTATTTTGTGTGTCATGAAATTTGTAAATTAAGTTACATATTACTCCTAAAAGTACGAAAATCATAATAAAATAAAGAAAATTTATTTATAAAATACATATTTTTTTTTTATATTTGATTTTTTTATTTTTATCAGAAATAAAAAGATTTGAAAAAAAATTTACATTAATATCAACATGTGCTGCTGCTGCTTTTTTTTCTTCGTAACTTTAGTAACAAATTATTTTTTAAATTTTGTTTGCCAACGATATGTTGCATGCCAAATATTTTTCTTTTTTCTAGTAATCACAATATTTTTTTTGTCATTTATATTTTTTAACAAAACTTGAATTTTAAAAAATAATTGACATTAATAAGAATCACGAGCTTCAATAATTTTGTAGAGTAAATTTTGACATTTTAATTAATCATTTTATAAAAAAAAAAAAAAAAAAAAAAAAAAAAAAAAAAAAAAAAAAAAAAAAAACAAAAAACAAAAAATACTTAATACACTTCAATTTGTAGCGTTTTTTTTTTTTTTTTTTTTTTTTTTTTTTTTTGTTTTATTCTCAGTCACTTTGATAAGCGCTTAAAGCTTAACTGCTCCTTCACTTTGGCTTTTAATAATTGCGTGTTTAAGTCTTTCATTATGTGGTTTATAATCCATTAAAGTATCGGAAGGTAACTGTAGTACACGTCGTAGAGTTTCTTTAATTCGGCCAGTCGTTGCTGTATCGGAAGATGTTTTATTCCATACACACACTTTATCTTCCTGTAAAGAAAAAAAAATTGACAATGAAACTTAAATTCCTTTTAAAATTATTCTTTAATAAATTAATATTGAATTTACCTGAAATCTTACAGATACAACAGCCCCACAAATTTCTTCGCCGACCATAAATTGCTCTCCTAACATAGCTAGAATAAGATTCTCCCAGCAACGATCTACTGAACCTTTTCTCAACGTAACTGCCCACTTTCCACCCTGTCTATTAGCTAAATCCTAAAAACAATAATTCGTAACATTATTATTCAATTGCCTTTAATATATAGCTACTAAATAAAGAATATATATTTTTTTACATACTTCCCACATAGGTTTGATTCCATTTTTAAACAGATGAAAATCTGATGATGGTGTAAGCTCCGAAGGTCTTGCTAAATGACTGTAGAGTGCCCAAAATTGTTCAACGCTACCGAATCGTCCAATAAATTTTAAATTTTCAGCATAACGTCTATCACTTTGTTTGCCAACTGATCTCCTACTATACCATAATGTATAACCATACTGTAAACGGTTTTCATTTGGACCTATTTCTATGGGAGGCTAAAAAATATTTAATAATTATTCTAAATAAAAAAAAATAATATATTAATATTTAAAATAATTAATTAATCAAATCATTTTTTTAATGATTAAATTGTTACCAAACGCAATTAAAAAAAAAAATTACCAGTCTAATTTTCTGAGCTTGGTTGTTTGAGTCTTCGTCTCCACTTTCATCACTTACTTTAACACTAAAATGAAATAATTTTAATGAAATAAACAATAATAAAAATATACTTTTAATGTTTTTAATAATTGATAACAAATATTCAATCATTTTATTGAGCAATAATGAATTTCAAACACAAAATGTCATATACTAAAGAAACAATATTTGATATTATTGAGTACTTGCATGGTTAATAAAATAAAAAAAAGTGATAATGTGACAATCATGAAATAAAATAAAAAATAACTCACGTGTCGTATTTTTCAGACATGTTGATTTATTTATAAATATATATTTATATAGATATATGAGCAATGTTAATAAAATATTATAAACAATATCTTTTAACAGGTACTAATTAATATTATAAAAGCTATTTGGCTCTGAGATAAATATTTTTAACTAGTTATCTCTTTTTTTCTTTATCCAACAACGAAGTAAGTAGTATGTACACGCTGATATACTCGATACACGTTTTTTATTTGAGAGAATAATGTTTTCCCATGAAAAATGCAAAGGTCAGTTCCAATCTGTTCAACGTAAGATTCAACAATATAAATTTACATTGTTGGATAACTGTTTTAGTTATTTTATTAGACGATAGAATGCGTTTATTCAAAATTCCATTACTCAATCATATTTTTTTTTCTACTTCATTGATAGAGAATTACTACTTTATTGACTGAGAATTAAATACTAACGCTTTATTTATTATTTTTAAAAATGTTCATACAAAATAACTCTTACGGACCGTAACCAATTTGGCGTCGAATATTAATTTTTTTTCAAAAACTAAATGCCAAAAAATTGCTCATGAATTGCTCTTCCGATATAAACAACAATGCTCCGCTGCTATAATTAATAATTAATTAATTAATCGTAATTAAAAAATCAAAATTTAATTCCCGATTATCTCTAATTGTGAGGAATAATGTTAATTGTAATAAGTGCCAAAAAATTGCTCATCCTTTTTTCTATTGGGAATGATAGTTATTTTGTGCGTAAAATCGTTTTTAATTAATTAATACTATAAATAATTATATTGCACCTTTAAACCTGCAAATGATAATTGTGACGTCATCGTCGCGACAATTTGAAAGTATAGAGTAAATTTTCTTTTATGAAATATCTTATACTAATAAAGAAAGTCAGTTTTGTTTGTCCTATTTAATATTGACTCGGAAAAGGTCCGCATGTTAAAAAAATATTAGTAACTAATTTTACAAATTGCTAATTAAATAATTAACTTTTTTAGGATTATTTGTGTATGAATTCAAAAAAAATAATTTTATCTATATACAGGTCAATTCTTTATTTTTATTTCATTTCACCATAATTCAGTTTTTAAAATATTTAAAATATAATAGATATTATCAAATTAAGGAGTTATGTCTACTTGTAAGTTCGAAAAAATGTGTTTTTTTGTTTATTTTTTCTGGAGAGGCTTTTAATTAAATATAAATGTACATAAAATATATATATTCCTCACCGACTTTGAAAACATCGTTTCGAGAAAAACGCATTTTAAGTTTTGGCTATTATACGCTCATTACTCCGAAACTATTTATCGGATTACTTTGAAATTTACAGACAATATTCTCGAATATATATATATATATATATTTAAAATATGCAAAAAAAATTTCGATTTTTTCAAAATTACAAGTGAATATAACCCCTTAAAACATAAAATAATAATGAAATTTTAATATTAGTTGATTACAAGGGTTAGGTTTTTAAACCAAGTCATCAATTTTTACCCAATTATTGTTGATCGATCTTGTATAAGCTACATAATGACCGACTTTATTTAAATATACTGGTGGGACAAACTCTACTACACCAAATAATAAGTAATTTTTGTCAAGTATCTTTAATTTTGTTGGAATACTACTTAAGTTCTCGGTTAAACGTTGATTATTATGAAGTTTTGAGAGAATTCGAAGGTAAATAAAAGTCACTTATGTCTAAGCTTAAAAATACATTAGTAAAAGTAGATTTTTGGACAGAGTTTTGTGAACACGACCTGCAGTAAAGGGATGATTCTACTTTTAATACATCTGAAACACTGTCCTGTAATTCAATAATCCAATAATTTCAGCATCATAAAAATAATTATTATTTCATAATTAAACATTGAGCCTAAATAGAATAACCATAAAAAGTTTGTTTACATGGACATATACGCATGTATATAACTTTGTTATGTCCTCCTCCTGGTGGACAACGATAGAAATCTTTATTTAAATTTAAAATTACCGACATGGTCTTTGATTCGCCCGGGAATATAGAAATACTCAACTTTATCAACGGAAATTTATAGGATGAGGAAGATGTTAATATGTGAATATTAATTAAATAAATAATTGGACGGAATTAGATTAACTAAATTGAAGTATGTATTCAAAGGACTTTACAAAAAATTAGAAAACGAGGTGATAAGTCTGAGCTCGAATACTATTCTGGATATTCTCAAATATGTCATCTAAGTTTGACTCATATCACTAGAAGTGGCGGGGGCAACTCTCCCTACTATCTAAGTATTCTGTTGTACTGGACTTTTGACAACGTTGATTGGTCCTTCTCCTTCCTACTGGGTCCTAGCTGTGCTCCTACTCAGGTACTCGTCCTTTCCGACCGTTGTTGAACTACCTGGGCTCGCCAGCAGAATTGTCCGAAGTTTCATCATCCCTGTGGGAATTTATTGGACTGAGTGGTTGAACCGGACTCGTCATAAATGAGGGTCACTAATCGGCTCAGACTATCTTCTCGGATTTTTATACAGCATTTTATATTTTTTAGGAGATTAAGTTATATTTTCTAATTTCTATAGTTACTTAAGTCGAGAGCAATTAGATAGTAAATTTATATATTTATGGCTTAATCCTCTTTACTGTCTAATTATTCCTAGTCTATTGTGTTGAATTGTCAGAGAGTAAAAGTACATTTTAACAATAACCTTTTTTACTAATAGCTAAAAGTCCTAGACCTAGGTTGCGGGGTTTTCCCAAAAGTTTCCTTATTATAAAAATAGATTTAATGTTAAATTTCCCGCTATCAAAGGGTTATCATCAGTGCTCGCCTGGCGGCGCCAGTCGCGATTCAACTAAACCGTGGTATGACATCACAACTTAATACATCATTATAGCTTGTCCTCATAAGAACGACAATCAAATTGTCGCGACGGTGACGTCACAATTGTCATTCGCAGGTTTAAAGGTGCAATATAATTATTTATAGTATTAATTAATTAAAAACGATTTTACGCACAAAATAACTATCATTCCCAATAGAAAAAAGGATGAGCAATTTTTTGGCACTTATTACAATTAACATTATTCCTCACAATTAGAGATAATCGGGAATTAAATTTTGATTTTTTAATTACGATTAATTAATTAATTATTAATTATAGCAGCGGAGCATTGTTGTTTATATCGGAAGAGCAATTCATGAGCAATTTTTTGTCATTTAGTTTTTGAAAAAAAATTAATATTCGGCGCCAAATTGGTTACGGTCTCTTACCGCTAATACAAGTATGGTTAATATTACAGTAATATTCTTACTTGATTATATATTAAATATATTATTTCAGCAAAATAAAGTAACCAGACAATGAAAATTAAATTAGCCGACATCTGAAAATTTTTATAATTTATTTTATTGAAAAAAATTTTAATTATAAAAAAATTAAAAGAAAAAATTTCACAATTTGAAGATTTGAAAAATTATCTGTGCAATTTTTTCAAGTATTTTTTTACTAGTAATAATGATGAAATATAATCAAAAATTCTTGAACGTCGGCTAATTTTAGTATCATAACCAGACAAGCATAAACAACATAAGTACAAAAATTTGTTTATTTTATTTACTAATATAAATAATACATAATCATTAATGATAATACCGTGACAGTTACCGAATAAATGACAAAAAAAAAAATGCAGCTAATTTCATTACAGATACCTTGCGAACATTTTAAACACTGATTATTTTTTTTTTTTTTTTTTTTTTTTTTTTTTTTAAATAATTCAATGACTTATTAAGTATACAAAAATTTATTTAATTAATTTTTTATAAACTAGTCCCATTTCTTCAAGATCCATATGATGAGCAATTAATGATTCTAGTGTGTAAGTTATTCAAAGGTGTTTTTGAATAAATTAGAAAATAAAAAATTTTTTAAATTATAGATAAAATTTTTTATGATACCGAATTTGAAAAACATTTGATAATTTTTTTAACAAATAATTTTTGACAAGAAAAACTTATTTAAAAAATTCCATCTTCAAATGCTTCAAAAATTAAAAATGCAATTTCTTAAAAATAATTTTCTATAACTAGTTTCTATTTCAAAAAATTGTTAAGTGTGCTAATTTTAGGTATTTATTATGATACTGAAATCAGCAGATGTTTAAAATTTTTTGATTTATTTCATTAATTAAATAAAAACTGAAGAAATATTTAAAAAAAATTGCACTTATAGCGTTTCATATCTTTTACATAAGGAATTTTTTTCTTTATTTTTTTGTAATAATTTTTTTAATAAGAAAAATATCCTGAAAATTGTCAAATTTCTGCTAATCTCAGTGTCATTTTTATTACTATTTTTAAAATCTAAAATCAGGTCTAAATGATTTTAATGGTGAAAATATATAAATAGATCTATATATATATATTTTTTTTTAAGTACAAATATATGTGTACATAAATGATATTTTAATAGTTATTATTAATAATGTTCTTGAGTTTGAATATTATGGAACTTCTGAAAGTGACTTTGCAAACCATTCATTATTTCATTACGTTGATACATGACTTCATTGTGACAAAAAGACGAAAAAATCATAGGGCATTCATAATCGATGCTTTCAATACCTCTAGTACTTGTTCCATCTTTTAAAAATTTAAATGAAGATTTAGTATTGAAACAGGCATTTTTTTCAAAAAAACATGTTTGGTGATCAGAATCAATCAAGTATGCGTCGCCGTCACGTTTTACTGAAAAATGCGCGATAGCTGAATTGTGAATTGATGGAATTTGACTTAAATGCTCCTTGTAACGAACAGTATACTTCCAATGATCGAGATTTCCAGTTTCATCAATAATAAGAAATTCCTCTCTGAAAGAAAAATGATATATTTTAAATTAATATTTAAGTATTGAGAAAAATAAAAAAAAAAGTTTATACTTACAGAGTTGGATTTAAAGTTTTCATATTACTAAAATCAGCTACGAATTCCCATACATATTCTGGTATAGTATTTGGTATGGTAACCTCAACGGCTACATGATAAACTTTTTTATGAATAAAAAGTACATAAAATAAAACCATTAACAAAATATAAACGACCGAGCGCAATTTCCACGTCAACGGATTTAGTCCCATATTTTATTATCTTTTAATACTAACAAAAAGTATTAATTTATATTTATGATATTATTTCATCTATATTTTGAAATAATTTTATTTCAGTAACCGGTCAAATATTAATTAATTTTTAGTGTAATATAATTTTAAATAATTTCGAAACTTTAAGAACTGATAAATTTTAATTGTTCACTTTTGTGGAAAGAATGACGTGTAGTTCGGAATTTAAATGATTTACAAATATCGTCTGACCGATGCAGGGTTGGAGGATGTTTTTGAATACATAAATCATTCAAAGACATCTGTTATATAGATCAGACGGTTTCCTCTTTGCCTCTGTTATCTCACTTTTTATTTTTATCTTAAATTCAAACTATTCGTTGTTACACGTATACAAAAAATATTATAATGATAATAATAGTCGTCGTAATCAGTATTGTTGTTGTTTTAAATTATGCATGTACTTGAAATTATACTGGAATGCACATAATTATTAAGTAAATTCTAGTAACTAGCTTATAAATGATTATTTTTATTATTTTATCATTTTTAAAATTTATCGATTTAAATAGCATTTATTACTATAAACAATCGTTAAGTATATATACAAAAATTACTTATTTAGAGATTTACGATAAATTGCTATTGCTTATATTAAATCATTGAACAGTTGATTAAATATAATTATAATTTTTATCCAATTATAAATGATAAAATGATTAATTGGTAACTTAAATATTTAACAAGTATTTTCTTTTTTTATTCAAATACTGTTTTAAAGTTATTTTCTTTTTTTACAAATATGGTATTGATAACTAATAATTATTGACAATGACAATAAATATGTATTATTAACATTTATTTATTCAAAAATAAATAATAAAATTCAATTTTACTTAATATTAAACTTAATTAAACATAAAAAGTGTACAGACATATTAAAATAATTAAAACTCTTTTTTTATATGTGATTAAAATTTATAAAAACTTTTTTAAGTTATCCAAATTAATTTAAATTTGAGTTTAAAGTTAGTCACGATTCTCTCGACGATTGTTCATTATTAAATTTATGCATCATTGATTTAGCATGGTCAGGTAATAATTTGCCCACAGCATTATGGACTGACATTGATTTTAAATTAAAAATTCTTATTAATCCATTTTGATAACCAGCTGCAACCCATAAATAACTCCACGAATTTTGATTCCATGCGAGCTGTAAATGGTAAATAAATTTTTATTATAATCTAAAACAAATTACTAATAATGGAATTTTTAATTCTATTTTAAAGAAAAGTACGTGTCACATCTAAATATATAATAAAAAATATTAAATCAGATAAAATAATTGAATTAATATCTTTACTTATTAGAAAAATGTTAGTTTATTTGGTTAATAAATCTTACCCTGTTTACTGATGTAAATTGATATTGTTCAAGCGGCACAGTGTTCATGGTTTCGGAGTTTACTGGATTACGTCGATTTATTTTTCTAAGCAAATTAGTTTTATAATTCTGAAAATAAAAACAAATTAAATAAATTAAAATTATAAATATTATTCAGTGATATTTTATAAAAATAAACACTTACATTTAAATCATCATGATAAACAATTCCAAATCTATCTTTACAAGCATCATAAGTTTCCGGCATATTTTTAACATCATTTGCCTGTTCATTATCATTAATATTTGCTTCCGAATTATTTTCACCTTGTGTATTTTCTCCAAAATCAACAAGTTCAATACTCGAAACTAACCATCTTTTTTTAGTAAGTTTATCAATATCTTTAATATAAAATAATTGAAATGGAAAAATAGCAGTTACATCACCAGCTAAAGTACCATGACATATTCCATTAGCGTAATCAGAAACTGCAAGGCCATAAGTTGTTGAATTTGTAGGTAGGAGTGGAAACACACCAGAAGACGAATCTCTGACTGCCATCATGTACGAAACGGTATGACCCAGACCAAGAGCATCGTCGTAAGAAGTATAAGTATTTAACCAGTGTGTCATCCAAGCACCATTGGTCCCAGCGCCTTTCTTAACATTGTCAACAGGATAATAAGGATCCTCTAAATCCCAAACTTTTGTGCACCTATCCAAGCTTGTAGTTGCTAAAAAGTTTTTTCCGTTTACTGGAACAATTCCAACATAAGTAACAGCATGTCCATGAGCATAAAAATGTTGAAAAGCATTCATATGAATGGTGTTTACATTTTTGGTTATCAACAACGGGGATTTGCTGATCAAGTCCCATAGTGCGACGTAGCCATTAGAAAATCCGGCTGCAATTGTATCATGACCAGATAATTTACTCCAACTCAAACTTGTGCACTGCCAATCGGCTTTATTTTGTTGACTAAGAAGTCTATTGAGGTGCAAAGTTACTACTGGGTCCGTTTGATAGATTGGCAAATCATTGTCATCACTTGTATTGAAATTTAATTCTTCTGGAAATGGAAGAGAATAAATATGAACGTTACCATCAGAAGAAGCAGTAGCAAGGAGTCCCATTCTTTTCAAGGATCCTCCTCCTCCAAATATGCTATCATTTTTCAATAGAGAATGATGGTAGCTTCCTGATGGACACCATTCCATACACCAAATAGTTCCGTTGTTGTGAGTAACTATGTAAGCAAGTTTTGGAGTTGGAGTTGCGGCTGCTACGTGATCTAAATGCCCCATATTCCATATCTGAATAATGTTTTTAAATTTATAAGACTGACTTATGGGGTATTTGTTTTCCATTGTAGGGTGAGTACTGACTGCAAGATATTGGTTGATTTCTGGATCATACATTGGTATAGGAATTGGTAACCACGCCAATGCCCAAACTGGACCACCAACGAAAAATGTTGGCACATTATTAATAACTGCGGATTCAAACAACTTAAAACTTTTCCATCCTTTGTCTCTTTTTTCTTCTTCGGTTAAATTTTCTTCTTTTATTATTTTTATTCTTACAAACTCAAAGTTTTGAGAAGTATTTTTCATCTGTTTAGTTTTCATAGAAACTTTCAACTCGGGAAGATAATCTTGAGCTTGAGAATTTGTTAATAAATTAAAATTGTTAGGTAATAAATTTTCAAACAATTTTGATTTATAATTATCCAACTCAAATTGGAGTGTCCATTTAATTGATGGAGTATATGTTATGTTTAATGAATTAGGTGGTAGATTTTCAGCATTTCGTAAAAATTTAGCTCGCGTGAGCAGACGAAGCTTATCATATACTTTCAATCTACCTTTTTTCGAATCAGATTTTGTATCATTCTTAGGATTGTCAACATCCTCATTGAATTCTTCATAATTATTATGATCACTTTCAGCACTTCCATCGGTAAGTTCGTTAACATCGAAATCAGAATCTTCAGAATTTAATTTATCCGAGTGTACCGACTTGACATGACTTACAATAATATCATTAAATTTTGAAAAAAATTTACAAATTTTACAAATATATTCAGTTTGAGGCGTAAAATTACACGTACGAAAGTGAGCACATATTTCATCCAAAGTGTTCGCACTAAATGTGCAACTAGGTTGACGACATTTTGCTGGTCTATTAGCAGCGATATCTTTAGCCCACTTGCCTTTCCAAACATTTGGTAGTTTTTTAGCACTCAGTGGTTTTTCAATTAACTCATCTAGTTTTGATTTACTAGTTTTACGTTTTTTTGCTGGCGGTTCATCTCTGACAATTTTAGTAAACTCTAAAATTTTACCTGTTGCTTTCTCTGCTGCTTTACGTTTTCTTTTACCGTCAATTATATCATCATTAATGGTGACAGCTTCAGATTTTTTTGCTGCTTCAGTCATTTCTTGTCGATGAGTACGTTCGTGAAAATCTACTGACGATGGCATAAATACACCTTTGCATAATGGACAAATCCACATCATTTTGATTTTTTCCTCTTCTGATTTACCACAAAATTTGTAATGAGAAATAAAACCCGAAACACTGCGCTTTACTTCATTACATTTATCACAAATTAGCGAGCCTTTTTTCTTCTTAATCGCAATTCCCAGCACTTTTTTCCATAGTTTTTCATTACCCTCGATATTTGGTTCCTTGCTGCCGTTCAACCATCCAGTATTATTATGTTTTGATAAATTATGACCACTCCATCTTGATTTTAAAAATTTTTCATTACATTTTCCACATTGTACCTCCTCATTTTTCATTTCTTTTTTCTTCTTTTTGCCCAGATTCGTTGATTTTTTCCCACCGTCAGGCTTAATATACCAGTCAGTTGTTTTTTTAATACTTTTACTTTTACGCCTTTTAGATCTAGTTGAATAATCTTCATCATTATCATTATCATTATCATTATCATCATCATCATCATCATCATCATCATCGTCGTCGTCGTCGTCGTCGTTATTATCATTGTCATCATCATCTTCGTCGCCATCCTTATCATTGTTATTAGTATCATTGATATGATTTGTTTCTACTTCTTTTGCGATTGAAGTTGGTGGTGTCAAAACTGATCTTCGGGGTCGGCCTCGACCTTTCCGCACGACAGGAACTTTAACAGGAGTTTCGACAGCACTTTCCTCTACTTCTTCTTTCTTATGCCTAATAGTTTCTGAAAAATTTTCAATTTTCGCAGAACCTTTAATATTATTACTCTCATAATTTTTTTCAGTATCTTTAGAATCATCAAGTATCGGTTTTTTATCATTTGATTCATTATTTTGATTAGAAATTTTCAACTTTTCATTTAAATCACAATTTCCTGTTTCTCCATTTATATTCGAAATTTTTAATTGTTTAGTCCCATTTAGTAAATTTGAATTTTCAATTAAACTGGAGGCTATTGATTTTCGTTTCACGTTTAAAATTTCCGAATTTTCGCTTGGATTGGAATCTTCCAATTTTTTATTTAAATTCTGATCATCTAAATTTTGACTTAAAGCTGAACTTGATGATTCTTCATTAGATTCATTTTCCAGTTCATCGGGATTCAATGATGTTAATTTTGCCATAGATTCTCTAGTGAAATATTTTCGGGGTCGACCACGTTTTTTAGGAAGTGAAGGGTCATCCAGAATTTCAATAACTTGAATTTTTTTTTTTTTAGGTGGATTTCGTTTTTTCTTCTTAATTAGACTATCATTTTCATTTTTTAAAGCATTTGTATCTTTACTACTGACGTCTTCAATTTCAGCACTGACTGCTTGTAATGATTTTTCAAATTCTTGTATTGGTGGTTGAATTAGATCTTTGCTATTGAGAATAGCGTCTCTGGATGCGTTTGAATTTATCGTTGACAATTTTATAACTTTTAACCCAGGTGGTTGATTTGAATTAGCACTTGACTCATCAGCTTTCTTCGAATTTTTTCTGTTATTGATTTTACGATAAGTAACAGTTGGCCTTCTGAATGCTTGCAATGAATCATTTTTATTAGACTTTATTGCATCTACAAAAATTACATCACCTGTACTATTTGCAGCATCGTTGGCAACTTTCGTTTTGTTACTTGTCGTACCAGTACCTTTATTAGTCAGAGTCCTTTCTAATCCTCTAGGAACTAACTCTCCAGATTTTCTTACTCCCGATGGCTTAATAACAACTTTTTTGTGATCTCCAATAACTTTTAACTTATTTTTTGGTAAAAATTTTTCATTTTCATTTCTGACATTTGGAGATTTTAATACCACAATACCATTTTTACTTGGACTTCTCCGAATAATTAATGGTTTTTCAAGAGTTTCCACATGACGAACAATTGATTTTTTATTAGTTTCTTTATCTTTTTTTTCTACATCATTTCCTGAACTTTCAGGTAATACATCCGAATTCACATCCTTGGTATCATTTGATCCTTCACTATTAGATGGTGATTTATTTTGAATATCAGAATTACTCTCTTCATTGGAAGTTTTAGGTATTATCAATTGTGACTTATCCTTATCAATTTGTACTACTGACACTGACTTAATACTGGTGTCAACTTTAACTTTATCTTTAAATATTTTTATTTTTTCATCAAGTCCCAATCGTTTTACCATTTCAGATGTTAAAATAAATACACGTTTTGAAGGTGAATTTTCATTTCCATTTTGATTTGATGAACTTTCTCTGGATTCATCCAAAGTTTTTATTTCGTCAGACATTTTATTGTTCGATTTCTATTTAAAAAAAAAAAAAAAAAAAAAAAAAAAAAAAAAAAAATCGAATGTTAATTCTTAAGTAAAAATAATATTTTAAAAAGTATTTTAACATTAAATAATTATTTATAATAAAATTTACTAATTGAAATAATGTGTAGATATTGGGTGGGTTCGATCCCAGATCCTACGAAATTATAAACAGTAAATTTAAATTGACAGAAGATTATAATGTGAGCTCAGACAACATTTTAACAATTTAAACTATTAAATTAAATAATGTCATGTTGAAAATTAAATGACAACTAATATTACATAAATTAATATTTAATAAATTATCGAAATATGTACTTACATTTATTAACAAATAAGGTTATGTACAGATTATTTAATAATGACAACTTTTATCGCGTGTTACACCATCTTTTCTCTCTATGTTATCGAAATAGTTTATTTACCAGGAAAATTAATTATAGTATTTTAATTAGAACGCATTTTTAGATTATAATAAATTAGAAAAATTGTCTGTTGTATAATTCACCATGGATAAGATTCGAACACACGAGGTCCTGTTTCATAAAACTCGTCGTCTAGTGTATGTATACGTATAGTTCACGCAAGCAGACATGTTGATTATCAATAGTATAGTTGTTTACGCATGCGCTAAATGTTAAGGATAGACTTATATACATAGAACTAAGGTAAAAGACCATGAAAATTAAAGTAGCAGATATTAAATAATTTTAAGAATTTTTTAAATTAATTTAAAGAAATAAATTAGTGCAAAAAAAATTGATATGTAAAAATTAAAAAAAAATTAAAATTGCAATTTTGTAAAAATCATTTTTTGGAAGAAATTTATTTGTCAAAAAAAACTAAAAAATAATCAAGTGACTGTTAACTTTAATTAATGTCGTTAAAAGACCCAGTTATTGACACTTGTAATTTTATTTGAATTAAAAACAACAAATCATCTCTGATAAATTAATAAATATAATTTTTGACTTATAAATTATGAAAATTAAGTTAGCCGACATCTAAAAATTTTTAGAATTTTTTTTTTATTGAAAAAATTATTACAAAAAAATAAAAAAAAATTGCACTTGTAAAAAACTTGAAAAACTATAAGTGCAATTTTTTAAAAATATCTTTTTAGTTGTAATTTAATTAATAAAAAAAATCAAAAATTTTTAGACGTCTGCTAACTTTAATATCATTATAAATTTTAAGATAATTGATTTTTTGAAAAGATTTTATTTTTTTAATTAGAATAAATTTGCAAGTGTCAATAACTGGGTTTTTTTTTACCTTACTAAATATGAAGCTCATAAAACTAATAAAATTATTAATTAATAATTGTTTATGCTTAATATATAAGTATTAGTGTACTAACATTAATTAATGAAAGGATCTATTGGGAAAGTTATATTAAATTAAATAAATATTTTATATGAAGGAACAAGATAAGTTTATTTGTTGTTTATTATAAATTTAAACCATTCGCCTTATCAATTCATTAATTTTATCTTCACGGTTACCGAAGTCACCACCCTCGACGTAGTGGTTGGTCTTTTTACGCCATCCTCCAGTTGGAGTGTTTAACTAAAAAATAAAAATAATTAATTATAGATATAAGTTTTAAATAAATAAAATAAAAAATTTTTTATAATCATAATGTTTAAGATTTTCTCAAAATCATATAGTATTTTACTGTATAACAATTGGAATATCTTGTGTTGTTTTATGACAAAGTGAGAGGCAATGAAACGTTTATAATTTTCATCACCATGCCTATGTCAATTATCCATTGTTGATGATAATAAATATAAAGAAATAAAATATTATTAATAAATAATTATAATTTACCTTGAACGGCCAAAGGAAGTTGCTGGCATACTTGAATTTGGATCCAACAGTGAAGATTTCATGGATCAAATCTTCAACACAGATGATGTCGGTGCGGCCTAAACAAATTTATAGAAGATTATAGTTTAAAATTTAATCAATTTTAAGATTATGAGATATAAAATAATAAACAATTATTTAAATTTTATTAGTACTCAAAATAGGTTTAAAAAATTCACTGGGCGTAAATGAGAAGCCTTACAATTATACAATATAATTGTCAGGTCATATCTATAGCGCACAGATTTTTTAAGACTATTGTAAGTATAAATATCTACTCTGAAAATTAACTTACCCAATTTCTTCTCGATGATTTCGTTGCTGGTGATAGCAATACGTTGGCGGTCAATTTTAGCGAATCCTTTTTTGTAGATCAATTCGCGAACTGATTTCAAGTTGGGGTATCCCCAGGTTACGTAAGGCTCAACAATACGCAACATGTTGATAGTCGCTTTGTTTAATCGAATGAAAACAGCGTTGTTAATTTGTTTCAATCTCAACAACTTGAGAATCTTACGGGGTTTGGGAGCGATTTGGTTCACACTGTAAAATAAAATACGTATTAAATTTGATCATGAGTTTAAAATAATTAATTGTGACTTGAATAAGTAACTTACCCCCGAATACGGATAACAAAGGCTAGACGAGCTTCACTGGGAATGTAGTAATTTCCACGGTTCTTGGCTTGTCTCTTCATTCTAACTTCATCTCGCTCCTTCATGCGGTATTCTTTCACATACTGTTCAGCACGTTTGAAGATTTGCTTCCTCTTCAAGTAGTGGGCTGCGCGTTGCTACAATAAAAAAAATTATTTTTAAGTATACAACTAAAAAAAAAAAAAAACTTGAATATTTGAGGAGTAAATAATTTAAATACCTTGATGGAGGCTTGGACGCGGACAGCTTTAGCTTGAACGCGGCGTTTTCTCCTCTTCAAGACGGACTCAGGAACTGCCGGCAATTTTTTTCCGGGAGTGACGACATCATTCTTCTTACTGCAAATTTATAATGACAATCAGGATTTTTAAACAGTAACAAACAGAAATTCAATTTAAGTATTGATTCACTCCAATAAATTTTAAGGTTAGGAAGTAGTAGATTATTGCATGCATCACATAAATTCATAATTATAAACTAATGAAACACTGAGTATTTTAGAGATAGAATATTACTAAAAATTTTCAATTTTCAACTATAATGAGTTTTTTTTTCATTGTTAAAAAATAAATTTTTTTTTTCTCAAAACGTTAACCCACGACCATTTTTAAATCAACAATCGACACATGTTTAAGAATTAATTCACAAAACTAGACATTAAAAAATGTTCTTGAAAAATTAATTTATTTTTACCGATATTTCTGTCAATTAACTTATTGTTTAAACAACCGATGTTTAAAGATTTAATACAAGTATTAAAAATACTTACGCGTCCGCCATGGTATGTCGTAGTCAAAAGAACACGCGAGGCTCCTTCAACTAGGCTCACACTGTAAAAGAAAACTTAAGGTATGAAGTTTGCCACCATGGATCAATTGCTTGATTTGTAATTTGAGCGGCAATTTCAAATTTCACTCTAATAAAATTGAATACATGTTTTACAAATTATTGATGTTATTAAAAAGAAAAAATTCAAATAAAAAAATAATTAAAAATTTATTTAATAATTATTAATAACATTATTATTTTAAATATAAATTTCGTATATTTTTATTTGCATATAATTTTTTCTCAACTCTGAAGAGTGTTATATAAAATTTTAATTGTTTTAAATGTAAGATATTTGTACTAATTATTTTTTTTGGCATTTTTCACCCCAATATTTATAGTTAATAATATAATTAGACAGTATTTTTGATGCAGTTTTCTTCTTAATCGACCTTCTCTGAAAATTGTAATATTCAAATATCTATTAAGTATTTTATAATAAATAAAACTTGAGATAATTTAAGAAATATTTACCAATACTTGAAGTTTTTGAAAATAGTCATCTGTGTTATTGGTGGAAAATGCAATGTATTCTAAACTTCTTGCTAATCGTGATAAAACTTTTTTGTGAATACCAAGTACTGATTCTCTTGGTTTATCGGCTGTGTCTGGTGCCCGTTTATAGTTTTTAATCAAAGCAAATGCCAATATACGATAATTATTTTCTCTATACTGGAAAAAAAAAAAAAAAAAAAAAACAAACAAATTAAATAAATAAATTATCGAAAAAGATTTTTTCAAGCTATTGATCCTTACATTAAACGTTCTTTCTTGAAAGTTAGTGAGCCTTTCAGATAAAGTTTGGCCAATTTTATAAATGTAAATTTTAGAAACGGGTTCATCTTTAATAACATTGAACATTTGATGTTGTTGCATAGCAATTTGAAATTTGTTGAAAGCTTCTCTATAATCATTTTGATTTCCACAAGCATCACAACGGTTTTTGCATGATTCGCATGTGAATCCAAAACTTTCTGAGTATAAAACATGCCTACATCTGAAATAAAAATACATTTTTATTAATTGACTGATAAAAATTAAGTAGACTACTAAATAAAATCATAAATTATTGATTAAATCTATCACCGCAAATGTTATCACTTTTAATAATCATAAACCTTTTAATATTTGGCTGTTGGATTTGTTTATTTAAATAAAATAAAAATAAAAATAAAATATATTTAATATATAAAATTTAGGGTCTAAAATTTTGATAAATAAATAAATAAATAAAATCAATTAACAAAAAAGTATTAAATTAAAATACTCACTTGTCAGAAGTACAAAATTTAACAACATGTTCAAACCCTGAGAAAATTTGCTTGGACATGCTCATCATTATAAACTGTGCATGTAGCCAATCTTCCAGCCCGAAATAGATCCTGGAATGGGCCTTTCCATATAGTCGTCCCGCTTTGCCAATATCAATATAGTATTGATCAATTGTTGACGGCAAAGACCAATGGATCACCAAACCAACATTGTCTTTATTGAGGCCCACTGCAGAACCGTGTGTAGCCGCAATAATCACGACTTCTCTCCTCTTCCACTTTTCTTTACTTTTTGTTTGATCTGTAAATTTCATTTCTTCACCACAAAAATATTTATATAAATCATCTCATTACTTAATAATTCAGTAAATAATAATATCAACAAATACTTGTGAAGTATGGAACTGTTGGTATCCCACGTCGCGATAATTCATCAGCAATCATCACTGTATCTTTATTTTTTTGACAAATTATTATTCCTGAAAAACTTTCCATAGCTTCAATATAATTATTAATCAATTCTGTTACATCATCGAGCGGATTATTTAAAATATCCTTATATTTTATATCAATATAAATATTTGACCGGACCCAGTTGTAATCGCCGTTGTATTCAACAGCATTCACCATTCCCAATGACTTTTTAATATCCTCATTGATGATTGCAGTACCTATTGAAGTCAGTGCAATCAAACGTACATTTGGAAAATTTTTTCTTATTTCAATTATTTCATTATAAAATTTATTATAATCTATTGTGTTTTCACTAGAACAATGTGCATCATCAACTACAAACATGGATATCAAGTTATTTTCATACAAATTTTTAATTAATGTTAGAAAAGATTCCTGCAAAAATATAAAAATTATATTACGAAATAAATCATTTAATGGAAATTGATTGATAACGTTTGTTACCTTGTAAACTTGTGAAGCACATATAGTAGTAGTAATATAAATAAATGTTGGTGTTTCTTGACGATTTGATAATTTATTGAAAAAATTTTCCTTCTCTAATTTAGGAAGTTTTGAATGAAAATAACATACTCCAATATTTCTTTCCTTTAAAAATTCAACTTGTTCCTTAAAATAAAAACTGTATCATAAATTTAAATCATTTAATAAATTAATTTATTACTTACTTCTAATGCATTGTTATTCGACATGAAAACAATTGCAACATTATTATCCTCATATAAAACGGCTGGTAATTGAAAGCACAAAGATTTGCCAGCTGTAGGAGGTAAATTAATCAGTACATCAAAATTTTTCTCTGTAAATAAATTTTTTTAAATAAATATAAGCTTCATAATATTCTATAAACAGAAAAAGTAATAAAAAATTGAAATAATTATTAAAAATAGAGTGTTATTTATTTAGTATGATAAATATCATATATATTATTATTATTTAGTAATAATTATATTTAAAAATTATTTCTAACCTTTTAAAACAGTTTGTATTGCTTCAAGTTGTTTATTTGTATTTTAAAATTATTTAAAAAATCGATTTCTTAAACATTTTTTTATTTTTTTGTTTGTATCAAAATCCATTATTAATTATTTAATAATGACATCAATTTTATAGCTGTCAATTCCAGATGTTAGTGTCAACTGAACATAAATCAAAATAACCTGTTGAGCAGTGAAATAAACATAATACAAAATAAAATCATATAGTTATTAAAGGCACCGAAATTCGCACTTGGAAATTTTTTTAAGATTTAAAAAAAAATTGAATGCAGAAAATTATTTTTAGAAAATTGCATTTATAATTATTTCGTTTCTAAAGATGGAATATTTTTATCAATTTTAATTGCTATTATTTATATGAAAATTAATTTAGCAGCTATTTAATAATTTTTAAAATTTTTGTAATAATAAATAAATTATGGCAAAAAAAATTGACATATAGAAATTTAAAAAAATTAAAAATATAATTTTTTAAAAATAATTTTTTGCAACAAATTTGTTTGTTAAAAAAATTTTTTAAATTGCCAAGTGACTGCTAACTTTAATGTCATATTATTTATTTGTTTAAAAAATCTAAAAATTATAAGATGTCTTTCAATTTCAGTATAATATTTAGTATGAATGTTAAAAATTAAATTAGACAATTAAAAATATCATTTAATAGCTAAAAATATATAACTAATAATAATAATTACAAAAAAAGTATTGGAGCAATGAGTATTGTAAAAGTAAAAATTTTACAAAGAATTTTTAATTTATATTATTAACCATATTGATATTTTAAACCAATTTTATACATTTTATAAAAAATTTATTAATTATGAGTCTTAAACAAATTACAGTTGATCATATTATCAAATTTCAAAAAAAAAAAAAAAAAAAAAAAAAAAAAAAAACAATACAATTTTTAAACCGACAATACAATCGAAATGATGGAAATATGAAAAATTTTCATATTTAAATCTTGAGTTGGTGAATACTATAATATTTATTAATATACTGGCATTTTTTGTTGAGTTAACAACAATCCAAAACGTCTTTTCAACGTGATTCTTTCCCTCGAGTATTTATCTTCTGGTGAAAATCGAGCTGGATGAGCAGATACCGTGGGCTTTCCAGATGGATCAACCTTCTTGAGAGTGTACACACGTTCTCCTTGCTCGTTCAGATAGTACATTAAATACATTTTCGAAGGATTATTTATTAATTAATAATCGGTTACAAAAGAATCACTGTTATATATTTACGACTATAACCTCCCAACTTCAAACACGTGGTGAGATGTTTAGATACCAATTACAACAAAATCCAGAATATTTCTTTAGAGTGTAGAGTAGCCACCAGAGGCTCTGTAGTCAACCAATGTCTTTTTCAGTACTGCGCCTCTAGTGTTAGGATAGATATTTAATTCTCCCACTTTTTTTCTAGTTCTTATTTATTGTGATAGCACCTCGTGTTTTATTTAAACGATTTTTGCGAGTAATTAAAAATATTAAAAAATACCAATATGACTGATAGCGACGATGAAGTTCCTCAGTTAAGCGGAGCAGCATTGGCTGCATTAGAAGAATTTTACGCTGAACGTCGAGAGAGAGAAGAACAAGTAAATAAAACGTTGACTAATGTAAATAATCAAACACCAGATATTGTTTTTGATGAAGATTGGGTAAGTCGAATGTCTGCAATGTCTACTAGTGATAAATTTTTTTTGCGCCAATTTCATGTTGAAAATTTTTTAGTTTAATGTTGCAAATATTTTGAAAATAAAAAAATGATTGGGTGTCTGATGGTTTCAGTATCATATTTAAGTAAAATTGAAAATATCGGATATCTGATAATTTCGTTATTATTATTTATGATTATCAAAAATAAATAGAAGTAAATATCCCCAAAAACATTTTTACTTCTCTTTTAGATAAATTTTTTCTATTTTTTCAAAATTAATAATATCCATTGTTTTAATGACATTGAAATTGCGACAAATACTTGACAATTTTTCGATTTTTCTTGAATAATAATTTAGGTGTAGGAAATTATTTATAAAAAATTGCACTTATAATTTTTTAGAGCTTCCAAAGATGGAATTTTTTGAATAAATTTTTCTTGCTACAATTTATTAATTAAAAATTTCTAAAAACTATCAGATGTCTTTTAATTTCAGGGTCATTTGTTTTTTTATGGCATTAAAGTTAGCTGTCACTTGATAAAATTTTTATTTTATTTAACAATTAAATTAACTCTAAAAAATTATTTTAAAAAAATTGCATTCTTAATTTTTTAAAATTTCTACATGTCAACTTTTTTTTTGCCATAATTTACCTATTTGTTAACAAAAGTTCTAAAAATTATTAAATATCTGCTAAATTAATATTCATGTTTTTTTAATGTTCTTAAAGAGTGGTAGAAAAAAATTTTTTTTTCATAACTTTATTAACAAACCATTTTAAAAGTAATCAATTTAATTGGCACAATTGAAATATCTATGTTAGTAATTTATGCATAAATCATACACATGTTATTCTTAAAGAGTATTTCAATTGACATAAACATCTCGTTCTAGCAATTAAGTCAATTCTGGTATGACGATGAAACAGTTGATACAATTACGAAAGCAGCTCTTCGAATTACTGACAAAAATGGAAAAATAGCTCTTATTTCATGCCCAACTTTATATAGAGCGTTGAAAAAGAATGCAGGAAGTAGACAAAGTATGCAACATTACATTAATATGTGTTTTAGCATTTCATATGTTTTCATATTTTTATCAGTTACAAAAACTGATACACTTGTTAATATTTTCAGTAAAAATCTTCGAATATGATACAAGGTTTTCTGTATATGGATCAGATTTCATTCCGTTTGATTATAAATTTCCACTTCATGTGCCCAAAGAAATGGCTAGCGATTTTGACCTCGTAATTGCAGACCCACCGTTCTTATCAGAAGAATGTCTTACTAAAACTGCAGTGACAATTAAGTTTTTATCGAAAAAAAATATTCTTTTATGTACAGGTAATATATTTTTAATCAATGAAAAAAAAATTTTAATAACTTAAAAATTGTTTTTAATTAGGTTCAATGATGGCTGACTTAGCAGAAAGACTTTTAAATGTAAATAAATGTGATTTTCAACCGCATCACAAAAACAATCTGGCAAATGAGTTTTCATGCTATGCTAATTTTGATTTCGACAAATTTTTGAAATAAAAAAATAATTTAATTTAAAAATTTTGTAAATTTTTTTTTACTACAATTTAGAATTCGAAGATTTATGATAATTTTGCACGAGCTCAATTGCATATTGAGCAGTACCCGGCGCTGTAGTGACTCCATATCCACCGTGGCCATAATTATGGACAATCTAAAGGAAAAAGTACACATTAATAACTCTGAGGTATAATTATAAAATATTAATCAATGTTCATATATCTACCACAGCTTTGCCTCGATCGTTTGATATTTTTTCAATTTCTACTCTAACTCCTCCTTCTCTGTGAGGTCTAAGCCCAACAGCATGTTTTAAAGTTTTTGCTTTTGACAATGAAGGTAATAATTCTTCACATCTTTCTCTAATCGATTTGGCATCATACGGACAAACTGTTTTTCTAAACGTTTCAAAATTACGTGTACCACCAAGAGTACAAGTTCCATCAATTCCGGGAATTATGTATGTATCTGTTTCATTATAAAACGTTGCTTTCACCCATGGAGCATATACTTTGATTACTTGTCCTCGTATTGGTATCATTTTTTTATCATTACACAATTTTTTTGCCCCCAATCCTGAGCAATTAAAAATAAAATCATAATCAACTAATTCATTAAATGATTTTATTGTTTTTGTCACTAAGTTTGTTCCTTCTTCTTTTAATCTAAAACAATTGTTTATATAAAATTAATCATGCAATCATTCAATTATTCTTAGTAATTGATAAATAAATTATTGTTACTTATTTCTTGCCCAAGGAAGGTGATATTGATTTTGAATCAAAATTGTGCTGAAATAACAACCATATTTACTATTTTTATTGATCAAATTAAATTCCTCGTCAGTTGTTTTCCGGTAGATCGGTACTACTTGTTCCATTAATTTATTCTATTTTTAGAATTATAAAATATATGTTAAATTATTTTAATAGTACTTATAATTTTAACTCTAAATAAATAAATAAATATTTTTAAACCTGGACAATATCGGGATTAAAACTGGAAAACATATAGGCCTCACTCTCAGCAATTCCTGCTTGAATGGGTTCAAATTTTTTAGAAATTTCAGTGTAATACGAATAAGAATCACTAATCCATTTTTTTGTTATTTCTTCCGTTGGCCCAGAGTAAGTATGCCCAACTCTAAAAAACCCTGCAGCAATATGACTAACAAGATCATCGTAATTTTCAGCAACCACTGTAATTTCACTATTTCTAAATTCACGATGTAATTTTAATGCAGTCGTTAATCCGACAATTCCACCGCCGACAATTGCTATTTTCATTATAATTGTAGGTAAAAGTAAAAATAATTTTTTAACAACGCTCACAATACACTCGCCAGTGCTCGACTGACAGTAAAAATAATATCATGGAAATATTCCCTGGTTATTTTAATTATTGCAGCTCTCAATTGTATCTTATCTTATTCCTCTGTTGAACGCAAACATCTTCGCAAAATGTACGTTGTTGTAACCGATATTGTGAGAGATTAAAGTCACTTAAAAATTATAAATTAATAAATAAAATACTTAAAATTGGTCCAAAGGTTCCTTTGATTCTTTATTATATTCATTAGAATATATGTCATGTATCATGAGGAATTGTGTGTACAGTAAAACGGAATAGATGAATATTCTTACTTTAATTACAGAGATCTTACCAAGAAGATTATAAATTCTCTTTAATGTGTATTTTATACAATTGAATAGGTGGAAATTTAAATGTATATTTAAATAAAACATTTAATTAACATCATAATAAGATAATAAGTGTATGTGTGATAATAAGTATGTAGTTATAACAATTATAAGATAACAATATCAGCAATAACTGTTTATATATTAGCAACAATTATTTATGTATAAAGTTATTATTTTACGCTATTAATAATCACAGCTGGACCTTTTTATTTGCAATTTTTAATTATATATATTTTTTGTCGATAAAAATTTAGAGATATACATGAAATTTATTTAACAATTTATGTGATATTATTAAAAGTAAAATAATTATACTGATGCTCATAAAAAAAAAAAAAAGAAAACATTTTAAATTGAATTTTCTAAACCGTAATAATAAGGTCCAACTGCAAAAGTTTTATTATTTATATTATAGTTATTTATATTAACAGAGTGGACAGTATATATAAATTAAACAATATTTATCGCTTAAAGTATTGTAATAAATATTTATAATGATTAATGACCTATTTAATTATGATCGTTAAATTTAACATAGAGGTCAAATTACTTTACAGTAACTCTACTATTGTTTCAAAAAAAATGAGGACGTTTCATTGAATTACTTTATAGCGTAAAAATAATGATAATAATAATAATAATAATAATAATAATAATAATAGTAATATTAATAATATGAATTAAAAATCCTGGGTATTGGAATATTATTCGTGTATTTGTTGCACGCGATACCAAATACTGCTGGCAAATATTATTTAAAATAACTTGTGATTATTAAATTAATACAATTTCACGCTTGTTTTGGATGTGCTGCTGGAGTAGGAGCTTGGTCTGATCGAAAACAAGACAAAAGAAAGCCCGTGTATAACGCAAATAGAATTGTGATTGCTAATAGCATGTACATGTAGATATTTAATTCTGGTTGTCGGAACCTATTCTTCCTTAACCATTCAAGTACTTCATCTTCTCTATGAAGATCACCTGTAAGTTAATTAATCGATTAATTGTTTTATTTACTTATACAAAGAAAATTCTAAATTTGGTGACTTTATAATATCTACCTCGATAAATACTTGGAAATCGTTTACGGAAATATACAATAGCTGGTAATTTAGTTACACCCCATTTTCTAGCATACCGTGGATCCGCCATTTTCACAAACGTTATATCTAGATTATCTGTTTCTCCATCGATTGTTTCTAATTTTTTATCTACTTCTTCACTTTCTTTATGGTGGTGTTCATCTGTAAATTATTTTATTAATAAATTATCACATTATTTTGTTAAAAAATATATATTATACTTACAGAAGAATACGGCTAAAAATTCATTTTCGTCAAGTAACTTATCAAGCATTTTTTTATTAACTTCTTCAATTTCATTTTTTATTTCAAATACGTCTTGTGATGTTAACCAAGCAAGTATTTTATCTTCTTGAGTAAGATCACCATCATATATGATAGGTGTTTTTTTACGGAAGTATGTTAGTGATGGTAAGTTTATGATACCGTATTTTTCAGCTGCTTCTGGACTTGCTATTTTTACAAAATCAATACCAAAAAGATCAGCTTCACCGTCTATTTTTTCCAAAGCTTCCATTATTTCATCACATTCTGGACAATCTTCATCGTCTAATAACAGAAAAAGAAATACAAATCATAAATTGTTATTAGTCTCATTTTTGGCCTAATTTTTATTTTCATTATTTATGTTTATATTTACATTTCATTTAAATATCACTAAAAATAAATGATTATTATAACTGAGGAGCTGATTTTCAAAAGGATATCTTTTCATATTTTAAAATACCAGTTTTCTGAACTTTTAAATATTAATTACTTCGAGAATTATGAACATTTATAAATGAAAATCGAATTGCAGCTTCATAACCGATTGCACTTTATAGCTAAATTAAAAAAAGTTCAATACAAATATTTATAATTGAAGATAACTAGTTTTTTGTCTCGATTAATCAAAAATCAAAAGATACCCTTTTGAAAATAAGCTCCTCAACTAATGTACACTGCCGATTGGCGTTCTTTTGTGCAATAAATAAATAAATAAATAAATAAAATCATAAATTTTGGAATTTCAAAAATAATTTAATAAAATATTTTTTTAATTCCTAATGGATTAAATATAACGTGCACTTACAGAAGAAAACTGCTAGAAAAGGTGATTCATCGAATAAACGCTCCAACATTCTCTCATTAACAGACTCGATTTCATCTGCTAATTCGCGATTATCGTCATCAATTAACCATTCCAATACAGATTCTTCACTTTGTAAATCACCTGAAAATTATGTGTACGATATTTCAAGTTAAATATATTCCCAGAAAATAATTAACCATACCTTCAAAGAGTAATGGATTGCCGTTTCTGAAATAGACTAACGCTGGAAATGTTCTAATTGAGTATCTTTTAGCCAATTGAGGGTCATGAATTTTAACCATTTGAATACCAAAAACATCGCACTCATCATCTATTCGTTCCAGTCCTTCCAAGATTTCATCACAAATATGACAATTTAATTTGTCTAAACAGAAACAATTAATACTTACAATTGTAATAATTTATATAGATATCTTTTGAAGTTACTTACAGAAATATACTGCTAGATACTGAGTATCTTCAACAGAAGCCTCTAACATTACTCGAGTTATCAATTCAATTCTGTCTTCAGTTCGTTGTGTAATGAGCCATTGCAGAACTTCTTCTTCTTCAGCTAGATCTCCTTCAAATACACTAGGTGTTTGAGATTCAAAGTAAACTAATACTGGAAAATCTGTTACTCCATAGTCTTCAGCAATTTTATAGTCCTGCAAGGTAATCAAAGTAATCAAAATAATTTTTTAATTTTTTTTTTTTTTTTTTTTTTACATTTAGTATAAACATTTTCTTACTTGAGTTTTAACAAAAGTAATACCATGTCGATCACAATCATCGTCGATATTTTCCAATTCTTCAAGTATTCCAGCGCACTGCTCGCAATCGTCACTGTCTGTGAAATAACTTGTAAATTAAAGTGTCCCAATAAAATGATAAATTAATCAATAGGCATGACAGAAAATAAGCAGATTTCTAATCCAAGAACTAAAAATTGTTTTAACAATCTCATTTAAATTTATACAAACAATGAGATAAACAATTGCTAGTCATAAGTCAATACATAGTTTGGAAGTAAATAAAATAATAAAAAATAAATAAATTTAAAAATAAGGATATAATTGCATTCCTGGCGGGTCCTCAGTGTCTTCTTGTGTGCTAGTAAAAATGTAATTTGTTATATGTGATTACAGTGCAGGAGAAAAACATTAACAGTAAATGTTAATTTATTATATTAAAAATTAATTTAGGAATAATTTGTTAAGTGTAATTGGGATAACTAGATAAAACTATTGAAATGATAGTACACATATAGGGGTTAAAAAGCAAACAATTGAGAATAATATGAGCTGTGACTGCATCATAATTGGTGGTACCATCAGCTTCTTCTGGTACTTCGGCTTGTTCAGTAGTCTTGACCTCCTGGTGATGTTTGTGCCGCATCTGCTTGCGGAACGTTTTGGATTGGCACATGTCACAAAGCGTTCTGTTCCCTACGGCAGCATTAGTACACGTCAGCTTGAGAGAGAGAAGAAGATAGGTAGACAAAAGAGACGGTTTAAGACAAAAAAAAAAAAAAAAGGCGCGATTAGCTGAGGCTGTTACATGCAACAAGCAGAAGCATTCGATATTATAAATTATTATTTATTCTTTTTTTTTATTTAATCACTTTAGCTTTTAAATTTTTTTTTAATTTTCAAAAAGGATTCAGGAGATAATAGGGTCAACTTCGGGTTACTTTTAACAAAACTTACAGAAGTATACGGCTAGTGATGAAGATTCGCGGATAAGATGAAGAAGATCTTCACCTTCCAATGCTTCTATCATTTCTCCAGATGGATCTTTTTGTGTCATTAACCATTGGAGAATTGCATTTTCATCATATAAGTCACCTGTTTTTTTTTTAAATAGAGAAAAAAATTTAGCGAAATCAATTAACATAGAAAACTTCAAGGGGTCATTCGAGTTTGTAACGTTAAAAAAAAAAATTTTTTTTACTTCTTTCGAAAGTAAATTTATATCTAAAAGTATTGTGTAAAAATTTCTAAGTGATCTGACCTCTGATACATAATTAAGAAATGACCTTGTATTTTGTGAACTATGGACATTTTTAAAGATATAAGCTCATCCTAACATTACATTCATCGAGACCTTCTATCTAAGTACCCACATCAATTTTTCATATATTTATGTATATCATATCTATACTAATAAATGGAGAGCCGGTTTTTTGTCCGGTTATACTGCGAAAACTACTGAACCGATCGGAATAATACTTATACCATAAGATGCAGCGTGTTTCGAAGAAGGTTTTAGTATATATGATATGTTGGTGATTACTCATCCGGAACCTATATTTTTTTGATTTAGAATTAATGAATTTTTATTGTAACTAAATTTATTCTATTCGATTGTCATTTGGTTAAAATAAATTTTTTAATTCTATTGGTTATGTGAATATACTAAGTAGATTTCTTCACTCATGAGATCTGCAATTTTTTTAACTGAAACTTTCAATGCTCATTACAAATTTTTTTTTTTCATATCAATTATTATTCATTTTTGTAAGAAAGACAAGGGAATGTTATAGTGATTGCACATTGAAAGTTACAATGAATATTAGCTAGAATAATTACATGGATAAAAGGTGCATGCCAATTCGATAGAATTGGGAATCTGTGCAAGTCAAAACAATACTCTAATTAAATTTTAAGTCTAGATCTAAAAATGCAATTCTATAAAGCGCCCAGCGAAGCGGGCGAGTATAACAACTAGTATATGTATGTATGTATGAAAAATATATCAAAATGTATGTGGGTACTCAAATGAAAGCTCTTGATGAGTGTAACATCGGGATGAGCTTATATTTTTAAAAACGTCAATAGTTAAGAAAGTACAGTGCAATTTAACAAAAAATGAAAATAAAATTAGCCGACATCTAAAAATTTATGTTTTTTTTTATTAAAGAATTATTACAAAAAAAATAAAAAAAAATTTTTTTCATTTGTTAAAAACTTCAAAAACTATAAGTGCAATAATAAGCTAAATAATAAAATTAAAAATGTCGGCTAACTTTAGTATCATTAACAAAAATACGTTTTACATGATATATTATTGTACGATCTTTATGTAGATGTGGGAGTGGAAAAAAATTAAATTTTTGAAAAGGCTGAAGAAATTTTGTATGGAATCAGCATCGCTGATTGACTTTTTACATAGTAGTAGTTATTGCATCAACTACAATCGAATCAAAATTTTTATTTTTACTATTCTTTTAGGACTAAAAACGGTGAAAAAAAAGTCTCATTTTTTTGTTTCAAATATCGACTATTTAATTTTTTTATCAATAAATATTAATCTCCGTAGCTGTTGCAATAACTACTTATAAATTGAACGTAAATAATTTAGTATTTGTGTTTTAGATGAGCCGTTATCAAGTTATCATGTACGTTAGCAATATACCAACTTTTGGAAGAGCTCCGTTCACCCGTTGTTTGTTCATACAAAAAATAAAAACAAAAATAGATGTAAGTAGATATTTTTTGCGTTATTCAAAAGTGTATTTGTTGAGTTGAATAAATTTTATATTAATATCTACAATAGTTTCTGTGTAAAAAAATCACGAATATTAGCTTTTTTCGAGCACCCAAACCGCAGAATGACCCCCTCAAACAAAAGTAATTTACCTGCATAAATAACCGGTTCCTTAGATCCCATTCTAAAGAATAATATTGCAGGTAATGCAAATACTCCATATTCTTTAGCTAATTGTTTATCGTCAATTTTAACAAAATTAATTCCAGCATGATCCGCTTCATCGTCAATGTGTTCTATTTCACTCAGTACCTTACTGCATTGTTTGCAATCTTTGCTGTCTATCTAACAAACACTCGTTAGATTATTATTAACGAAAATAAAATAATATTTATAAAAAACTAAATTATATTGTATAAATCGATTATATTTTTGACTCACAAAAAAATACTGCTACGTAATCAGATGCTTGTCGGATTTTATGGAACATTTTTTTATTTATTCGTTCGATATGATCCGTTAGTTCCATGTTCTCTGGATTTGTCAACCAATCAAGTATTTCTTCTTCATCGTCAATATCCCCATCGTAATTAATGTACTTTCCTTTGCGAAAGTAAGTAATACCAGGAGGGTTTCTGTATCCATATTTCTTAGCCATCAAACGATCACCCATTTGAACTATTTTTATTCCATACTCAGAAGCTTCGTCATCTATCAGTTCAATGTGTCTCAATACACGAGGACTCTCAGGGTCTTCTTCTTTATCTAAAAAAATTATGGATATTTATAAAAAATAGTTTAGATATTAAATTTTAATAAAAAAAAAAAAAAAGCTTTTACTTACAAAATACAACCGCTAAAAATTCTTTGGTTTCAATATATTTCGTCAATTGTTCACGATCTATTTTTTCAATACTTGCGTCATTTCTTTGCTTTACCATCCACTCTAACACTTCCGATTCATCCAAAATATTACCTAGCGATTATAAAAATTAATAATCACATAATTAATGATGAACCTACTATTCAAACCATCACAAACTAAAATACATGCGAATTTATTTTAATTCACTGCACAAATATCTATATACATATATTAAATATATATATATATATGTATTGATGTTATTAATTAAAAATGCAATAATTATAATGTATAATTAAATAAAACAAATAAAAAAATAATAATTTATAATTAAATAAATAAAAATTATTCAGTAATTATAGAAAAAAAAAATCACGGTCTCGACGCCAAATATAGCAACTTGATTTATAAAATTTATTATTTATAAATATGAATAATTTTTAGTTAGAACGGTTTTATTAAAAAAAACAAAATTGCTGCCAAAATTGACGGCGGGACCGTTCTGGAATGGCTATAGATTAAGCTAATTAAATTAAATTTTTTCTTAAACAATTAATTGTTTAAATTATTATTTTAATATAATACGTACATACCCCTATTTATATAATAATTATCGCTCAAATCGGTGTCTTAAGGAAAGTATCATAATAATGACAAAGCTAGAGACTATAAATTAAGAAACAGTTTTTTTTATTTTAACCTATCGATTTTCCTCCGTACATGATTTTATACAATTTATAATAATAAATTATAGTTACATAATTTATATATAGATTTCAAGATATTTTTTGGTACATATTTTATTTAAGAGAAGTGAGGCGAATGACACCAAGAAAATTTCAGATTTTAAAAATCTCAATAGAGCCTGAAATGATTCGAGACATTCGGCTTGAAATAAGAATTGATAACAATATTCTTCTGTATTACTTCTGATCTGAAAAATTAGTGTCTCTTTCACCCTACTTTACCCTTATAATTGATTATGTCGTTGATTAAAATTAATAAAGAAAATCGCAAAAAAAAAAAAAAAATCGAAGAAGTTGTGTAGATTTTAACTATTAAGTAATGTTATTTTTCAATATAGTTATTATTATTTAATATTTTTTGTTTTATATATATATTAAAAAATAATTTGGCAATACATACATTTAATTGTGAAAACAGAAATGCGATTGAACGTACAATTGAAATTACATAAAAGTTAAAGAAGTTAAATAATACGAAATAAATTATTTAATGGATTAATTATACGTGCACTTAATAATAAATACGATAAACGTTCAATAATTATTAATAATGATTAAATGATTTTTGATCAATGATTGATTTAAGTAAATAATAACCGGAAATAAATTATCATTAAAAAGTTTAAAAATAAGGATTTGTCTGACAAAAATAAAACCGATTGAGTAAAATCTACGTTATTAGTAATTAAAATTCTAATTGATATTTTCCACGTTATTTAAATAAATAAATAAATAAATAAAATAGTGTAAAAGACAAATGATGTCTATAACTATGCAGAGAATGGCAGTGAAGATGATGAGTACGATGACATGGCTGATTTTTGATGATAATGTGTTTGTTGATTTGACATCGTCTGACGTACACTGTCACACTTGGATCTCTCCTTTCTTGCAGAATGTTTGTATCCATCACGATCTTTTCCGTCTGGCCAGCTAACACTTCAAACCTTCATCAGATAGGGAATTCCCGCGACAACTGTAAAACCGGATAGAATAACTTTATTCTCTTAAAACAAATCTTAATTTGTTTTTCGATTCTTAATATTTTTTAATTTTTTGATTTGTTGATCTGAATATACTCGTTTAAATATTTACCACTTCCGAAAAATCCTCTTTTCGGTTTAGCAACTTTGTTGGGTTGACTTGATGATTTCTTCTCTTCCTTCTCCGTCCCAATTTTAGCATTTTTTTTGCTCTCCTTAGCAGTCAATTTGTTAATTGGCTTGAGCTGAGGTGCTACTGTTGTTGTTGACGCACCAGAAGAAGTTGAAGTCTTTGATGTTGAGGAAGTTGATGATAACTTGTTACCAATCTGTTTTTTGGATGATTGTGGAACGCGGCTGACCTTGGCGACCTTGGTACCGCGATTCAGATTAGCAGGACAGCACTGGTAAGGCTCATAGGAGGGTATTGTGGGTTTCGCGTTTTTACCACCCATTCCGATGTAGAAACAGCCGTCGCCTGTCGGTAAGCAAATAATCGTGTCAGACAACATAATAATGGCCGTTCTTTTATATTTTTAACGTTAACGAGAATATGGGAAATTTTTTAGTTGTATTAATTGAGAGCACTATTGTTAGACTAATAAATCAAACAGATAACGTGCGCGTAAATTTCATACTAAAATTATTATAGTTAATTTAAAAATTTAGTTAATAACACGATTGCTACTGATATTATTTTTAAATGGTTAGATTAATTAGTTAAAATACAATATTTTAGTTACTTTTTTTTAAATGCAATCTTTCAGCAATCAATGAAATTTCAATTGTAATAATTCGTTTTTACTTGTTCACTGATAACTGATATTTATTTAACAATTAATTTTGATGCTTATTTAGAGGATTAAATGCAAAGCGGAAAAATTATTTTTTTAAATGAAATTGAGATATATTATCTATAACACATTTTAATAAATAATCTCTTCATATTATGTGTAAATATTAAATAATAAAATAATTGAAATTTGAGTTAATCTTACCGGTAATTGAAAATAGTGAAACATGCTGTTAAAATAAATTTATGTAACTGATAACTCGATTAAGATAAATTCAAACTGCAAAAAGTTATAAAAGCGATTATTTATCAGTTAAAGTAAAAGCAAATGTTGAAAGGCTATAACTTAACTTAAAATGCCAAAAATAGGATATGAGCTGTTATTAATAGTGTAATGCGCGTTTAATGCAAGCGTTACACGCTTGTCAAAATACTAAATTGGAAAAAAAAAAAAAAAAAACTAAAGTTATAATTTAAATGCAAACGCCTCCAGACCAGCTTATGTCTGCAAAAAATCGTAAACGCCGTTGATATGTGATATTAAAGAATGAAAGTAACAAGCCGTACAAGGGTGCGTCAACGGGTATGTATAGTTGTTGACGCTTAAAAAAATAAAGATCGCCAGGATATCTATTCCTACTATGCGTAAAACTAACTGGAATTGAAAACAAAAAATTTTTGAAAAAAAAAGCCAATTCGGCACGCATCAAACTTATGATTCGTTGAATATCTATTCCTCGACTGCTATCAATCCAAATTAATACCTACTATAATTGGCGATCTCGCTGATATTAACATAACTTTATAATTATTTTCTATGCATAGGTCTGGATTTTTTGTTATGTACATATACGTATATATATATATAGATATTTTTTTTTTTAATGCATTGGCCATATCCAGAGTTATTATTTTTTGAAGAAATTTCATTCCAAATCTTTACAGTTGCGATTCAGGTAATCTTGTTGTGATTTTTACCTTTGTCATTACTTTTCTTCATATTTCTGCTAGGCTTTTTTTTTACATCAATATTATTATCTTCACCACTCATGTTGGCATCATCATCATCATCATCATCATCATTATCATTATTATCATCATCATCACTATCATTATCATCCTTGTCGTTATCGTTTTCATTTTCAGTACGATCATTATCGTCGTCATCATCATCATCATCATCATCATCATCATCATCATCATTATCATCATCATCATCATCATCATCATCATTGTCGTCATCGTCATTCTCACTATAGTCATCTTCATTATTACTATCATTACCTGTGTACCAAGAGTATGAGATGTCATGATCAAAACCACGAATACGCGAACTAATCTGTGTATCTAATAATTAGTGTTAACTGTTAAATTTAAATCGCGACAAATAATTATTATTTTAAGAAAAAAATTTTCCCTAGATTAGCCGCTGGAGGTGTAGCCCATACGCAATAAAATTTAATATAGCTTTATAATCTTCATCAATTTATTAATTTAATTCTTATTTTTCCTTAGTAAGCAAGATAATAATGCGCTAATAGTTCGAATTGTTAATCATGCGAGAGACAGAGAAATAGATTAAAAAAAATATATATATTAAGATTTCAATAAATTTTAGAGCAGTCATTGATTTAAAGTACATTAACTTAAGTTTAATAATTATTATTATTATGATTATTATTATTAATTCTATTGCGCAATTTACCAGTATTAGAATACGAAAAAAGGATGTTTAACATAATTAAGGATTACACGAAAATTTTGTCCACCCATCAGTCGGGATTTAAAAAAAAATATTTTATACATTACACACTTATTAAACAATTAACATAAAAGGAATTTAAATTTCTGTAAAAGTATAGTACTTATTCAGTAATAACACTAAAATGTTAGTTGATATTTTGATTGAAACTGATTAAATATTATCAAATCAAATAAAATACTTTGATTAATTTGATAAAATAAAAAAGTAAAATAAATGCTTTTAATTAATTAAGTAGCAATAAAGTTATATAGATATAAAATATAATATAGAATTCAAAAAGAAAGTATATGATAAATCCGCAAGTAAATTATAAAGATGGGGATCGCGCACGTCTGGGCACTATCGCTTTTTCATTTTTTTTGTAATTATAAGCCGATATATCAGTTACTATCGATATTAAAGTCACAAAGAACAGTACACCCGTAATAATAATCATCATTCTAGATGTTTCCTTACTTTTTTGTTCGATTAGCCATTCCAGAACTTTGTCCTCGTTCTTAAGATTACCTATAAAAGTCAGACACACGCACACATTTATAGAATAATTTTTAAATTATCTATCTGAATACGTTTCTATTTTACGTTCATATTTTATTTTAAAATATAAATAGTTCCAATAATAATTTTATTTTTAATCAAGTACCAAATTCTGTTAATAAAACGAATTTTTTATTTTTTAGCAAGTAGTCCAAAATCTGATAAATTAACACAATTTATTTTTTGATAAAAGTTAAAAATTTTGTGCTCTTACTTTTATTAGTGAAATAATAAATTTCACTCGTAAATTATATTTTATTTTTTATAAAATAAAATTGTAACTCTTACCGTCATACATAATAGGAACTCCAGTTTCGTAATAAACAAGAGCAGGAAATGAGAAAATTCCAATTTCAGCAGCTAATTTAGCGTCTTTTGATTTGACAAATTGAATTCCATATTTATCAGTATCATCGTCAATTGTCTCAAGTTCTTCTAATATTTGATGACACGTACTACATTTTTTTTCGTCATCATCATCTTTAAATAAAATAATATTCATTTAATAAAAATTGTATATGCGTTTAATACATATTATACGCAAAATAATAAAACAAATTATTTCTTACAAAATAAGACTGCTAGATGCTCAACATCATTGATTAAAACTTGGAGTGTTTTACGATCAACACTTTCAATAACATCTGGTGTAGAATGACGAAGTTGTAAAATCCATTCAAGAATAGACTCTTCATGCATCATATCTCCAGTGTAAATTTGCCGGAATTTATGACGATAAAAAGCAAGTGCTGGTAATCCAGGAAGATCGTATTCTTTTTCGATATTATCATCAGAAATTTTAACAAAATCAATATCTTCTTCTTCGCATTCGTCATCAATATTTTCAAGCTCTTGGAGAATTTTCTGACTTTTTTTGTCACCCTCTTTATCTGCACAATTAAAATCAATGTAATTAATTGTATGATTAAAATTTGAGATAGTCTTAGGCACTGAATTTATATTAAAACTTACAAAAGAAGACAACAACGTGATCATTTTCTTCGAGAATATTTTCCAACATTTTAATATTGACTTCTTCTATTTTACCAGGTATCTCAAGTGTATTTTCATCAGTAAGCCACGAAAGTACTTCATCTTCATCTTCAACATCACCTTCATAAATTAATGGTTCTTTATTTCTGAAGAAAGCTAATGCTGGTAATTTTTTAATATTATGTTTTTTAGCTATTCCTGTATCTTCAGTTGTCACAAAAATGATGCCTGTTTCATCGAGTTCATCATCAATGTTTTCTAATTCTTTTAAAACAGTTTCACATTCATCACCTTCATCGCAATTACCAGCTAAATAATTATAAGAAGAAATTTTATTTATTGATATTAAAAAAATATATACACACACACACACACACACACAATTATAAGTGGGACCATGTTAATATTTAATTGAGATTTTAATTAAAAAAATACTTGCTGAAATAAACAACGACGTATTCATGTTCATCTATGAGCCCAGACAGGATTTCATCAGTAACTTCTTCGATAGTGGCAGTTTTTTTTTGCTCGACTAACCATTGAAGCACCTCATCTTCATTGAGTAGATCACCTTCGTAGATGGCAGGAATTTTGTCTTCGAAATATACCAAAGTGGGAAGATGATCGATACCATAGTCTTTGGCTTCGGCTGCATTGTCAATACGAATCATAACGATATCTTCTTTTTCGAGATCGTCATCGATATTCTCCAGTTCATTTAAAATCCTTATGTTCTGCTTGTCGTCTTTTTCATCTAGGGTACCAGGATGAAGTGAATGAAGATGAACCTTGATGATGATGATTATTATAACTAAACCGACGTGATGTCAATAATATGACTTACATCGGAATTTACTTACAAAATAATACGGCGAGGAAGGGTTGTTTCTCAATCAGCTTCTCCATCATTTCATCAGTCACTTCGGGAATTTCACGGTGTTTTTTTTGGTGCAGTAGCCAGCCAAGAAGTTGATCTTCGTTCATCAGGTCACCTACAATTTATTTTTAATATTTTAAATAAAGGAAGATAAAAAAAATATTTATTACTTCATTTAAAATGTGTCTACCGTCATAGATATGCGGTATTCCTTTCTCGAATAGAACAAGAACAGGGAGGTTGTCAAGACCATACTCTTTAGCTTCTTCGTCGTCATCTATTTTAACAAATGCAATGTCGTGCTGATCACAATCATCGTCAATGTTCTCCAATTCAGCTAATACTTTTTGACTTTTCTTCTGATCTTTGTCATCTTAAAAATAAATAATAATTAGCATATTAATTAAGTAAATATCCAAATTAAAAAAAATTGGATACTTACAAAATAAAACAGCAACATGTGGCATTTTTTCAATGACCATATCAAGCATTTCATCAGTAATGTCTTCAATTTGATCGGACGCTTGTTGATCATCTAGCCATTTTAGAACTTTTTGCTCGTCTTCAAGATTACCCTCATATATAGTTGGAATACCTTTCTCAAAGTAAATCAACGCTGGCATTTTATCGATTCCGTACTCTTTAGCTTCTTCAGCGTTGTCAATTTTTACAAAAACAACGCCAAGTTGATCACACTCATCATCAATATTTTCTAATTCATTTAAAACTCTTTGAGATTTACGGTCGTTATTGTCGTCTATAATTATTATTTTTATTATTAATAAATTTAAATATATATATATATATATATATATACATACATATCGACGGTCTAATTAGCAATTGGTCTAACTCCTTAATTTTTAGAGAGTAATTTTTTAACATTTTGATGTAGCAATAGTCCAATTATAAATTCGGCTGCCCAATTTTAAAACACAGTAACTGCAAAATTTTTATACCTGATTTTTTTTTTAGTATTGCTGCATTTTTTATAACTTTTAAACCTTAATTTCAAGTATTTTTTCTTAATAATATTTATATTTGAGTATTTTCTATTTATAAATCAAATTTGTCATTAATTTGGCGGGCAAACTTTTTTTTAATAAGAAAAATTGAAAAAAATTTTTAAATGTTAGTTACTGTGTTTTGAAATTGGGCAGCCGAATTATTTGAATGATCCAAACCAAAATACTATACCTCTATTAGATACTAAATTGTTTTTTCCTGATTTTTTTTTTAGATTGCTGCATTTTTTATAACTTTTAAACCTTAATTTCAAGTATTTTTTCTTAATAATATTTATATTTGAGTATTTTCATTTATAAATCAAATTTGTCATTAATTTGGCGGGCAAACTTTTTTTTTAATAAGAAAAATTGAAAAAAATTTTTAAATGTTAGTTACTGTGTTTTGAAATTGGGCAGCCGAATTATTTGAATGATCCAAACCAAAATACTATACCTCTATTAGATACTAAATTGTTTTTTAAAGTGATAATAAATTTTGAACTAATTGTTTTTTCGTACAAATGGAAGATGCTCTAAATTGGAGTTAGACTAATTAGAACGCCGATATATATTTGTACTAAAAATAAATTACTTACAAAACAGTACAGCAATAGTCTTTCCTTCTTTTACCAAACGATCAAGCATTTCATCGGTAACATCTTCGATTTCATCTTTTTCTAATTGAGACAACAACCACTCAAGTATTTCATCTTCATTCTCAACATCGCCTATAGAAAATAAAATTATAAGTTGTAAATATTATTAGAGAGCAATTAAAATAGAAATATGAATTTAATTGAACGCAATAAAAATGACTCACCATCATAAACATTTGGAATTTGTTTTTCAAAATAAACAATTGCTGGAACAGAATCAATTCCGAAATCTTTAGCCGCTTTAACATCGTCTATTTTAACAAATTGAATTCCATGTTTATCTAAATCATCATCTATTTTTTCTAGTTCTGCAAGCACTTGCATTGAATCGTCATCCCCATGATCATCTACGTCAACAGAAATAATTATTTTTAGCTCAAATTTATATACTTGTAAGATACATAATGGCTATAAATTATATTAACTTACAGAAAAGAACAACAAGATTGTCCATATTTCCAATCAAAGTATTGAGAGTTTTAGCAGTTACGTCTTCAATTACATCTTCTTCGTCACCAGTACTCTTGTTTGATACTAACCATTCTAAAACATCTTCTTCTTTGCTTAGTTCGTCTGCAATACATTTTAATTTTTATTAATCTCAATATGTGTTATTGCATTCAAATGATTTAAATGCACTTACGTTCATAAATAATGGGTATCTGATGACGGTAGTAAACTAATTTCGGCAACGGCCCCAAATTATACTCCTCCGCAAGTTCTTCATCAGCAATTTTAACGAAACCAATACCCAACTGATCAGCTTCATCATCGATATTCTCTAATTCCATTAGAGCTTTTGCACATTTTTTGCAGTCTGGCTTGTCTGTCCCATTTTAAATCAAAATAATGTTAAAGTTAAATTTATTTTATATTTTTATTCAAGAATTTGAAAGTATATTTTATAATTTAAAAGAATAGTTATAATTTAATTGAAAAATTTTTTTATAATTAAAAAAAAAAAATAGGTATGTACTTTCATATTCTTAATAATTTTTTTATTTTTATCTAATTGTAGTTAGTCTACTGGATCAAAAAAATGTAAACTAAATCACTCTGCTATATACAAGGGTATAAATGGAAAAAAGCGTTTTAAAATAAAATTATATATTATTTACAAATGTCGAGTTGTTTTTAGTAGAAAGGACTGTTTATTTCTACTTGGTTTCTACGTTTTTTTTTTTTTTCTAATTACTTTTTTTCTACAAATGTTGGAAGGCATTTTAATGAATCAATAGATGCCTATTTTTAGAGTGTGTACTTACTAGAACTAGCACCAGCACACCGCTCCGAATCTGGACCTATTCATATCGACACACATAGAAAAAAAAAAATCTTCTTTTTCCTTATTGCAATAATAATTATATGTACAATTAAAACAGACGTCAAGCCAACTGCTTTATTAATATAAGTCTTGAATAAATTATTTAAAATAAAAATATGTACAATAAAAATAAAAACATAAAATTTGTTTGTATAAAATCAATAAATTTAGCATGCAAAATTTGAAAATAAAAAATTTAATCAAAACAATAAATATTTTGAATGAACTTTCAAAGATTGCTTATATACAAAAGCTGAAAATGTATAACTTGATTTTTTTTTATTTTCTTTTAAATAAAAAATATTTAAGAATTGAAAAATAAATTATGTACAAGTAAAAAAACTTACAAAACAATACGGCTACAAATTCCGTGTCTTCAACAATTTTACTGAGAATTTTTGCATTAACTTCCTCAATTCGATCAGGCAAATCCATAGCTTCAAGACTTGTGAGGAAATCTAAGACACCTTCTTCGTCCATCAGGTCACCTATTTAATTGTCGAAAAAAAAAAGAATTAATTTTTATTTCATTATTATTTACAGGTCTAATATAAAATTTTAGTAACATTTCAAGATATAATATGTATTTTTCCTTATTATTCAAAATACCTTGACCAAAAGAGTATAGTAATGATAATATATTGGATCTATGTGTTTTGACTTACATCCAAGGTAATTTCAAAATAATTATTTTGTAATAATTTTAAGAATTTAATTAACTGTTTTAATTTTTATTTGTTCACATAGATGCCTGACGATATTAAGACAATGCTGAGAAAACTTTGCATATTTAAATAATGAAGAAAAATATATATTATTATTAGTCTTTGATACCTTAATATCATAAATGTTTATTTAACTTCATTTATTATTATTATAGTTGCTCTTTCTATAATATATATTTAAATTTTATTGAATATTTCTTTTTATTTATTTATTTATAGAATGTAAAATGATTCTAGGTCAAATGACTTGTGGTTCTCGTATGCCTGACAAGGTTACTGCTTCGGCGAGATTCCAATAAAAATTTTTGGCGAACTAGTGTAACCCGCCTCCACAAAGGTCCAATCGTTGAGGTTGCATTGTTGAGAGACAACATCATACAATAAAGTTTATCTTTCAATGTCTGACTAATCGCAACCTCAACTAATACTAATACTAATTATAATTATGATATCACGTATATCTATAATTATAAAATTTACTAAATATAAAATACTCACCCTCATAAATAATTGGTTCTTTTTCCCGGAAGTATGTAAGTGCTGGAAAATTCTTGATCCCATATTGTTTAGCTAGTCGTTTATCATTAATTTTTACAAAATCAACTCCAAATGTGTCGGTATCATCGTCTATTTTTTCGAGTTCAGCTAAAACTTTATCACACGTAACGCAACTTCTTGCATCTGTAAAAAAATAAACAATCCATTCAATTTATAGATAAATTTATTATTAAATGAATTACACATAATACTAACATAGAATATAATAATGTTTTAATCTTTAAACTTAAACATAAAAAGTAATTAATCTTATTTTGCAAGCACTGCCAAGCGGCAGCGGGTATACCGTCGTTAATTGTAAGCTGAAAAAGCTCGTCAACAAATCTTCAGTCACTAATGCGTGTACCTAGTGATAGACTATGATGTTACATCATTTCGACCTTGCTTTTCAATTAGTCTACGGCGATACTTTGAAAATAATTTCGTAATTTCAGAAATCAATACTCGATTAAATATTGAAAAGTTTACCAACAAAACCGCACTGAGAAATTTTATCCAACTTTTATGATGAAATATTCAACTTGGATTATAATTGCATACATTTACATGATCTCATTAGAGCGGCCAAGTACAAGAAGACAATTTTCAATACAATAGTCTGCTTAAAAAGCCAAGGAGTTCCCTGATTGTACGATTAGCATTTGTTAGCATTGATATGAAAATTAATTTAGCTGATATTTAATAATTTTTTTAACAAATAAATTATGGCAAAAAAAGTTATGAAAAAAAATATGGCATGTAGAAATTTAAAAAAATTAAATGTGCTATTTTTTAAAAAAAATTTTCTGGAACAAATTTATTTATAAAAAAAAAAATTAAAAAATGGTCAAGTGACTGCTAACTTTAATGTCATAGCATTGATTGGTAGGTATTGAATTACCAGTCTTAAAATTGATACCATCAAATCAATGAAAATGGCACATTGTTTGAGAAGAAATAATCTCGAGTATTTCAATGAAAATGTTTAGGGAATAGAAGACATTAATTATTTTGATAATAAATTATATATTACTTAAAATCTTATCTATTAACTGTGGAGAATAGCGTAGCGTAGTTTTCTTTGCTTGCATGCCCGCCAATTTAGGCGATGTCGTTACTGAGAATAGAGCAGTGAAATAAGTTTAGAGGGAGTTGTGAGAGAGAAAGATAAAGAGTAAAAAAGACGACAGAGTTAAACAGATAGTAGAGTTAAAGAGGGGATCACTCTCTTCCATTCAAGCAATTTTTAACTACTTATATTCTTCTTTTCTTTACTAGCATCGTCATCATAATTATATTCTTTCTGTCATAATTTCTTCCTCATTATAACTTATTTTATTTTATTTATCTATTTAGAATTACCTATTCTCACGCATGCGTTATTTATTATTTAAAATATCACTTACAGGCTTACATTAATGTCTGCTGAAAGTGTATATGAATGTCTATCATCATAAAATATATTTTGTAGTTAGAGTTCTAATTTTGAAATAACATCTGATATATATTTCTGTTTTCATCTCTACGCTGATAATTTAACAAACAAGCTTTAACGTTTGACATTATGATTAAATAATTTTTACAATTGCAAACAGTTTTAACCTCGGATTTTTTTATAATCCTACATCGGTTTACTATTAATAAAAAAAAAAAAAACGTATGTAATACAGACGAACGGAGAAAAAAAAAAAAAAAGAAGAAGAAGACATTTTTAGATACTTCTTTCAACGCGTCTGGTAACTTGAGGAGCCTATACTACGTACGTGACAGGTTCAACAAATTATTATATTGTAATAGCAGTTTCAAAATTTCTTCATTCCACATAACTTAATCGTTAGATATTAATAAAATAAGTAAATAAACAAGTAGAAACAGATAAAAAAAATAATGACATTGAAGTTAGCAGACACCTAAAAATTTTTGATTTTTTTTTATTAATTAATTTACAACTAAAAAGATATTTTTAAAAAATTGCACTTATAGTTTTTTAAGTTTTTTACATGTGAAATATTTTTTTTTTAAATTCTTTAATTGAAATTTCTTCAATAAAAAATTTCTAAAAATTTTGAAATGTCTGCTAACTTCATTTTCATAAAAAATAACGGAGTATGAAACAAGTTAAAGCTAAAATTTTTAGTCCGGGGGCCGATGACTTTTATTTTATTTCTAATTATTGGGTTTCAGGTGGGTTGCAACCTGTTGCGGGAGATCGTATTGTCGTCACGATGTTTTCCGGACAGAACCCGATCATCTTCCGAGGTGTACAAAACGATTATTTGGAGAGGGAAAGTATAACGTCGTACTGTGCCAAAATAACTTGGGTACGTATTCTAAAAGCGGTGCAGGCCACCACGTCGATCGAAGACTACCGCGTCTAGTGAGTGTTCTGATTTAACCAACTCCCCTTTGCTTTTAACAAATCTTACTCACTAGCAAGAGACCCAGCGGATTATGATCATGATGATCATGATAATTATCTAGTCAGAACACTAAATTTGTTGGACACTGAATTACTACAAGAGCATCAGAAGAATTAGATGTTTAAGCAAAAATACAGTCTAAAAATGAAAGGTCATGTAATAGAAGATAAGATGATACGATAAAAAAACATAAAAATAGTCTGCAAGAACATTCGGGTATCGTCATTGAGATTTAGTTACGCAACCATAACCGCATGTTTGCCATCACGTGTACTTTCTGTTCTAGGGTGAAAGACACAAACCCTTAAAACTTATTACACAAACGATGACTTACACCAGTAAACAGCAACAAAGTCCTTCTCTTGAAGAAGACGTTCGAGCTGTTTAGTAGTAACCTCTTCTATCACCGGTTCAGCTTCTTTTTGATGATGTCCTGGTGATGATGATGATGATGATGATCCTGTTGGTGATGAAGAAGTCTTTCCACTGCGCGTAACACTAGGTTCGTCCTGGCGCACATTCTTAGCTCCGTGTACGCCGTAACTTCCGTTAGATATAATCACCAAGACACCGAGAAGAAGAAGAAAAAATACACTCGGCCTCGGCATCACTGTGCGCCAGTATCGGCACCCCGTCGAACCGTCGTTCGTCTTCGACATTACCGCACTGACTGCGACAGTTATTTTTGATTTTATAACAGTGTCCGCCCTAGCTAGCTGAGTATAACGATGATCATGATGATGACGATGATGATGATGATGATGATGATGAGCTCGTGGATCCAAAGCGCCGCCGCAGACAAAATACCCTGAAGAAGGGGCAGTCAAATTCTGGATTACGGTAGTCGAAAATTTTTAAACATCGCTCTTTATCATGTCTTTGCTTTCCGACCGTTACCTGAAAATCACGTAAATGATGGCATTACTTTTTTTTTTAATTGCGTAGGAGGTTCTGAGCTGCAGAGTTGAGGGGAGAAACTTATGTGTAATGGATGCAAGAAAGAAGCTTTTATTTTCAACTCAACTATTTCATATAAACAATTTTTAAAAATACACTTTATTTTTTACTTTTTTTTTTTTTTTTTTTTTGAGCGAACAATTTTTTTATTCTGTGATTTTTTAAGAAATAAATTGTCTGTAAAAATAAATTTTTTGTCGTTTTTTTGTTTCAGATGTAAGTACGATCGACAAAAATACAGCTCTATCAGAATGTGGCAATATGCTTTTAATGTTATAAAAAGAAACATCTTTACAACTGAACCAAATGTTACCATTAATGATGCCTTGTCTTTAGGTATAAATTATTACTTTGGTTACTTTAATGTATTGTAGGTTTGCGTTAATAAATATTTACGAAATTTAATTTATTCTGATGTCAAGGTTGGATGTAAAAAAGAATACCGTGGATAATTATAGTTTGATGCATGTGGAGCATTGGAAAATGTCATGATATTCAAAATATATATAGACTAAGGTGAGTTGTAAATAAACAATATTTTTGTAAATATTTATGTTTATTTATTCGTTGATCATGTAATTTTTTTATTCAAAAGTATATTTAAATTAAACTTATTTACGAGTTTTTCAAATTCATTTTGTTTTCACTGTTCACTTTATTACAAGAAAACATTTGAGTCTGCTTTTTTATTAATAAACCGATTTTTACTAAATTTCAACATACTATACGTAATTGATTGACCTAATTTTTTTACACTTTCTAAGCTATTAAATAATGCTTTACGTCTGCTCGAAAATTTCTCAGTGATATACATGTAAAATATATTTCGACACTCTTTTCAGTGAACTTTAAAAATCAAATTTAAAAAAAGCTATTCTAATCCGAGAAACCTGTGATGTCAATCATGTATGAAATTTCGTAGACATGATAACTTTTGAACCACATAAATAATTGATTCAATTAGTCATCATATAATAAATTAATTTTTAAATTCAGAAGAAAATTTCTAATTTATCAGACAATTATATATTTAAAATATAAAATAACTATTAGCACTTAAAATAATTCTGTACAATAAAGAATAATCGGTCATGGTTAATTCTCTTTTTTTTTTTTTTTTTTTCAAATTACGTAATTGTTCAAAGTGTACACTTTTGAATTTTCAAAATTTCTTTGTATTTTTTATAAATTAATGTAAAGTACTCTTTCAAAATTTTTTTAATTACAATCAAGAAAAACAATAATTCGAAATTAATTAATTCATGTGAACACTAATTACGATGCGAATTATTTATGATAAACTGAATGTCTTAGATAAAAATTTTTTAATAGTGATAACAATTCATTACATTAAGGTCATAAAATAATAATCGCAAATATTGTTTTATATAATTCTGTTTATCTGTAAAATTACGATGTCTATTTGGTTAAAGTTTTTAATTAGCAGTGATAACGAAAATAATTATTTAGAAGGGAGAGAAATTTGTATAATGGTAGTAGTGCATGTGCATCATCCAGACTAATAATCCTCTTACTACTTACTCAGTTCGATACTGGACACCATGAAGAAAACAACTCGCGGTATGGACATCATTATCGTTGGAGGCGGTTTGGTATATTTATATATTTATATATATATATTTGAATTATTACAAGTGTAAAACACCAGCTTAAATAGATAAATAAAATAAATTTATTTACATTTAAATTTAAAATACAAAACATGAGTACATAATAATTCATAGAACTCTTAGAAGATGGAAATTATTATCCAAAATAAAATTGTTAAAGGAATATTTTTTATATAATAGTCTTAATAATTGAATATATTAATCATTTATTTTAGTTATTATCATTATTATTGACGTAATTAATTTTTTTAGGTCGGAGGATTAGCTGCTTGTGCTCTTGCTAAACGCGGTCATCGTGTTCGTGTTTATGAGTATCGATCTGGTAATTATTTTATCAAAATAAATAATGATTATATCAATTAATAAAAAAATTTTTTTAAGATATAAGAATAAAAGAAGCCCGCGGTCAAAGCATTGACCTTTCTCTGTCATATCGCGGTCGTCAAGCGCTAAAACTTATTGATCTTGAAGACAAAATTGTCAATCATCATGGTATTTCTATGCGAGGTAGAATGCTTCATGGTAAAGATGGCAGTCTTAAAGAAATGATTTATGACAGCGTTAAAAAAAATGTAAGTTTTATTTATTTTTATTTAGTTATTTTGTTTTTATGAAATTTAAATTATTTTTTTTTAGACACTTTACTCTGTCAGCCGATTGTATATGAATCAAGTTCTTCTTGATGGTAAGTTTTTTTTATTTCTTATTCGGTCAATACTGAAAATAACAGACGTCCGATGATTAACTTGTTTTTATCAACAAATAAACAATTATTTTAAAAAATATTCAAAAATATGTTAAATTTTTTTTTTTATAGTAAATTTATTCAAAAATTTTCCAGACGTCTGCTGTTTTAATTATCATAATTTTAGTACTTCATGTACTTGTAACTTTGAATTTAAATCATAAAAATGTATACACATGTATATTTATATAATAATTGAGGAGAAAAGACGGAGTCGTCTTACATCGAGTTTAAAGAAACCTTATAAGAGATGATATCAAATTTCTTCCTCCCTTTATCCATTCGAAAAGAATGGATATGTTAATACGACGTAATATAACTTTTTTTTTTATGATAATAATCATAATTGTTAAACTTTTCCTCTTGTAAATTTGTTCTTGAGATAAAAGAAATAAAAATATTAATCAACAGATTATATTATACTTACATAAAAATATAAACTTAAGTATAAGCTCTCAAACAAAAATTTCTTCGGGAAAAGAAAAAGAATATTTATGACAGTAGATTGTATTACCTGAAAGAACCACAAGACAAGGATTTAAATATAGAATTGAATTTCAATGTATCAAATAAAATTTATTTTTTTTTTTTTGCTTGTTCGAAACCACAGCTGCTGATGAATATCCATCGGTAACTTTGTTTTTCAACCATAAACTTTTGGAAGCTGATTTAGATAATGGAAAATTGAAATTTTCAAAGTAAGTTTTGATTTTTACTTTTATAATATTGAATATTTTTAAATATTTGTACACACGGTTAATGGTAGGACAAATACGCAAGAAGTAATAGAAGTAGAAGCTGACTTAATAATTGGAGCAGACGGCGCTCATTCAACAGTTAGAAAAATGATGTTGAAAAGACCTGGTTTTGATTTTTCACAAACTTATATTGAACATGGCTATGTTGAGCTTAATATTCCGCCTCGAATGATTGATGAGAAAAATCCAGAACGTGGGCATGAGGTAATAAAAATTTTTGTTTTTTATACTGATGTGTTATATTTTTAATTTATTGAAGATAACTTTCTACATATTTTTTTCTAGTTTTGCATGAGCTCCAACCATTTACACATCTGGCCACGAGGTACATTTATGATGATAGCTATGCCGAATGATGATCACTCATTTACCGGAAATATTTTTGCTCCACTGGATATTCTTAATGGTCTGGATACTCCAAAAAAAGTTATAGACTTTTTTACCGAGCAATTTCCTGATGTAGTTCCACTTATTGGTAGCCACCAAACTCTAGTTGATAATTTTTTTATGGTCAAACCGAAATCACTTATTTCAATTAAATGTAATCCGTATCATATGGGAAAAAGCATTATTTTGGGTGATGCTGCACATGCTATGGTACCTTTTTATGCCCAAGGAATGAATGCAGTGAGTATCTTGTTTTTAATAAATAAATATTAATATAAAATATATTTAAACTTATACATAGATTTTTTTGAATCATTTACTTTACAATGTCTTTACTTATTCTCTCCGTATATAAAAAAAAAAACCCATTAATTAATTTTTATTTAAGATTTATTTGTCTTGAGAATTTTCAATGATTTTCCTCTACGTTGCTCTAATTTAAGGGAAATAAAATAATAAAATACCTAATATTAAATTTTAATAGTTAAAATGTGTCCTCTGAAAGTTATATTTAATAATAACTTTTTTTTTATTCTAAAATATAAATCTAGGCATTTGAAGATGTTGTAATACTCAATGAGTTAATGGATCTTTATAATGAAGATATGTCAAAAGTATTACCGGCTTTCTCAAAAAAACGATGCGCTGATGCTCACGCCATTTGTGATCTTGCTATGTATAATTACATTGAAGTAAGTATTGGAATTAAGTATCATATAACCAACCTCTCCCATAATTTAGCTTTCTTCTGAATTATTTTAAGACTGATAACTATATTATAATTTCATACTTATTAAATTATTATTTTTAAAAAATCACACCTTCAGAATATCAGTACTTTGTTATAAATCACATTGTATTTATCTCTTTATATTTAAATATCACAGAAGAATCCCGTTTCTATAAGGGTGATTCTTTGTAAGGATGTTTTTTGCTGTCCCAGGCATTTTTTTATTAGAAAAATTGTTATTTTGTTACTAAAAAAAATTTATTATGAAAGCAAAAAAACATTTCTATTTGGAGCATAGAAAATTAAAATGAAATAAATTTTAGTTTTTTTGCTATAAATTCGTAAACCACCGAAATGTCAGTCCTCTGGGCTGTCCCAGTCCCAAAATTAAAACTTTAAGATTAAATTTTAAGTTATTCGTCAATAATATATAATTTGGTCCATAATGATTATAAAGTTAATTAGTTAACTCACAACCTTCTTCAATAAAAAGTACCGAAAGTTAATTTGTTTCATTGAATTCATTAAATCAAAGCTTGTCCCAGGCATTTAAGATCAGTCCCCTGCCAGAAGTTCAAAGCCAAAAAAACAATAGTCTAGCGTGTTATTTGACCTTTTGTAAGGTTTATAAGGATCTAACTAGCCTTAAGTTAATAACCATAGGGCTGTTAGCGCTTTATCGCCATCTTATTTAGTGTTAAAGCACCGTTTGTGCTGGAAATATGTGTCTGGGTCACTTAAAAACTCAGTCCCCTGGCAGCTATTTTTGTTTATAATTTATTTATAAAATTGGATCCATAAGTCTTAATATTATTCTAATTAATGTAAACATTCATTGAAAACTTGAAAAGTTGAATGCATTGAAATAGTTTGCTTGATTTTTCTCAATTTGATAAAAAAAAAAACAGTCCCCTGTCATGTTATATGGCAAAAGACACACAAATATCGAAAAAAACAAAAATTAATTTGACTGTTTATTTATTATGATTAAGCTGATAGTTTTGTAGCCCTTGTTAATTTTTTTTCTAATAAAATCAAAAATAATTTAGTCGGACAATTTTCTACAGATTTAAGACGTCCTTACAGAGAATCACCCATAAACTTAAGCACATTAATTAATTTTATAGTTCAGTAAGTAAAAAATTTTTATAAAATTTGCAAGATAAATTTTATTATTACAGATGCGAGAACTCGTCTTGAAAAAATCATTTCTAATGCGTCGTACAATTGATACATTTCTTCATTGGATGTGTCCAGACAATTGGCTGCCACTCTATAATTCTATTCACTTCAGCCGGATGGGATTCCGCGATTGTGTTAAAAATCGTGCTTGGCAGGATAAAGTGAGTTAATTTTATTAAAATAAACGAGCTCATAAACTTAACACTCTAAATATATTATTTTTAATTTTCAGATTCTCCAAAGATGCATGTGGTTTTTATTTACGGCTATAGCGCTCGGTATACTTTTTACTTCATTAAATACAGCCTATTGGCATCGAGCCTAATTTTTAATAATAATTTAATAATCATTCATCGTTTTAAAATAATTTTTTCATTATTAATTATGAAACCACTAGCACTCCAAACTAGTAATCAATAATATTAAATTAGATATAGTATAGATTCTAGGTCAATAATAAGAAAATATATCGATGTTCTAATTAGCAAATTGTTTAGCTCCATATTTTTGAGTAAGCGATTCTTTGACATTTTTAGATAATAATAATATTCTGAATAAATATTATTTGGGTAATCTGAACAATATTTTTATACATACAATAGATATTGAATTGATTTTTAGATAAAAAAAAAATTTAATATACTCTTTTTTCTTACAAATTGAGGATTTTTCTGAAGTGGAATTAAACAATTTGCTATTTAGAACATCGATATATAAATCTTCTGCTTGCATAATTATTATCGAATATTTTATAACGTGATAAAATTATAAACTGAATTTACATTTATATATTAGCTCTTCACATATTTAGGTTCAACCAATTTAATTAACAAGCACGTGCACTTTTGTACTTATTTTTTGTAGATAAAATAAAAAGTGATAATCAACAAATGAAGTGTTTATAAATTTTTTATCTCGTAATCGATTAATCTTTAATCAAGTTGTTTTACAGATAAATAATTCATTCTAATATCAAATTAATATCTTTAGGATTGCTTAAATAATTGTATTTTTGTGTTTCAAATAATTCTAACAATTTTTCTTTAAATAGGCCATGGTACTTGTCTATTTCTTCATTAGATGGTTCAGTAATTTTTGGGATATTTAGAGGTGCTCCAACTGAAAAAAAATATAAATAAATAAAAATAAAAATAGTTGTGGAAGAGGAACAAAAAATAATTTTCAATTATAAACTACTCTCTAATTCTTCGCTTTATAAGTCATGAAAAAAAAAAAATAATTCTAGATATTACCAACAACATTGATTGGTCTTCTATAGGGTACGATACCAAATGTATATTGAAATAATCCTCGACCTTTAACAATTACTGGAATAAGTCCCGTGTAATTCTTCATTGTTTGTTGAAAATTATGTAAAAATGAATTTTCTTTAGCATTAACCTGATCGTATATATCTGTTTCACCAAATGAAAAAACTGGTACCAATGGTGCACTACAAAAAAATATATTAAATAGTAAAGTAAATAAATCAAAAATACATGAGATTAAAAATGAATACAAACCCTGTTTTTAACGCCATCCTAATAAAACCTTTTCTTTTATTATAAATAATACGATATGTAGATGGTTTGCAATTCAAAGCTTCTGCTGCTCCACCAACTATCAGTATGACAGCATTATTGAAATCTTCTGGGCTTGTTGTTTTATAGGATAACAAATTTTCAATACTTTCAGCACTTGAACTACAAGCTCCTAAAGTTATGAATTTTTGTTAGGTAACACAATGTTAAATTCTGTTAATTAGTGGTTTCATAAAATATTTACCACAGCAATATGCGAATTCTCTGAAAAATGGTACCATAAAATGCTGAGTGAGAGTAAGCATTTTGGACTCAAGACCCGGAAAGAGTTTTTCAAACTCCAAAATATTGGTTGCAAATGCTGCAAAAGCGCCTGACGCTAAAATTCCATGAGGGTATGCGCAAAATAAATAATTTTTTGATGGCTCAAGATCCACCGTTTTATGAAGTTTTATTGGAAAATAATCACGGTAATAATACCACCATAAACTATTTTTTAAAGGCTGAGTCCATCGTCTTCTATATAAAATGAAAGAAATTACTTTTATTAATATGTACAGATGAAATACAGCGTACAAGATATACGCGATGGTTCTCAATGAGAGATTGAAAAGTGATATAGAAGAAAAAAGAATACTCCCGGAGACTCAATTAGGATTTAGGAAAGGGCGAGAAACGATAGACAATATCTATATTTTGAAGCATCCAGTGGAAAAAGAGCTTGCAAAGGAGAAAGGAAAACTCTTCACTTTTTTTGTAGACTTAAAAGCAGCTTTCGATAGTGTTGACAGGAAAGTATTGTGGGGAGCCATGGAAAAGAGTGGAGTAAGACAGGTGCTGACCGAAAGAGTGAAAGAGCTGTATAAGGAGACAAAAAGCAAGGCAAAAGTAGGAAATAGTCTTTCAGAAGAGTTTTGGACCAAAGAAGGAGTGAGGCAAGGTTGTCCATTGAGTTCCACACTGTTTACGATTTTAATGGCGGATTTAGGAAGAGAGCTGAGCAAAGGACAAACAGGTGGAGTGGTAATAGGAAAGGAGAAAATCTGGTGTCTAGAATACGCAGATGACGTGGTATTGCTCGCAACAAGCAAAGGAGAACTAAAAGAAATGATTAAAAGGCTTGAAAGATACTTGGACAAGAAGAAGTTGGTTTTAAATGAAAATAAATCTAAAGTGATGGTATTCAGAAATGGAGGTGGTAAGAAAAAGAAAACAAACTGGTTTTGGAAGGATAGACCGTTAGAGGAAGTGAATAAATTCACGTACTTGGGGTATCTTTATAAATGCACCGGGAAAAACAAGGCACACATTCAAGAAAGAGTCAAAAAAGCAGTCACGGTAATGAAACAAACTTGGAGTATAGGAGAAAGGATTTTCAAAAAAGACTACAGAAGGAGAATAAAAATGTTTGATAGCCTAGTGGTGAGTGTAATGGCGTACGGGGCAGAATTGTGGGGGTGGGAAGAAGTAGAAGAAATGAAAAGGGTACAGAAGAAATATATAAAATGGACACTGGGGTTAGAAAGATGCACACCAGATTGTGTGTACTATTTGAAGAGACTAAACGTGAAAAACTCAGGTTGAGATTTGCAAAGCTAGCAGCGGACTATGAGAGCAAGGTCATGAAGAAAGGAGGAATTGTGAAAGAATGTCTGATGGAAAGAATCAAAGGAAAAGGCTGTAAAAAGAGTTTAAAATAAAGGACGAAGCTCCTAAACGAGTGCGGACTCAGTCAAGAAGAAGTGGAAAGAATTAGGAATGCAAGAGGATCTATTGGTCTCGAGATAAAAACACGAGGAATGGATGTACAAAGGCAGCTGCAATGGAATAAAATAGAAAAACTAAAGTACAATCAAAGATACAAGGAAATATATACAGGTGAATTGCCGTCATACTTAGAAAGAGGATATGAAGAAAATTATGCTATAATAGCAAAAGCAAGATGTGGAACTTTAGAGGAAGCCAACAAAACTTGGAAAAGTGATAAAGAGAAGAAATGCTGGCTTTGTGGCAAGGGACAAGACTTAATAGTACGCTGGTGGGAGGGATGCGAGGAGGTACAGAGAACAGCGCTTTCAATTGAAGAAATATTAAGTAGTGAAGAAGAAAAAGAAGCAGCTACCTGGTTGAAAGAAATAGAGAAGAAAAAACGCGACATACGGAAGAAAGCCAAGGAAGCGAAGGAGAAAGAGGAAGGATAACAAAGAATAGAAGAAGCAACTTTGTATTGTTTCAATTATGTGTGATATAATAAAGATAGGCAGTGTAAATACCAAAAAGATATAAAATCATTAAATATTAAATATAAAATAAAATAGACAGAGCCGTGAAATGAAAAATATATCATAAAAATATATACGTATATAGAGAAGTAATAAAAGAATTCTGCACATTGTATTAAGTTAAAATAATCGAAATAAGTAAAATAAGTAAATGTAATTTAATAGAAATAAGATTATGTAAAGTTATATGTACTCAGTCCTATTTCTAGGCCCCCAAGGCTGAAATAAATAAATAATAAAAAAATAATATGTACAGATGAAAATCATCTCTATAGGACAGATATTTTTGTTATACATTTTTAACTATATGTATTTCAAATGTCTGTAATTTTCTGGTAATAAATTATTATTATTATTTTTATAATAAATTTAAATTAAAAAAAAAAAATAATTTCAATTTGGAAAATTCGGATAATTGAAGAATATTAAAAAATTCAGAATAATTAAATAAAACAATTTTAAGTAATAATTTTCGGGGTTCTTAAAATTAAAAATTTATTAAATTAATTAAAGAAGAATCATGTGAAGAAAAAAATATTTAATAATTAGAAATGAATAAATGAAAATATTAATATAAAAAATAGCAGATGCTTAAAAATTGTTTTATTTGGGAAAAAAAAAAAAAAAAAAAAAAAAATTAAATATTCTGAAAAAAAAATTTTTTTCACCATTTTAAAAGTACTTTTTAGCAGATATAACAGTTGTCTTCTTATTATATTTATTTACTAAAATGACTATGAATGTCAATTATAGTAAAAATAAAATTTCTTATAACTTACGCACGCCCACCTCGAATACAAGTATCTTTATCATAATATATCCACATTAAATAAAAAATACTAAAATATCTCATCCACGTAGTAAAAAGAAGAAAATAAATAGTTGAAAGCCATCCTATAACACCACCAAATCCTAATACAAATATCCATGCAGCGGCGGCAAGTGTTTGTAGTCTTCTTTTTAACGGCACTCGAAGGGGTGCAAAGTGAATTCCAAATAATTCCATTAGTTAATAATTAATCTCTTAACAGAATTAACACAACTCGTTGGAAAATAATTTTTTATACAATTTTAATGATATTTGTGTTCTTATGAAACTAGAAAATTAGTTTTCAAACTAACGATAAGTGTTCATAGTTTACTTATGTGCGTATTTATGACCTGCAATTTTATCAAATTTTATTGGAAGCATAGATAAAAAACAGTTTAAGTTTTAAATGAGTATTTTAATTTTTTGCATTAACTCATTAAATTAAAAAAGAACGCGTTCATTAATAACGAAATATACCTCTAACATAATAACATATTTACAAAATATAACAAATTTAAAACATATAATCCGCTGCAACTTGATACACACGTCTCTGTTTTGATGCACAAATTTACCGGTGCACTGTTTAATAATTACTTATCAGTATTTTACATTCTTTGAACATTGAACATATTGATTTACTATTAAATATGACGGTAAAAACTTAAATAATAAAAAAAAAATAAATAATGAATGCACTTGTCCATTTTAAACACCTCAATACTAGTTTCAATAATAGCGACTTCCAACCGGCGAACTTTGTATTTAAGACTAAGTTCTTCGTTACGATAACTTTTATCTTATCCATCAGGTATAGTAATACCGACATAACTAATTATTTTTCACCGACTTTATTCTATTATGTCGTATTCTGATGACAAAATTATAAATTTAATAATAACCAGAATCCTTCGAGCTATCAAAAAAATCATTCTCTTAAACGTAGAACTGCTGTTGTTATGGTAAATTATTAATATTAGTTTTTTTTTTTTTTTTTTTTTTTTTGTAAGTAAATAACACATAATATTTGTAGTTGTAACCTTGTGATGTAACTTTAAAGATATGTATGACGACGGATAATAATCTTGTAAATATCTTTTATTGTATAAGTAAATGAACCATTAAATTTTATTCTATGCTTACGGAAACAAGGTTTTTTTTCTCAAATAATTTCGAATTATCGCCGATGTCATACATTAATTTTTTTGATAGTAAAATATTGATTAGGTGAAAATAATAATTATAATTGTTGTGTACATAAAATATTTCTAAGTAGTACAATATTAAATGTAAATAATAATTTTTTTCTAAAGAGAAAATAAAACTTGAACTTATTTGAAATAATTAATTAAATTAAGAAAATACTTGTTGAAGATATAACAATAAACATGTCTTCTATTAAATTATATGTAAATTTATGCAAATTAATGATAAGTGATGGCTTATGACACTTTGAACATTTAGAAGCGATGTAAATACATTCTTAAATTCAGTCGTTATTGTTTTTAATATTTTAATAATAATGTATGATATTTTATTCTTATATTGAGTGTTTTTTTTTTTAAATTACTAAATTTTTTTTGTTATTTTCAATTGAATTTTTAACAATGTATTTATGTATTCAACAATACAATAACAGGAAAATTCATATTTCCCACAACGAATATTTTTTTTCTTTTAATACTCTTTTGTAATTATTGAAATTTTAGAGATATGGAGAAAAATTACAATAATATTAAAACAAATGTTTAATAAAAAACTTTTTAATTAAATAACAATTTAAAATTTTTTTAACATATTTTTTTGTAATAGAAATTAAAAAGAAGTCAAAAATATTTAAAATACTATATAATTATGTAACTAAATTATTATTAAACATCAATTCTTACAAATAAAAAGTGTTTGTCCGTTACAATCCTCATTGTTTAATTTGGTTAATTAGGTAGACAAAAAAATGACAATTTATTCTCTACGAGGGGTTTTTTTTGTATCATGTCGCCGATAGGCTTATTGACTTATTACAGAGATTATTGAAAACATATTAACCAAGCGTAAAAAATATCACCGAAATAAATTTAATATTTTTAATATATTTATTATAACGTTAATAACATTAAATCCATTAGTCTATGACATACATGCTGATTGTCCATCTTTTTAAGGTATCCTTCAATCAATAGTCCACTACAAATTACAATTTTTTTATTTTAAACTAAGAAAGTATTCATTCAAAAATCTTTACTCTTTTAGTTTTCTGGTGATATTTTTTCTACATTTTATATTTGCACATCATAAACAATCAACAATATACCACCATAATTACATTTAAATTATTTATTCTCTAACAAAACAATTTTTTTTTTTTTACTTAGTTAAGCATTCTAGTACCGTTTAAAATGGAGCTTAAACTATTAATTACTCAATTAAATAAAAATTGATTGTAGTTATAAAATGCTATGTATTGATAATGAAATATTTATAAAAAAAAAAAAAAAATACTTAAATAATACGAAAAAAAATTATTTTTAATTTTTATGTATTTATACAATAAATAAAACATTTTTTAAAAATTTTATTACGCATTGTTGAATATTATCTTAAATAAATTTAAATCATAAACGAAATAAAATCACTTAACTTTTTTTCATTGATAATTTTTAATAACGGCGCGAATCTAATATTACGGGGTAGCACAAGCTCTTTAAATCTTATTGCTTCACTTAATAATTTTCTAATTTATTACATGGGTATTACTTGATTTTTTAAAGACTCTGATTACTCTCAAACACTCATTCATAATAAACAAAAATAATAATAATTGTAACAGCGCAGTCACGTAAACAATCAAGCCAGTTACACACCTTTTTCTTATCATTATCATAAACTATGCGTGCAAGATTTTACATATGCTATCATTAGCAAAGATCAATTAGTAAAATAGTAATAATTTACAATAAACTGTATTTGATTCTATAACAACAACCATTTCAGGATTTACCAACTTATCAACTGTCTAACGATCTAATAATGTATACCATCAATCTTATAATTTTCAATTTATTTATAATTTATTTCATTTTCAAGTCAATAAATATTTTAATATTCAATATAAAAATACTACTATTACTCAAATAAAATGTTTTCGACATTTCGGAATTAAATATTAAAATATTTATTTCTTTATGCATTTGTATTTTAGGAGTAGTCTATACTTCAATTATTTTTTATTTTTGTTACGCACTCTCTGGAAGTTAAAAAAAAAAAATTGTGAATCCCAAAAATTTGATCATTCTTTTTTTCCATTTCACACGTTTAGATAATAATTACCTCGATTTCCGATATAAATACAGAGATATTTTTAAAATATTGTTAGAGCGCAACAAAAGATCAAAAAATGATTAAAACAAGGACCATCCTAATATATACATAAACTTTCTCAACAATCTTGAGAAAGTTTATCGCATCAAAGATTCAGAGACAGATTATTATGCACGCTCACTAATTTCGAACCTAATTTTCATTGCGGACTTATATTTTAATAAATTTTTTTGGAATTCATTCTAATTATAATAATTCAAAACGAATACAAGGTTTCGCACGATGCTATATAAATACTGGTTTCTGATGTTGCTTTGGCAGTTATTTCGTTTTTTTTTTCTACAGTTGTCTAATATTTTCGTCTTACAGATGAAAAATTTCATACTTTTTTTCTTAAAAGTAACTGCTTTCGGTCTTCGATAATCTATTATATTCAACATGGTAAATAATTTTTTTGTTCTTTTATTTTATATAATATTTTTTTTTTAATCTACTGTTTTGAGCTCATACTCTTTTTTTTACGATCGTTATTTTTTCATCAATTGGGTATAGGATTCCCAGTACAAATGTCTGGGGGTAAGGCTAGCGTGTGCAAAGGCGATAAACAATTGCCAAAATAATTTTTTTTGTCTTTTTACTTTATGTAATAGAGTAAAAAATGCACACATAGATCTTGTAATTACGTTAATGAATCTGGTGATTGAATGGGCTGATAATATCTTATTCCATTGATCTGTAAATATATAAAGTGTGTTTTACTTAGTTGATTATAAAAAATGCTTTTAAATTAAAGATAAAATAATGAGATCTCATTTTTATATTATAATGAAATTGAAAAAAAAAAAAATTATATTTTAAAAATTAAGCAATCAATATTTATTTATTTCATATTCTAACAAAAAAAAGCAATTAATTTTAAAGGTGTGTAATATGTAATAATACTCGAGACGTTATTATTGGAACGGAAATATAAAAAATGATATGATAATAACATAAAAAATAATTGCTCACAAGTTCTCCGCACTACTATCTTACTATTCGAATAATTAAAATAACAAGGAAAATTTTGTCTCTGGTGTATTTATATAAAGAAATTTTTTTTAGTTTATAATTTAGTATTATTGGAAAGGTGTTGACCTGAATTTGTTCTTTTTTATGGTAAGATATTTTTTTCAGCAATCGTCAATTAATCATTTAAATAACTAAAAGAATAAAAAAAAATTTATAGGGCATATTTTTATTGAAAAAAAAGATTTTAGTAGTTAAATTTTGTATTATATAAGAAAGACTTTGACACTGATTTTTTGTCTTCTCACGATATCATATATATATTTTTTGGTGATGGTAAATTTTTTATGTTAAGTTTTTGGAGCAGTTTTAAATAGTTTATTGGTTCTATAAATTTATTCCATCATATTTGTCCACTAAATTATTGATAAGTGATCCTACCATAGCAATATTATTTTCATAATTTTTTTCAGAAGTACACAAACCCTGTATATTGTGACAGCAGGTTGCTAGTTCTTATTACTTATATTATTGTAAATTATTTTAGTGTAGACTGATTATTCAACCAAAAAAATATTTTTTATAGTTGAATACTCTTTCATACTTTATTTAATACGGCCAAACTTAATTTATTATTACGATTTTATTTCCTCAAAATTGACAATTACGTAAAAGTTAAAGTACATAATTTGTAAACATTTAGTTGATTTTTATGATCAATTACTTTTCAAATTAATTTTACAATTGTTTTTGTTAATATTAAAAACTAATTCATCTATTTTAATATTAATTATTTTAGTGACCATGAATACCGATGTAAAAATAATTTATAAAATATATAAGTAATAGTATGTATTTATGAAATGCGCACATATTGGTTCAGATTAATTTTTCACATAATTAGTAGATAATTAAAATCAATTTATTCAAATATATTCGTGATCTCGGAAGTTGGAATAATTTCTGTTTGTTTTTTATTTAAGGTCTGCATAATATTTTCTATTTGTGTATGTTGTACTAATACTCTAGTTTCTAATAATTTTTTTCGAATGAGTAATTTGTCTCTTCATTATTTATAATATGAAACATAAAAAAATGAATATTTACCGTCATATCGTATTCCGTAATGTAAGCTGGTATTTCCAATTGATCTGGAGGCATTACCTCGTATAGATATTCAACACCAGGTAAGTTATGAACTTTTTGTTTTATTGCTGGTGCCATAAATGTAGTAAACCACCAAGTCATCATCTAATAAAATAAAATACAATAAATTATACAAATTAAATAATAATGATCATTTCAAAGTTGTTATTAAAAATTAATTATAAATATTGTAAGTGATTAATTACTCTAGCGTAGATATGTTAACTAAATTCATTTTCTCAATGAATTTATTATAAAAAAATATCGTGTTAAAAGAGTGATGGAAATCACTTAGAACACAAAACATTACATCCGTGTAAGGTCGAGTAGATAATGCAATAACAAGTTTATCAATCGTGAGAAATCTCAACGCTTGGTATGTTTATTTCCGTTATTTTTATTTAAACCAAAGATAGCTTTGATGTTTTTTTCTAATACATAAATAATGTACAAACCTTGGTCCAAAAAGTAGGATGAATGATGTAGAAATGTTTAAGGTTTTTTTTGTATCTGAAATATGAAAAAAGAAAAAAAAATTAATAATATAATAATAGGTTTAATATTAAATGAAATACAATTTTAATTTCCGTTATATTAATTTTTTAATTGAGTTTCAATCGTCAAATTTAGTTTCTTTGCAAAATTTGAAAAAATAATTTTATTACTAACGATTATGAAGTGAATTAATATTTTTATTTTATGTTAATGATTAATGCTAAATTAGCAGATATTATTAATACCATAGTTGCTGAAATTTTCTATATAGCTTTATATATATCAATGAGTTAGCAATAAGAATAGATAACGTATTTTTTTTTACAAATATATTCTGAATTTTAAATATAAAAAATACTTGAAATTAAAGTCTTATTATTATAATTCATCTCAAAGTGAATAATGAGCTAGTTGTAAATTTTAATGATATATAATCTTACAGTGATTAAAAGATTTAATTCAAATTGAACTTACTTGTAAGGAAGCACATCGTATACTTCACGTAACCATCGAAAACTGGGGTAATTGTTATTGGTGGTAAGTGTATGAAAGTAGGCTATGACGTAGTCACCTTTGACAATGGGATCTAGTAGTTGAATCAGATATAGTAAGGCCTAAAAAAAAAAATCAACTTTATTGATGAGCAAAAACTATAACATAGTATTGAAAGAAATACGTATATAAAAATTTCCAAAATTTAATTTTTTTAACTTAAAAATATATTAATAAATTTCCAATTTGCACTTTTTAAGAAACCTTCTAATTACTATGTACACTCATATTTCAATTTTCGTATATTTAGTGTCTGCAAACAAAATGATTGTAAAAATAAATAAATAAATTATAATTTCGAAGTAATATTCATCTAGTCAAAGAATAACTAAAATATTTTTTCTCATTTATCTTGACATGATTTTTTTATGTAGATTGTGCAGAAATGAATCTCTACTTTTTTCCCTTTTTGAAAGAAGCTTTTGTTTAATTGAAGCTTTCTTCTTTTGTTTTTCAGAGAATTGAATATGATTTCTCAATCAAAGAACCATTGTCAACAATTTTTTATTGAAATGCATATCTATAAACTAATAACCATGTCATTTTAATCTCACTTTTTTAAAGCAAACATAGCCGATAAAAAAAATTCCATTTAATTATTACAAAAGTCTATTTAATTGTTTATGCGTCATAAAATAAAAAGGAAAAAGATAAAGAAAAATGTATCTATTCACTTTATATGCCATAAATTAACGAAGATGAGTCTGCAGATAAAAAGCGCTTTCATTCTATCAAACTGTGCTATTTTATCACGAATATTTACGCTGCATTACATAAAATATTTAACGGCTCCTTTTAAAAATCAAATTTGTTGACTAACTAAATAAAGTAGTCAATAAATTATTACTTCAAAGACTAGACATACTGGTCATTTTTTTCTATTTTTATATCATCGGAAAATCAAAATATCGATTGACTATTTGTGACGTCACATCGGTTATTTGACGTCACATTGATAATAACTAAGTATAATGGTATTTTTATATCAATTATTTCAGTATAAATAATAATCAATAAATTATAGCAATATTTTTTACCTTATCTAGATTTATTTTAGTTGCTGGAAACCATTTACCAACAAAAACGACAACTGGCCTTCCTTGTCGATCAACACCACTTTGATAAAGGCACCCAATTCCTGAAACTTCAGTCAGATCTTCCATTTTGGCTCGTCTGAGTAATCTTTCATACCTGAAATTATCAAAATATTTTAAATAACAATAATAACAATGTACTTTTTTAAAAATAAATTATTTAAATGATTATGATATTTATTGATAAGGTTACGTAAGATTATAACTTATAATATATCTCTACTAATTATTGCTTATTAATAACTGCTTATTAATTACTGTTTATTGAATAATTTATATCTAACTGATTGTATAAAATTAAAAATTGTCCAAAGTTATTTTTATAAACAATGATTTGTAAATATAAGTAATGTCTATGTATGAAATTTTATTAGTAAATTCAAAATATTAAAATTGATATTTTTGCACAAAATTAAAAAACACTGAAAAAATAAATTCAATTCAAATAAGAAAACAAATGAAACCTTTTTCATAGTAATAATCGTAACGATAAATAATCAATATCGATCGATAGAAATTAAAATATTTCATCATTTTCTTATGCAAATTTAGTTGCAATGAGTAATAACAAATACATGTAAGTAATTGTTGTTATTAAATTAATAAATCCAATTAAATAAAAAATATAGAATATACGTATTAGAGAAAATCAGTGACTCAGTTTATTATTGAACGAACTAAATGTTAAAGGGTAGGGGATTAGATAGAGGCCGATACTCGGATTTTTCGGGTCAAGTACACGGCTCGAGACGTAAACGTAATATCTGTTCTTCCTTTTTTCTTTAGCTCCATTCTACAGACAACTATCAATTAGCATTTGTTATCATATAACATACAAGGTTAATAAACTTTTGATAATAGTACATGAATAACTGTATCATTTATTAAAATTAACTATAAATAAATGAATAAATAAATAAAATACCCACCGATCTTCATCGTCATCCTCATCTAATCTTACATCTGTCATGTCAATCATCACCATTATTTTAATATAACTTTACTCGTTTAAATTTATTATAAAATAAGTTATTTTTATAAATTTATTTTAAAATAACTGAGTATCCAATCTAATAATCAATAAAATTTACAAAAGTTCTGACACAATATCACTCAGTAAAAGATATATCACAAAAGATACTATTAATTCAAATATTTTACGTATAAATTTAAATACAAATGTTAATTTTTACAAGATTATTTAATATAAAATTACTAAAATACGAATTTTATAAAATAGAGCCGATAAAATGAATAAAAAAAGGATGATTGAAATAGAAGATGATGAGCTGGAGAGTTGTGATTTATAGATCAAGACGTAGTACAAATGCTGATTCAAAATACGAGCACCGAATCAAGTGTAAATAATTACCGCGTACAACATGATTAGTATGCAGGAAAAAAAATCACGAGTTGTTGCCTCAACAGTTTAACTTATATTGAATCAACGAGCTACAATAATGTCGTCGTCGTTTCGGCAAGTAAAGAAAAAGTACTTTATATTGCAAGTCTTTAAAGCGCTTGCGTTCATCAGACCAATCGACTAGGCATTCTCCCGTCGACGTTATTTACGTCATCCGACATATTTTTTTTATAATATTATCATTTACAGTGATTCAAATTTCATTTGAATTTAAAAATTTATAATTAAACATTATTCATATTTTGATTTATTAATACTCTTCTTCTTATATACCTAATTCTGTACAAAAAGTATAGAAGATTTTTCAAAAACTTATCTTTACAATTTTTGTTTATTAATTTCAATGTAAAAAAATAAAAATAAAATAAAACAGAAGTTAGTCAACATTAATAATATGATTATTAAATTAAGATAATTATTCATAAAATTTAAAACTAAATTTGATATCTGACGTCACTATATCCGGCAAGCGTGAAGTATTAAATAGGCAATGCTCTACATGCTTCAATTAAATTTAACCCTATAAATAATTTCAAAAGTACTAAAAGTCTACAAACACATCTATGCTTTTAAACTTGTTTTACACAGTAACATTCATTCTAAGGCATTGTTTTGTTTAATGTTTAAAATACAATACGTGCAAGTACCACTGTTGTTGAAAGTTTTATAATTTGCCCAGATGGTATTCAAATTATGTTACCAGGTCATGCATTATCTTTTTTTAATATATATAATTAAATAACAGTATTTATCTCATTATTACAAGTACTCTTAACTAAGTAAACAAACTGTCGAACAGACTTTAATCACAGCAGAAAATTAAAACAACAAAAATTACTGAAAATTATTAAGTTGTTTGTAAAATTTAATATACTTTAAAAATTCAATTTCCGTAATTATCTGTACCGGGTAACTCAATTTTTGAATGATAATTGAATTTTACACGACACTTATCAATCTTACTGAGTTATCATTTTGATTTAAAAAAAAAAAAAAAAAAAAAAACTATTAATTGTATCATCGATACTATTTTTAAAGTTAATATAATATATTAGTTATTTTTGTAAATAATCTTATAGATTCCTTCTTTATTGACAGAAATTTCATGACGTATTATGTTGATACTCAAAATTTAATTACTTGTTAAACATTTCATAATTCTTTAATCTTAAAAAGTTTGTAATTCAGTATTTATACTCAAAATAGCACATATTAATTCAACTTTTTATTTCTTAAAATTAATTATTTAGTCATAGTACTTCTAAAAATATGCACGAAAAATTGAAAATATTTTGAAAGCATTATTCCAAATTCTGTTCGATGAATATTTTATTTTTTTACTTAAAAATATTTTTGTAAATTTCTAGTGGTTAATAATTTCTTATAACAAAATTTTTTAAATAAATAACTTTATAGATAAGGTATTATAAGATTTACCGAAATAAGCAAACAGCTGAATAGACAAATATTTATTCGTACCTTTCTTTTTGCTGCATCTGCTTGATCATGATATCAGCAATAGGATCAGTAAGTGGTCGTTCCCCAAGCAGCCTTTGTCTATCTAAGTCTCCTTGCATCTGGGTAAATGCATGCTCACCAAGATTCAATGAGGTATCGAGCTGACTTGACAATTCAATCGTTTCATCGCCTTAAATCAATAAAAATACATTTAATAATATTGAATTTTTAACTTTAATATAAAAGTATTATAATAATAGTATTACTGTGGAGTGTATGCTGAGGATTGTCTATGATACGAATTTGTCGATCAGGCAAAAGTGGTTCACCATCAGGACCTCCGATATCACTTGGTAATTGCCAACATGCGTTTTCTTGTTCTTCGTAATTTCGTGGGAAGTAAAGTGGCAGAAGAATTTGATAAATACCCAGATCACAGGGTTCAAGAACGAGAACAATGCAGACAAATGAATCATTGTACTGCTCTAGAAAACGGCGTATCGTACGAATTGCAACATGCGCTCCAGCATCTGGTGGATAATTACGATGAACTGAATTAATTACAGGTAATGCAACAGTACGCAATCCCATTTCTCTGGCTTTTTGTAGAACATTCCTTATAAAAAAAATTTATTATTAAGTTATATTTCTATTTTTCTAAAATTAATATCCAAGCTTTATTTAGTAAAAAATATTTGTGACAAACCTATAACAACAATGTAAAGTATTTTGAGCTGCTGTTTGATATTTGACATTGTAAATTGGCCCGACTGTATGAATAATAAAACGAGCAGGTAAATTATGGGCTTGAGTTACTCGTACTTCGCCTGTTTTACATTCTGTAAAGATTAAAAATTTTGTTTTACTGCAAAAAATTAAAATATTGAATAAATTATTAAATAATTATATAGTAAAATTCGAAAAATTTTAAATTACTTCAGTTTTTGTTGATTCTATTTTTTCTTGATAATTTTGATTGCCTTATAAATTCACTTCTATACGAAAATTTTTGCAAAAAACGAATTTTTCATTTAGTAATTAAAAAAATTATTAGGCTAATTAATTAAAAAATTAGCAATTATTTATTATAAATATTTTTTATCCATTATTTTTAAAACTATAGTCTCAAAATATCTGTTTATTACACTATGAAAGTCAAAGATTAATTTCCAAGGTAATTTAATTATGTTAAAAGCTATTGGAAAAATAAAAATAGAATAAATGAAGTTATAAGTCTCTTCAATTTTACTAATTGATAAAACTGACAATGCTATTTATAAAATTGAAAGTATTAGATTAATATTCTCAATTGAAACATTTTTTGCATTAAACTGCCGATATTTATAGAATAATTAGTAATAAAAAAAAAAAAAAAGAAACATATTTTTTCCAATTTTCAATTAACCTAAAATAAATATTAGTGCAATAATACCTTTGATGTCATTGTCAATTTCGATATTAAGCGCTGGACCAGCTCGGGAAAATATTTTTTGGCACGTAGAACTATTGTCATTCATAGTTTCATTGGTAGGATTCACCACCGCATCAACTTGTAGCACCGATATGTCTCCAGTCCTATTGAAAATGAATGTATAAATTATAAGAAACATATAATTACATGTATTGATAGGAAAAAAGTATAACAAAAAAAAAAGATAAATACTTACCATAATGCAATCTTGCGATTAATTGAATTTTGAGACGGAAAAGGACAATCCGTAAAATGATTAGCTTCTCCTAATGAATTTGAGTAGTCTGTATAACGATGTTGAACTGGTACTTCGGCCCATCGTGTTAATGTACGTATCTCTACGGTTTCAGGGGCGATACCCAGGGGTTCCATCAGCCTCATCAAGCTTGAATTATATAAATACAAATAAATTTAATTATTACATACGGCTATCATTATTCATCAATGACAGTTGTCACATAAAAAAATGTAATAAATGTAGTAGCCCAACAACTAATTTTTACTGTTATAGCAATCAAAATAAAAACGTCATAACAATAAAAAGTCCCCATCAGACATATAACTAATCAATTAAAATCATACATAGATGTTATATATATTTGTATATTTTATCGAATAAAAAATTTTCGCGCACGTCTAACCTTACACCAAGTGTCACGCGCCATTTTTACATCAGCTGTTCTTTAATTAAACGATCGTACGCGCGAAAATTAACAAAAAAAACTCTCAAAAAAATATAAAACACTCTAAAACCATACAGATAACACTTAGAACTGAGACTACAATGCAAGTAAAGTAAAGTAAACATCGTACCAAGTAATTTGACAACGTACACCAAAGAGAAAAAATGAGTAATATTGAACAATGAATATAATCGACTTCCGGACACACCAACACTCGTCACAAAAGCATTAGCTGTCGAATTTTCTTTGTTTACTCCAATAATTATTTTTTCACTTGCGCGCTTTGGCACAGATTTATAAAATATATCCTTCTTTATTGTTTTCTTCTCTCTCTTTATCTTTGTATATATATACATATATCTTGGTCTAACTAGTACAATATTAACGTTCTTTTTTTTTTTTTTTCTAATAACCAACCAGTTACCAGTCTACTTCTAGGTCGACGTGCCGTCGACGTATTACACAAATGCGCTAACGCTGTTTCATCCTCGCTGTTCTCTACTGGCTTACTCCCACTCTATCATTGAACTTCCCCTTCCTAATTTGTTACTTTTACCTACCTTTGGTACCACTAATCCATCACGATTAACTGCGCGCGCAACTTTTTATGGCGCCAATCAAGTGCACTGAACTTTAAATATTTTTCAGCTCTCAAAATAGTAATTATTTATATATTTTTGTTGACCTTCGATAACTTGTTTTTTACTCAATTTATCTTTTACACCTGTAATATTTTTTTATTCTCAACGTTAATTTTATAGATACATTTTTTTTACTCACTAATGAATTAAAAAAGCTTATTATACTCAACAATACTAAATAAATATTTTATCCGAGAAATATAATCTGAAAAGACGTAATAATCTGGAAACCTTTGTTTTTTTAATGCCTCTAGATTGAGTAATGTATTAAAAAGGTTTCACAATATAAATCTTGTGATGAGGGTCAAGAACTTTTTTTTTTTTTCATCGTGTCAATTTAATTAATATAATATTATATATCCCCAAAAAATAATAATAATAATAATATGAAATAAGATAAAAAAAATTTCTGCAGTAAGTTGTGTCAAAATATGAAAAAAATAATAATAAGTCAGGGTCACAGTAGTAATCTGGATTGTCCTGAAAATGTTAAAAATAAATCGTTGAGACATCGGTGCTAAAATAGTCGTAAAAGTATTGTTAGATATAACATATATATGTATGTTAAAGTACAATAACGCTCACTGGTTTTATAGTCCTTTATCGATAGCCGATCGAACATCAATAAATATTGAAGTTTGAATGTATATAGATATTCTTGACTATCATGGTATTTTACTGAGGCTAATATAATGTAAAATTTACTAACTAACCTAGGTATATATTGTACATTAGATTGTAAAGAAACAGTAACACTACTTGGTATATTAATCTATACGTATCAGTGTATGGATGGGAAGATAATATATTAGCTTCTACGAAATACGCGTCAAATAACAATTTGTATGCAGTATGAGTAAACGGATATGATAATACACTATAGTTATACGTAGATCGGAATTGCTTAATAATATTGCAAATACAAACAATACACAAATGGTAGGTAGTAGAGGAAGTAGGCTAGTCAAATTAAAAACACGGACTATAAAAAAATAGGAATTAATTTTTCACCTGTCTATATAGACATTTTGTGGTACTGATAGTACAATCATTTGGGCGTAGATCTTTATCTTTAACATTGTTGCCTTTGACAAGCTAAATAAAGATAAAACGTTAAACATTGATGTGCGTATAGTAGGTACTTATGTGTACATGTGTACACATAACAAATGACGTATATGCTTTTTTAATACGTTTAAACCGTTGTGGGATTAGTTAAATTAAAGAAGTTTTATTATATTTTTATGCATACCAATGAAGACAGCTCTCAATGAATATTTATTACAATGAAAATATATTTAGAAAATTTTTTTATTTTTACTCGTAAAATTATATTTTAATCCAACATACACGGCTTTTAAAACAGTTTAAGATTTTAATGAAATATTTCAAACTTTTGAACTTTTTAAATTACTTGACATTGATAAATATTTTTGAAATGCCAATAAAATTTTTTAACGTGAAGAAATAAAATAATTTAGGTAAAATGAGATCAATTGTGTTGAGATAGAAACTGGGAAGAGAGCAGCAGTTAGAACATGTAGTATATGTATAGTTCCTAGAGCTCACGAAGCCGTCTACATTAAATCGATACTATTATCAATTATTACCATTGGTTTATATGTTCCAAGTGTCTAACACTGCACTACATCAGCAACAAGGTTGCAACTAAAGTACTCTAAGGGTGCATTTCAATAATACACTGGATAAGAAGTACAAATATCTTTCCGTATATCATTTTGAAATTTTTATATATTTATTACCAAGTCCATGTTTATTTTTTAAACTTTGAATATTTTTGTTTTTTTAATGAACCAATAATAACAATTACTCATAACTTATGTCATGATGAAATATATTTGTTTAACTATAAAAAATTCTACAAGCGACACGTAACTCACGCACATATGTTGAGTACTACCATTGGAAAAACCTAATTAAAACTTTGAATATTTAATAAAATACTTAACAAAATGTAATAGTTACTTGAACTTATTAAACTTTTTAAAATATTATATGTGCATGTGCACGTACATATATACCTATACGTTTTAGTATAAAGGCTAAAAGTTTACTCAGTGCCACTGACATCGAAGGTATAATGTTTGTCCATAGTTAACTGTACGGTATACCATTGCACAGTATGTGATATTTAATCAATCAATGCTTTATAACTTTTGTGTAATAAATAAATATAAACAATTTTATTTTCAATATAATATCACGGATGTATAATATAAAATTTATTGAATTGAGACCTCTAAACTTTTATAATTTTCGAATGAATTTAAAAATTTATTCATTTTATTATTGATTGGATATCTTCAGGTCAATGAATTTCTATATAAAAAACAGATATACATTTATCAATCTAAAGTTTTTTTTAAGTATCTATATCAATCCAACCTAGATAATAAAAAAATAGCTTTTTAAAGTTATTACTTACTTGTATAATAAAATTTATTGATAAATGGAGATTTGTTTTATAAAATAACAAATTTATCAGCACATAACTTTATCAATCTTGTGATGTATGATTTATGTATATGATAGCTCAGATCTATCACACATTATATTATCCAGGATTTTCCTGTTAAATTATTTTATTAATACTGTCCAATTATAGGTAGGAATTATTTCGACATGTAGAGATCACAAGAATCCGGTTTTACGGCGCAACGGTGTGTCATATATCTGACTAATATACCTCGTGTCTAGTTTCATAAGCCTTTTTCATGGATGAATATACCTTTTAGAAGTATTTTATTACAAAATTATTTCGCCATTAATTTTTTTGAATCCTTTATTTGGTATGTAAATTCGCTTTGCTTCAAGCTATAATCTATTGGCAGTATGAGTTGAATCAAAAAATGATAGTCACTGAAATAGAAAGTTTTGATTTTTATTTAAATAGTTATGATTACAGATTGTAACGATATCTATTGAGTGATTGGAGAAATAAATATAAAGAATTTCATCAGTGATTAATAAAATTTTAAAATCGTGTATTATAATTATACTTACTGAAAAATATTTTATGATACCAAGAGTTGAAGACATCTGATACGGTTTTTTTTTTTTTAAACGTCTAAAAGAAACTATAAAAAAGTGAAAAATTTATGAACAGAATTAGAAAGAAAATTTTGATGTATTTTTTAAAATAGCTGTTTTGAACTTAAAACATGATGACTATAACTGACGACTAAAGATCGCAAAATGTTTTAAAACTAATAATATAGTTATTAAGATAAAATGATTTAAAGTATAACTGTAAATATTTACAAAATGTTTTACATTATCATTTTTGTATTTTAAAAAATAATCTTTATTTTTGTTACTTCGATTTACTGTCAATTTAATTTGTATCTGTTGTCTGGCGCCTTGATGACACTTAAGTTAGAAGACGTGTAAACATTTTTGATTTTTTCTATCAATTAAATTACAACTAAAAAGATATTTCTAAAAAATTGCACTTATAGTTTTTCAAGTTTTTTACATGTGACAATTTTTTTTTTTAATTGTTCAATTGAAATTTTTCCAATAAAAAATTTCTAAAAATTTTGAAATGTCAGCTAACTTGATTTTCATGGCGCCTTGTTATATATTCATGCCTTATGTTTTTCTGGAGTCATCTGAGTGATCATCCGAACGGAAATGTAGCCAATGTAATAATTGTAAAGGAATTCAAAAAGTAACTTGCTCTCTAACAAGTTATATACATTTAATACTTCATACATAACACTTAATATATGTCAAATAATAGTAAACTCTATATAATAAAATACACACATTAAAACATTTAAATATCATATTTATGAAAAAAAATTAAACTGTAACCCATGAAACATTACAAAAGAACGACAATTGATCTGTCTTCTAAGTCTTTTAAGTGTCATAAGTAAAAAATTAGTTGTCGGTAAGGTAAATTTTTTTAGGTAACTGGCGGTGAAGGAAATTTAAATTATATAATCTATAAATTCAAACACAACCTTTTTATTCTAAAAAAAAAATAAGAATAATTCTTCTTGAAAATATTTATTGTTTTTATTTATTAAAATATATAAATATTGATTACTAAAATAAAACAAAAAATCGCTTATTTAATGGGAAATTATTTATTTTTCTTTATAAAGTAATTTTTTGTTAATTATATAAAATATTAAAATCAAACTGTTTTTTATTTTTTTCAACTTAAACTATTATTTATTTATACACTTTCTCAAAATTTATCAATATTAAAGGAACAAAAACATCTTTTTTTTTTTAATTTTCTAATATTTTTGAACTTACTAATTATATCTGATATTCCTATATTTTTTTAACTTTAATCTAAGTTTAAACGAATTATATTTAAATAAATAATTTTTTCTTCTTACGTTATTCTAATTACATATATATAAAAAATAATTGTTTGTTTTATAATATTCACATGACAAGAACGTAATTATTGATAAATGTTAAGAAGGTGTATAAATAAATAATAGTTTAAGCTGAAACAAGTTAAAGAACAGTTTGTTTTTAATATTTTATAGAATTAAAAAAAAAAAAAAAATTACTTATAAATTATAAAGAAAAATAAATAATTTCCCATTAAATAAGCGATTTTTTGTTTTATTTTAGTAATCAATATTTATATATTTTAATAAATAAAAACAATAAATATTTTCAAGAAGAATTATTCTTATTTTTTTTTAGAATAAAAAGGTTGTGTTTGAATTTATAGATTATATAATTTAAATTTCCTTCACCGCCAGTTACCTAAAAAAATTTACCTTACTGACAACTAATTTCTTACTTATGACACTTAGAAGACTTAGAAGACAGATCAATTGTCGTTCTTTTGTAATGTTTCATGGGTTACAGTTTAATTTTTTTTCATAAATATGATATTTAAATGTTTTAATGTGTGTATTTTATTATATAGAATTTACTATTATTTGACATACATTAAGTGTTATGTATGAAGTATTAAATGTATATCCTAATATAAAATTGAGATGAAATGTATGTGGCATCAAACTATTCGTAACGTGATTGGTTGAATATATCATAAGCATGAAAATATATGCAAACTCTATAGTCAAAGCGCGCGCTTGCGCGCGTAAATTCAAATTCTAGTCTTGATATAAAATTGAGATGAATCTTGATATAAAATTGAGATGAAATATATGTGGAATCAAACTATTCGTAATGTGATTGGTTGAATATATCATAAGCATGAAAATATATGCAAATTCTATAGTCAGGCGCGCGCTTGCGCGCGAAAATTTAAATTCTAGTCCTATAATAAAATAGAGATGAAATGTATGTGGCATCAAACTATTCGTAACGTGATTGGTCGAAAATAAATATTCTCATTCTGATAGGTTGAAAGTGAATATACTATACATAAACGACACATAAATATATCATGACAATAAATATGACGCGCGCGCTTGCGCGCGAAAATTAAATTCTAGTAACTTGTTAAAGAGCAAGTTACTTTTTGAATTTCTTTACAATTATTACATTGGCTTACATTTCCGTTCGGATCACTCAGATGACCCCGTTTTTCTCTCTTTTTTCTTTGGTAGTAAATAACTAATGCCATCTAGCATTGAATTCACTGAACTGAGTATTTAACTGACGAACCAGAGTTGTGGAGGTTGTGGAAAGTAAAACTATTGTGTGAATGATGTTTTGTATGGGCTTAATAAAAAAGAAAAATTAATTCAAAGAGTAAAAATGGCGGATGATAACGAGGACCAGTGGCTTTACGGAGATTCAAATGATGGAAAAGATAATTTTTCCAAGGAAGAATCGCTTGAAAATAATAAGGAATCAACATCAAATTTAAATCAAGATGAGTTGAAAAATATTGAAGAGGGTAACGCGGAAAATAACCCCGAAGAGTCTACTGAGGTAAGTAAACATAACCTGTTTGAGTATCTACCGGTGGAAATAAAATTAATAATGATTATTTTAATAAACAGACATCTAACAATTCTTGGATTGTTTATAACCAATGTGGATTTTTTTTTTAAATTTTTTTTTTCATTACAATTTAATTGTAAAAATCTAAAAAATTGTTAGACTCCTGTTAAATTCAGTATCATAATTAACAATAGATTTATTTATAAATTAGCAATTAGAAGCATCAGCACCGGAAGAACATACGTCACAGGAGCCTAATGAAGATGAGGAACAGGAGGTCGATGAAAATGGCACAAAAGAACCGAGCCAAGAAGACCCTGATGCTCCAAGTGATTCCGATTCAGATGATGACGTTCATGTTGTCATCGGTGATATTAAATCGGCGCCAGCATACAATAATATAAATATTAAACGCAGCGGGCTTTTAACAAACGCCTCCGGAATACCAGATAAATTAAACAAACAACCTGGTAAATTTAGCATCGATGAATTTGAAACGATTGGTGTTATAAATGGGATCCAGGCGCATGAATTTAATCTTGATCAACTGGAGGATAAGCCGTGGCGACAACCTGGTGCTGATATCACGGATTACTTTAATTATGGTTTTAATGAAGAAACTTGGCGCGCTTATTGCGAACGTCAGAAAAGAATGAGAAGTGAATCTGGAGTCGGACTTGTTTTGAACGCTGGCTCTGGAGGACCAAATTTAATAAATACAAGAGTATCACAAGTCGCTATTACTAACGACAACAGCAAATACTCTGGTATAGCAGGACCTAAGAGAGCTGGACCACCGCCTGGAAGAAAAATGGCTGGATCTATTGATGTGATTGGTAGTTCTGGATTGGCGTCACGCAGAAATCTCGATAAATCACCACCTAAGGAAAATGTTATTCAAGTTATGACTGCTGACCGACGAGAATATTCCAGAAAGCCAGGATTTCCTGACATGAGTGTACCGCCACCGGGTCCTGGAATGGTACCACCTCCTTTTGATTTACCTCCACCTCCTGCTCCTTATCAGGAACCTCCACCTTTTTATATGCCAGAACCTGATCCTTATTTCCAGAGCTATGAGCCAACACAAGACAGTCAATGGGGAAATGATCCCGTAAGTATTTTATTTGGTTAATATTTATTCTAATAATAATAATAATAATAATAATAATAATAATAATAATAATAATAATAATAGTAATTGTTTTCATTTTTATTTAATAGACTTGGCAACCAACAAATTTAACCATTCCATTAACAGCATCTGATGAAAGCAAAGATATAGGTCCTAAATCAATTCCAACAATGGTACCACCTCTGGTGATTCCTCCATTGATCGCTTCTGGTCCACCAGGGCGTGATCCTACCGCGAGAGGTGATAATTCGCGCGGTGAAGGGGAAGTTGATTCAATGGGCAGAGAAAGAGATCGAGAACGTGAACGCGACCGTGACCGTGAACGTTCAGAACGTGATAAAGACTCATCAGTTAGAGAACGTGAGCGAGATTCAGTGACGCGGGATGAAGATAAAGAACGTGATCGTTCGAGGTCACAATATCGTCATAAAGAGAGGTAATATTTGATTTCATTCATTAAATATATAAATACACGGAAAGAACAAGATGACACTGGATATCATCCCATATTATCTGAGTATAATCTGAGATGATATCCAGTGTCATCTTGTTCTTTTCGTGTAGTTGTCTCATTAAAATATGTTATTTTAATAATCGTTTTATATTTAATTATTTTAGACACAGACATCGATCACGATCACGCTCCAGACGGCATAAATCTAGATCTCGTAGTCCAAGTCGTCGTAAGAAGAAGTCACGACGTACTGATCGTGAACGGTCCAAAGAAGAAAGTGAATAAATTTTACATTTAAATACTTACTTAATAATTCATTTCAACTTCTCTGATTTATGGTGCGCTTTTAAAATAGCGCCTACTTTGTAAAAAACAATTAATAAAAAGTTTGACAATGACAATATTGTCATGCTAAATAACAATTATTTTCTATTTGTTATAAGTATTATAAAAATTAAATAGTAATGTAATATTTAATTTGAATAAATTGATTTTTTTCTTAACGAAGATAACAAAAGGCATGCAATTTATATTTATAAAAAAACGTTTATTTTTAAATAGGCTATCTGGAAGCAAAAAGGAAGAAAATAAGTAATGAAAAAAGCACGGTATGTAATGCCATTCAATGTATGGTTTTATATTATAATGTTGTTACAGAAATCTTTTTTTTTTTCTTTCATTTTTAATAATAATTAAAAGTAATAATAGTTATGCTGTCAATAAAAATACTCGCGAGTGGATCGATCGACGGTCGTTATAAATTTTAATATTTTCCTTTCTCGTTTACTTCTTCAAATTTTATCTATCAATTTAGTAAGCATCGATCGTTTCACGCATACGAATATTTTTCCATTAACAATATTCATCAAAATCTTTTTTCATCAATCATTATACATAATGAAAAAAATGTTACATTTGTACAGCCATCAAATTTATGATACAATTAGATTACCGTTTTTTTTTTTTTTTTCATTTATTACCTTGTTTTTACTTTATTTATTTAAATGTGTGTTTATTTGTGTTATAATAAATTGTGTAGTCTATAAATGAGTGAAAAATGCAATTGATATTAATACAAGTACATTTAATAATATTAATAATAATAATAATTTACATTTAATGATCATCAAGTCATTAAGTACTCAATCAACAGATTTTTTTTTTTTTTTTTTTTTCAAACATTCATCGAATTTTAATAGTGAATTATAGTTATTATTGAATGTAACTTGTATTAAATTAAGTAGCGCAATGAAAATAAATAATATCTAATGTGAAGAAATGTTGATGTTAATCGCGTATAAGAAACGAAGAAAAATAAAAAAAAATTGTCAGCAATTAAAAGCAATATCATTTAATTCTCATAACAATTACTTAAGGGCTTGAATATCTAAGACGTAATTATGTCGTTAAGAATAAAGATAGAAATAGTACAAAGAACTGTTATTTATTTTTAATTCTGATTTACGGTTTTTTGTAGATTGAAACATCTATTATATTAATTCATTAATAATTATTTATATTATTCACTCAATATTTATTCAATAAACTTTTAAAATTTAAATATAGAGTAACTACGAATCAATTCTAAGTAAATATAGTTAATAATTATTGTATTCATGACAAATCACCAATTAAATTTTTTATAAAATGCGATTATAAATTTAGTTTCATAAATTTAAAATTTTATCAACTCAAATTGCCAATTTTATCTGTAACGACAATAACGTCCGAAAAATATAAAATTGTTAAATCGATTATTTTTTCAATTTTAAATAATTTGTAACATTGCTTTAAAAACCAATTTTTACATAAACAAAAAAAAAATAATTATTTTTTAAAAATCAACTAAATATTTCAAAGAAACAATAAAAATATTTTTTTCACATTTAAAATGTTTATGTTGATGATGTGTGGAAAAATGTATGGTATGAATTTTTATAAAGGTAAATATATAGAATGAGAACGATAAAGAGCGAGAGAAAGATATAATTATTATTATTATTATTATTCAATCTAGTGCATTTTTAAAAACTGCCCATGAATGCTGTTTTTTTTTTGTTTTTTCATTTTAAATGTTACAATATTTATCTATTCTTACTGCTCTGCGCCTGTTATAAAAAACTTTGTCGAAAATGGATTATTTTACTATTTTTGCTGGCTATTTCTTTGTATCTCTTGTTATTATAATTTTTTTTTCTACACTCTATACAAAATGTACTACACTCTATACATGTTTTTTTTTTATATTTATTTATTCATATGCTTCTCCATCCCACTTATTAATATAATATACTATTTTGGAATACAGACTTTTGTTAATTTATAATAATCAATCTCGTTTATTAAATTTCAATTGGATTTAATTTCGTCACATTATTCAGTTGCTTTCAATTTCTTTTTGTATATAAAACAAAGAGATATTTTCAACAATATTTTCTTTTAATTTTCGAAATCGAATTTTAATGAGTTATAATTGTAAACAATAAAAGAAACACTTTATATTGTTTCAGGTAAAAAAATATCGTTGAAATATTTTTTTGTAAATTCACGCTTTTATCTTAACATTCTTCGATTTATTTATTGATGAAAAATTATTGCGAATAATTGCAATTATATACAGGTATTTTTTGTTTTTTTTTTTTTTTTTTTTTAATTATAAACAAAAAAAATTGGTTTACAATTTTTTTAAGCGATTTTTGTTCAACTGCATGTAAAATGAATAGCACGCTACTGTACATCAGTCTTAACATCAGGGCGCACTATTCCTGTATGGATACTGTGTGATGAACAATTACAATAGAAATGAAATCAAGTCGTAATAATAATAATAATAATGATGATATATATGTAAATGTTTATGCTTTACAATCGTTTTACAGATTAAAAAACTACATTATTATTGTTAATATTAGTATAATTATAATCATTATTTGAATTATGAAAATGGTGATTTAGAATGCTAAATTATTTTGAAAAGTTCACTATGTTAAATATATAATAATGTTTTAATAAATGTCTTGCGTATATAACAATATGTACTACAAGTGGGAGGTCGCAGATCTTTTTCATATATATATAATACAATCAGCGTGTAATAATATAAGTAGTAGTAATAAAATCATATACAATTGTTACAATATTTAAATATTACTTATTACATGTATTATTATATCGACCAGTTATTTTTTTTTATAATCCTTTAGATATACATATACAGTTATTATATATATATATATATTTATATATATGTGTATATATTTATATATATACACTTAATATTTATAAAGTTACGCAAACAAATCTATTACTTATTAAATAATTAGTGTTTATATCGTACGTGAAAATCCTCGAAGCGTCTTTCAATAATCTGTTGTTAATTATGATCAAAAATATTTAACAATTAAACAAAATACAAAAAATAAAATGTCAATTTTTCAAGCAAAATTATTTTTCAATTAAATTGGCACACAATTGGTTAAATCAAGCATAATAATTCAATACGAGCTGCAAATTTTTTTTTTTTCAAGATTATTTACAGCAATGTAAAATATTAATTTGCTGAAAGCTTGATATTAAGTAGTTTTGTTATAAAATATATATTTATACAACAATTATATAAACGGTAAATAGCTTTTCGCTGAATTAAATAAAAAAAGATACAATGACAAATTTAAATTAAAAAACGAAAAAATTTAGTAGTTTCAATAGTTGTTTAATTTTTTGAATAATTTAAATGAAAAAATATTATGATCATTGAAATAGATCGAAAGATCGTGTACATTGAATAGCTGACATGTGCTAGCATGAACGGAAATATAAATGTTATTTCAACAATTGATTATATAGTTACTTGAAAATTTGAATGCTATATAAAAATGTACATTATTTATAAATAATATCAATATTAATTGTAGTACATTTAAATTGTTAAATATTTAATATACCTTTGACTTTAAAAAAAAAAAAAACTAGAATGTATTGATGAATATTCAATTTACGACATATAGATTTAAAGATATTGTTAAGTGAATTAAGAGACGGCTGATTAAAAAATTTAATCAAAAGCACGAGGATAATACGTCGACGTTAAACTTCCTACATAATAATATTTATAAAGTACTATATACGGGTTTTTTTTTTGCTTATGTTTTGAATATATATGCATATATATATAATACGCTTAAGTCTATCAATATTAGCGATTATTAATAACATAGAATTGTAATAATAAAAATTAAGAAAAAAAGAAAAGAAACTAATTTTATTTCTATGTCAATGAATTACTTAAAAAATGATACGACATGAACAATTTTGCGACTTTCTTTTCATTAAATTTTTTTTTCATGTTGTTTTTAAAATAGCAATTATGATTGGTTTGAAAACTCCGATGACATGTAATACACTGTTATTTTTCTTTTTTTTTTTTTTCATATATAAATATAAATAATGTAATCTGTTATTAACACGTGACGATTGATTTACAAAGATAAGGAACTACAATAATTAATTAATTATTAATAGTTACATAATTATTTTTATATTATTGTTTATATTTTGTCGGTGTAATTTTCACATTTATTTATTTTTTTTTTCATTCAATTTTTATTCATTCTGATAAGATGTTTACTCTGAGATGTATTTACTGGAATGTCTATACCGATTTCGTTTAGTAAAAATAATAAAATAATTCTTGTTGGCTCTTACAGTTTAAATTAATATCCATCGCAGTAATTTATGATTATTCGCATTTATTTAATGGAATAATTCGTGAGAGGAAAAAGAGAGGGAAAAAGATAGTTACTCTAAAAATTTGACAATTTTCAATATTAAATGGTTATATACAATATTTTACAAAGAAATATGCTATAGTTTCTCTTCCTCAATTGTTTCCTCCAATGAAAAAATTTTTATTCGTGATTCTTTGATATTATCATGTTTCTTTCATATAGAAGATGAACACTGTTTTCGAGTTGCTCGTATTTACTTTATTTTTATTTTTTTTTGTTTTATTTAACACCTACATTACAACGAAATATTACATATTGTACAAGAGAGATGCAACTCGATTAACATGTGTGTTTACTGTGATATTATATTTATATAAAAGAATTTTCAAAGTCTTACGACTGTATATAACAAAAGAATATCTCGCGTGAAAAATTATTTTGAATTCATATAAACTTAATGCAAATAATGATTAAATTTATTTACCGAGACATTTAATTAAAATTTTCAAATAATTTTTCATATTGTAAAGACATTATTGAGTTCAACGTTCAATGTAAATCAGTTGTTTGAATTCAAACGCTTAATTTATTATTAATATAAATTACTGCGATGGACTTAATTTTAATTGCAAAACATTTAAACGCCATTAAAGAATAAAATGTTGACAAATAATCGCAAATAATTTTAATGGGACTATGTTTAAAAATATCGCTCGTAAAAATGTTTAAACAACGTTTTTCGAGTTTTTTTTTACAATATACAATAAGATTTTAATTATTAATTAATAATATATAAATTTATCGTATTATTAACTATTGATTTTTTTTCATAAAATCGTTTTTTGCTTAAACATCATTTTCGTCAAATGAATGGGTTTTTTTTTTTATTTTACAATGTTTTAGTAATAATGTTTACGCTAATGAGGGGGAATTGCTTATACAAGGACTCAGAAACGTTATATAAATTAAAATCGGTATTTTACTTATTGATTTTGTTTCTTCCTAAATAAGTCTATCTAACGGTAGAGGACGTAAACCATACTTTGTTCTTTTTTTAATTTAATTAAATTGTAATTATAATACACAATATTCACAAAGTCGTTTAAAAAGATAATTGAATATTTTAACGAAATATATAAAAAAAAGAGTAATTATAACTAAGAATAATGATAATTATTATAATATTAATAAAATATGAGAGTAAATATTGAAATTTATTTCGATTTCACAGCATCATATGTGAAAAGCGGGTTGTTGACGTATCTATACACCTCGTTATTTATTAATTATTTATATCACAATTTACAGAATTAGCATAAATGAGAAAAAAAGCCGAGCTTTCTTGAGATTTACTAAAGGAATTTATATATTCATTTTTTTTTAATCAAATAATTTAAAAATTTCAAGCTCTTCATTTATAAATAAAAAAAATTATAAAGACGGAGCTTCTAATATATTTATTACCTCGCCTACTATCATTTCATGTCATATTTATTTTTCACTTTCAATTATTCACACTTTTAATTTCATATTAAAAAAAAAGGATGAATTATTAAAAATTATTTTTAGCATGAAAACGTTGACGATAAAAGACAAAAAATTACTTAAGGTAAAACAATGAAAGTAGATCAAAATCGAGAACATTATTAAATTTCACTGTCATTATATGTCATAATGTTGAATGACGTCTTCTATAACTTTCTATGCGTCACAAAAAAAAAAAAAAAAAAAAAAAAAAAAAAAAAATCAACACATTTTTTTTCGTCACAATTTCAATCATACAATTTACAATTATTATCGGATCTTTAAATGCATGCATTACTGAAGCTCTAGCTATCTCTAAAACATTGTTCTCATTCTTCAACTTTACAGAAAGCAAGATTAAGATTATTAAAAGAAAATACTAATAATAATGAAACGTAAGGATGTATTAGCGATTAAAAAAAAAGGTCTATCGATTAATCAATGTCTGGTCGGTATTAGCATCTTTTTTTTTTTTTTTTTTTTTTTTTTTTTTTTATATCGAAATAAAAGAAAAACTTGTCTTTACTTAAGTAAAGTTAAGTGACAACGAGATTCTTCAAAACTAACTCTATAATATATAAAAAAAAAAAAAAAAAAAATTAATTCTCAAAAGCATTTACAAACAATTACAACGTTTATAAATGAAAAATAATAGAGGCAATTTAACTTAAAAAAAAAAAAAAGCTTTAACTATACATTAAGAAGAAGCTCGTTAATCGCATTTGCCTGGTCGTGTTTTCCAGCTCGTTAATTATATTATCCTCAGATTATACAATCCGCTGTCGTATTTATCTAATCAATCACCATCGAAAACTTCACATACTTCTAAACCGTAAAAAGAAAGCTTTTTACTCAATTTTTTTCATAACGTAGGATCGTCATTGCTTCGTTTCAAATTATTCACAGAGATTTTTTTCAATTCAATTTACAGAACCCACCTTTTTTATCGATAGAAAAAAATCTCTGTGAATATTTGGCAAGTAAAAAAAAAACTATTAAAGTAATTTTTTTTAATCGTTGGAAAACGTTATGTATATAACTGATCCAAGTCTCGTTCGAATTGATAGATATTTTTCTCAACTCTCTATTAAACGAAAAAAATAGTAATAGCCATCATCGTTTTAAATTTACAAAACCTGGGTTGATTGCTGAGTTTGTGTCGGTACAGAACCTGCAGCAGATGTCGGTGGTCCGATTGGCCCAAGATCACTCGTATTATTTGTTGTGCCTGCTGGAGATGAGACACCAATCGCTGACGCTGTTTTCATGAAAAACTTCTCGAGCTTAACAATTATATGTTTTCCGTAAGTATATTTACGGAGGCTGCTTAAATGTGGCCGTATTTTATGCATCAATACTTTGCGTTGTGCTGGTTCAGCAACATCAATCATCTTCTGTACGACATAATTCGCATATTGATCTTTCATCATGACATTTAGAGCGCTGTAAAAAACATTTGTTGTAGTGTAATAATTGAATAATAGAAAAAAAAAAAAAAAAAAAAAAGTAAATTTACATTTATAGATAAAAATAAACTTACTTATCATTGAAACCGCAGACTTCCTCGATAAGAACAGCGCGTTCTTGTCGTGTAGCATGTGTAACACATTTTTCTACGACGTTACTTGCAAATTTATGCTGGGATAGAGCTAAAACTTTTCCTCTGACACTACTAATAAGCTGTGCTTTATCTTCAATTTTACCGTGCTCAAGTACATGTTGAATAACATAATTTCCATATTGATCTTGAATCAATTGATCTGTTGCTGAGTGTAATTCTTGAAGAATCCCTTGAGTTTGTTCGGGTGTACAATGCTCCAAAATACGCTGAATCACTCGACAACCATACGGATGTGTACTCAGAGAGTACACCTGACCGGCAAATGCACCAATAACAAACTGAAGCGCTCGCGGTTCAACACACTCAATGCATTTTTGAACGACATGATTTCCGTTCTGATCTTTCACGCATTTCAACACGTGACCATCTAATTCGCGTACAATTTCCTGTTGTTGTTCAGGTCCAATGGACTCGAGTGCTTTCTGAATTACTCGGCATCCGTACATCTGAAGTGCCAGTGGCAATACATGACCTCGAACCTAATCAAACATACAGTTAATTGTATATTTTAATATTTTCATAATATAGTGCTGGATGAATATTCATTTTAATATCAGTATGCGTAGAATAATCATAATTATAGAAAATCATATGACACGCAAATTTTAATCATTGAAAAATGATTATTTTAAATTGTTTACTTGACGAAAAAAAAAAAAAAACAAATACCTTTTGAGCGAGTGTCGATTTTTGTTCAGGTGTGCCAAACTCGAAAAATTTCTGAATCACATAATTTCCAAACACATCAGTCATAAGTGAATATGCAGACGCAAGAATTTCTTGGAATACGAGTTGTTTTTCTGCTGCTGATGCACGTTCAAGTTTCTGTTGAATGAAACGCGAGCCGTGTTGATCCTGGCTGAATTCAACGATATGGTTGGCGAGATCTCGTAATTGGAGACTTGGAAAACTAAATAAACATAATAATAATAATCATCATTATTTTAATTAAATATTTCTACGCTTCAACTTTCTTCGAGAAAATATTAAATAAAATAAAGCAAAATAAACCAACCGATTATTTCTAAAATCTTCTAATAATCGTGAACGACCACCCGCGCCTTTGTCTCCCACTCCTGACGCTGCACTACGTCCAGGTTTTCCAACTAAGTTTGGAAAGAGAGAACTACTTGATCCAAATACACCGTTTGCTGTTAAAGTGGGTACTGCACTTGTGCGGAATTTAGCTTCGGCGCCAGGTGCTGCTGACACGCGGTTAGCTCCGCCGACTAGACCACCTAATGATCCTCCAATTGTCGGTGGTGGCGTCAAAGAGAGCCCTAAAGGACTGGGAGAAGCAGTTACAGTCCCTAAAAAAAAATATATATTAATGTTAATACGTTATTACTTAATTATTTCATAACTTTTTATGCAATTAATATTGAAATAAAATTCTGGTTTATTGTAAAATAAATATTTAAAAGGTCACTTGTTGTTTAAGCTTGTAATAACAAGTAAGATGTTTCAAACTTGCTATCCTTGTACATAAGTTCTTATTTCAATTGAACAATTTATATTTTTTTTTACTTAGTTTTTAATGAAACAAAATATAATGATTATAAATTATCAAGTTATTTGATAATTATATTATATTTTAAATTAATTAAAGTTCAAGTATTTATATTTTACCTAAGGCACCATAACTTTGTGGCCATTTTCCACGGCTATATTCCAAGCTTGGACTAAATGCTGATGTATTTCGATCAAATGAATCTCGTCTACCCGTTGATGACGCTCCAAGACCTAAACCTGATGATAGATAAAATACAACGATACATTAATATATTAAATCTAGAATATATTATAGAGAAAAAGAAATAGTAATGAGTTAGCAGATAATGTTGCATGCAGATGAATTGATTTAGTTAAGTAATAATAACAACAAGCAATAATTATATACAATACGCCGACAGAGCCAACTAGTTAGTACCTGTGCTCTGTAGTTGAGCCGGCGAGCCAAGGGCACCAAGTGGCGAGCCACCGTAACCCAAAGCTGCCAAGCCAGCAGCAAGTCCTGTACCCTGTTGTTGTGCTTGCTGTACAGCTACCGCTTGAGCTTGAGCTATCACTGCCGCACTTCCTGCCGCAAGACCTGCACCAAAAGCCCACAACCCACGCGGTTTGTTTTTTGTTTAGTTTCTCTATTTAATAAGCTGCTAATATTATATGTGTACAATATTTTATTTTTTTATTATTTTTGTTTAATCCTATTAATTAATCTTAATCCGCTTATTTATTTTTGTGTTAAACAAACCATACACCTATCATTAGTTACATTCCCAATGATACAACAACAATAATAATAATAATAATAATAATAATAATAATAAAAACAAATATTAACAAAAATAATGAATGAATGTGTAATTTGGATTAAAAACAAAAATACGTTGTAACAATAGATATTTTAATCACAGGGTTAATTGATTATGCTTTAATTGACGATGATTAATTTATGAATAAAATATTACCTAAGCATTCGCCGGGTGTAGCATTATTATGAGATGTTGAGGTAGGCTGTGAATATAGACTCGGTGGAGGTGGTGCCGGTGGACCTGGCGGTTGTGAAGGAGCTCTGTTAACAAGAACAGGCGCTGGACTGACTAATCTCATGGGTGTTGCTGCTGATCCAAGACCTCGTACACCCGCCATTACTAAGGACCCATTTTGATCATAGTATGTAGGTATTACTTGATACTGTCCTTGAACCTACAACACAAACATTCAAAATGATTAAAATTTATTAAAATTAATCCTAAACAAGTTAGCTAAGATATTCTCCACCGTGTTTGTTAAACTAATATTGCCTCAACAGTATTAATCTTTCATAAAACATAAACTTGTGCATTTTTATAGCTCTTTTTTACCATTATTATTATTATTATTATTATTATTATTATTATTATTATTATTATTATTATTATGAGAATATCAATGTAATAAAAATGTATGTATTTTATCGATCACGTAAGTTTATAAATAAATGTTAATATATTATCTGTTTTGATTTTTTAATAATTTTATCAATTAATCGACAGAAATTTGATTTCAACAGATTTTATGCTCAATAAAAAAAACATTTTTAAAATTAACTATTTTTTTTAAGCGGTAATAAATCTTAAATTAGCATCATAAATAATACAAGTCTTGTAAAATAATCTATTTGCATTACAACAATCTTTTTTTTTTTTTAGTGAACTTTGTTTCAGAAGATTTTAGAAAGTTTTTTCAGAAAATTTTATAAAGATTTCAGAAAATGCCACAATAGAAAAATCGTAGCTTTGAAAAAGGATTATAAAGTTTTACTAATTTATTAGACTACAAATACAATCCAAGCTCTAAAATTTACTACCGACAATTGCACTCAATAAAATTGTGATTACAAACTGTATTTTTTTATTTTTTAACTGTGAAGCGCAGCACTTTAATTTATGTAAACCTGTTTCTCTGTTTTCGTTCGTAATATTTATTCAGAAAAAACAAATATAGCAAGTCAATATGATATTGATGGATATATTTGGTTTTAATATGCATCAATTTAAGTGCACTTAAGTTTATTCGATTTTTTTTTCTCATTTTAACAATAATTTTTGTGATTGATAGATAAGAAAATCAATTTTATAATTCAAACAAGAGAGTAAATGTTATGAGCTAACAAATGTGCTTTCCATTTGTCTAAACATATCAATTGTTAGTTGGCTAATACTGTTCGTATAATCAAAGAGTACTTTTTAAAAAAAAAAGCTCTTCGACGTTGAGTAAATATTTTCTTTCAGAGTAGCAAAACCATGTACAGTTTAGGCCCTAAGTCCGGATATCCATTTGCAGAGATCAAATATTGATTTACGATCAAATTTCTACGGTAAAAGAAAACTTTAATATCTTTATTTTTACTTTTAAACAGTTTAACGAAACTGAAATTTTTATAAAAATAAAACTTTTTTTTTCAACTTTTTCTCACACAATTTCCGTAAAAGTGAAATTATTTTTATTTTCCACCTCAGTTTAGGTCAAAAATATTTGAATACAATAACTGAATTACATATATTATTCAACAGTCTACAACCTTCAATTTCAATACCTCTTAGGATATAACAATGGATTAAAAATCATTTTTAAGAATGATTGAACACTGGTTTGAGGTAGGTTTCTTTAGAAATCTATCTACTCTAGACGATCTCGTAACGCAATGTAAAGAAAATGTCGCGTTATGTTTTATTTTATTAAGTTATGTCAAAAGATAGCATTGGCCTAAAATTTATAAACCTAAGAATGTATGTATGTGATATCAACGCACCAAATCATATAAATTGCATCTATAATTCTAGACTGATTTTAGTAAAATTTTATATACTCATTATATGGGTGAATATAAAATCAATATATACCTTAATCAAGTTCAAAGATAAACAAAATGAATAAATTAGTTTAGGGGTAGTCGATATTTGAAAATTGTTTCGATTTCCAGAAAACTAAGAACCAAAAAAAAAAAAAATACCGAACCGTATTTGGTAAAAAAAATAAATTAAATGAAATATTTTAGCTGAATGTTGTCAGTGTAATACATGGACAAATAAGGTAATTTGAAATATGTAGTCTATTTAAAAGTAATAAATATCAAAGGATTTTAAATTGATACTTAACACTCATAATTTAAATGACATTTGCCCAACTAAATGGTCATATTTTGTAAATTTTTATAAATGCTATAATTTAATGAAACCAACATGTATATTTTTAAAAATATATGCTTGTTTGAATACAATGTAAGACATTGTTAATCCGTAGCTTAAGATACAAAGTTTTATTTTGTGTTAAATACAAATAAAAATTCATATTCAATATTCGTAATGCATGAGAGGATGAATAAATTCTGACCTTTTTATTATTTTAATTAAAAATGATAAAAAATAAAATTACAAAATTTCTATAAAAGATATTCCAATTTCCGATGCATTTATTTGTAAAAGCTATTAAGCATTAACAAATAAATTTAACCAATGTAAAACTATCAGCGACTAATTGAATTCAAAATGTATGCAATAATAACCGACCATCAGATATCTCTCGAGTAATTAACGGCTTTTAAATGAAACTAATATTTATTTCATGTTAGTGTATCAAATATAAAATAATTCAATTAATTATTTAGAGATAAACATCAACGTATCAAACATTAACCCACGGGAAATGAGTTCAATCGATTATTAAATAATTACTAACCGTCTGTGCAAGATTATTAGCACTGTCTTGAGCGGCAGCAGCGGCGGCTGCCGCTGAAGAAGGTGTCAATGGTCTTCTGGGTGGCGGTGGAGCTGCAGCTTGTGGTGGAGCCTGAGGCAAAAGTCCTGCTGGGTAAACCCAAGGACCGACTCCATAATATTGAGGTACCACTGGCGGTGCGCCGGCAATCAAAGCACCGACGTACGGTTCTTGTCCACTTATTACGGTGTAAGGTGCTGTTGGAAAATTTTGCTGCTGCTGCTGTTGTTGTTGCTGCTGTTGCTGGACCTGGGATGCTGCCAGGTACTGTTGTTGTTGCTGTTGCTGCTGTTGGAGAAGCTGGAGTTGTTGCGGAGTCGCGCCTTGTGGCTGACCGCGAAATAATTGCTGAAACAAAAGTTTAATGAATTGTTATTAGTTATTAATAAATTTAGTTAATGTTAATGTCAACGGATATGATGATTTTTAATAGATAAACAAATATAAAAAACAGGATGTTAGCATAATAGGAATAATACAATGATTAATGAAGATGATACTTGTAGATAAATTTAAGTGAATATTGATGATTCGCACGAGTTAACCGTTGGAACGTAAAGTCATTGACCTATTGCGGACATTCACCGACAACGTGTGTTGCCTTTATATTAACCGATAGTTGGTTCTACGGTAACTTGGGACATTAATTGAGTGCTAACGGTATTGAATGAAATTCGGTCAACCTAATCGCGTCAGGATTAAAGGATCCACAGGATAATTATCGTCCCAAGGATAATGTTACGTTTCTGTTTTACTGATCGACATTTGATTCCTGCGAAAATTACCTCTGTGTTAGGTTCTTTTAGTTATTTTACAATACAAAGCCATTAATTATTTTAGCATATATGTTTTTGACCTTGAAAACCGGTCACGATTGCTGGAAAATGAGGATTGATTTCTTTCTTATCAAGAACATTGTGCTAAAGTAAAACCGTGACGCTTTTCAACTATGTAATTTAAACAACGTAAGAGCAAGACTCAACGACTCGTGACTCGATAGTACTTGGCTTAGTTTTATTAGTAAACAGATATACTCTATTATTCTTTGTTAACAGAATTAAATAGAATGTAGTAGAAGCAAAGGTAACGATGCGTTTCGGGTATCGACCTCATCCTTAGTCTGCTACTCCATAGATTATTTAGTTAGAGCGTTTTTTACAAAATTTTCATTTGCTTAAAAACAATTTATGAATCTACAATAGCTTTGCTGTTGCGAGTGCGACAAAAATAGTATGGCTTCTCTCAATGAGTGCAGGGAGAGAAAAAAATGGGACCTGTTCTTAAAATTATTATTATCATTACAGTGGACAGAACAAGGTTACTGTTCTTTTTTTTATTATGATTTAAAATATGGCTGCAATAAATAACGTAAGTCAAAATTTTATTGCAACGCATAAAATTTTTCGAAAATTTATTTTATTTTTTCTTCACGAGACAATTGCATAAATCATGTTTTTCATTAGGGTTATAATTTATAATTATTCGACGATAAATAGCGACTAATGACTAATGATATATTTAAATACATCAAGTAATTGGTGATAAAAAAAAAATCAAACGTATGATAATAGTAAAAAATAAAATGAGCAAGTAATTATTTAATAAAGAATGAAGCTGATTAGTCAACAGGAAATTGCGGCTGACGAGAGGGTTAAAGACATATCCCGAGAATGATGAATCACACTGGATACAACTAAACGTGTAAGGTTTCCTTCCGTCCAACATTTTCGGTATAATCCAGTCTGAAGCCAGTGGTGCTTTATCGATTTAATTCTTCAGATGCGAAAACAACTCACGGTTTAGTTCCCTCTGCATTTAAAGTAACAATACACACTACTAGTAACAGTAGTGCAGCATATATATATATATATATATATATATATATGTATAAACAATGGTAGTTGATAAAAGTGGAATAAAACCTCCCAAGATGGAGATGGAAAGAAAGGAATTAGCAGAAAAGAAATATATAAATGGATATAAAGAAGAAAAATTTATTATACTTTGTTTCATGATGCTGAATAAGATTTACCGTTTTTTTGAGTATAAAAAAAAAGGTCGATGCTCTCTTACTACACGATGGAACTGTCATTAATATTCATGTGACAAGTTTTGTCGTATAATTTTATCATTTGATAAACAACACGATTTTATAAATCACTTTTAACGCGTCACTATTTATTTCTTATTGCATAACATCTAACTATTACTTAATTATTATGATTAGTCGTATTTATTCATTTCGATTCGTTGAATTAAAAGATTAATAATAATGTCAATTAACTCAACAGAATGATGAAGAATAAATTCGATTTATGGTTTTAATTCAACAAAACATTGCGCAGCTTTATATTACCTGAACGAAATGATAAATATTATTAATTAAAAATAAAAAACACGTAATCTGTGTTTACAAAAGTAAAAGGTAAATAATAGATGAGTTTTTTATGTGAGCAATGAAGAGCATTTAATGCTTCAATAATTAGAGTAATTTGTTTTGGAGCTTAAACATTGTATTGAGAGAAGAATGTATAATGAAAATGATATTTGTCGGTGCGTTAACCAGTAAAGAAGATAAAGAATTACAACTTGAACGAAGTAATCATGAGGAGCCCGTTATTTAACCGCGGTCTGTAGAATCCGTTAGCTTCACCTGGTACTCGTGAGTGGAATACAGGGTGTCTTTAAAGCCTTGTCAAGTTTCATTCCACGTAACTTTTTTTTTTATTTATTTTTATTATCTAATGACAACTATTACGTAAAGTATTATATATTTCTTAGCGTTCAAGAAAAAAATACTTCTTTTTATATCTAACTGTTTATATTGTTATTTTTTACTGTTAAACTATTGTCTAGTGTTAATACGCTTTTCTTGCTGTCATATTTTTCAATAATCCCGTATCTTTGACTTGTGTACGTCTTCTTTATACTCTTAAATAAAACATCTTTTCTACAATTGTTGAATATTATTCTTTGATAACACATTACTTGTTCTATTTTTTAATTAATTTAATTTGCTATTATTATTAATAGTGTTATTTTATTATTAAAAGCGGAAGCTCAAGTTCCTCATCATAACTCTGAGATTAAATAGGTTGATATAATTAAATTTAATATAATTGAAAAGCTCTTGAATTTATAACTTTTTATTAATTATTAATATAGACGAATTTAGAGTTGTTTTGCATTTTAATAATAATAATAATAATAATAATAATAATATTTTAAGTTGAATTATTAGTCAGTATATTTTTACAGTGATCTTTCCTTTTATGAGAAACATAATTTTCATCACGAGGAAATTCAACTTTCAAGGTGAATAATAAATTGACAGGTTTAATTAATAATTTAAACTAACAAGATTACTGAAATATTTTCATCAATGAGAAACATTTCTATGAGCTTTCAATAAAATAAAAAAGTTTGGAAAATCCAAAAGTGCACGACTCATCATGCTCATTTAATTATATAAAAAAAAAAAAAAAAAAAAACCATAAGTCGTTCAAAATTAGTTGCCGAAAAAATAGCTGTACTAGAAAGGTACTGCACAAACGCCTCTGGTGAAATAAATGTACATAATATCTATAGATATGTCACCATCCATGTTAATTTTACATGGAATATATATAGATATACAGTCTTGTAGTTTTCGTTTTTTATTAATTGTAATTAAACGACACTGAATTAATTAATCATTCGCATTCAGTGACCTACAATCATCGATTAGAATTTTTAAAAAAAAATTTAACTCAAATAATGGATTTTTTCACAAGTTACAGTGTTTTCGGGTTTCACACATGACGGACAGGAAAATTTTTTGGTCTATTTTGGTGTTTTTTTTCGATTCTATTGCAGTAAATCAATTTTTAAAAAGTATGGAATTAATCTCCATTAAATTATCTCGACAATAGTATGCAAAATATCTTGATTCCGTGAACTAACAAGGCTATAATAATAAAAATAGCTGCCAAAATGAGGCGAAAAAAATTTTTTGATCGTAAAGCACTCTCTGATGCTTCGCATCATGAGTCGTGCAATAAATCAAAATTAAAGCAATAACTTTTAAAAAATTTTAAGTAAAAACTTGGACGTAATTCGTTACACGCATGGAACCGGTTTGTAAATCTCGTGTCTTGGCTATCGTCCGACGTGACCCCTTGTACGACTATCTTTTTACAATGTACGATTTTCCGGGTTGTCTTCTTATGGGCGTGGTTTCGCAAAATAGTTAATTATTTGTAATAAAGGTAATCTGAATTGTTAATAAAACCAAAACAAAAAGGAAAAAATAAATACAACTAAGCAGAAAATTTTGAGGTAAAGCATATAAATGTGACGTTTAAAAAAAAATATGTAAAGACCGATTATCAAGGGATTTAGTGGATGCCCAAGCGTTAGCGATACCAGACAATAGCTATTGTAGAGCTATCTACGAGGTCGTGTCACGGCTTTTCCTGTTAAACGTTAGCCTAGTTGCAAAATTCAATTAAATAAACTCCCTTTCCCCTTCTACTCCTATCTTTTGTCCTCTTCATCTCCAGCTCATTTTCCTACACTGGTTTTCCTCTTTTTCATCGTCATTCTCTTTCCTGGTCTCTATTTTCCTTTACAACCCCACAATGTAATGCCTATACTGTACTGCCCGTACCAGTGTATATATATTGAAGCTTTTTCTTCTCTGCACTGGTACTCCTAGTTGCTCGTAGATTCCAGATCCACCCTCAACAGTCATTCACTCATACTCAATATCAACCAACTCTAAAAACTAAAGAATATGAAGAATATGCGGTACGGGTGACATTGTACTGGCTTGAGGATTCTTTCCTCTCTTGGTGAAATGTGAAATGAACCCAGACATTAAACCTACGGTAAAATGAATCGCGTGATAAGGGTTTCCGGACACACCCTGATATTAGATACCACGGTAGATGATGCTAGCTTTTAACCAAATGACGTAAATTTTATTATTGGATTGGCTTTGTGGGTGCGGTTTGAATTCCCTCGTCTAATAGTTCATTTTAACTCGCCTCGCCTCGCCTCGCCTTTCTATCATCTTCATCCTTATTTATTAAATAATAATATACTAACTAATAAATTTAACAAAATGCCCAAAAAATTCATTTTGTTTTAATTAATCTACGTACTGTATACGATTGAAATAAAACCGGCAGATTTTTTAATTACTGTACAGTACATCCAACTTCATATCTTCTATTTAATAAAAAATATAAATGGTATTTTACTTTTACAACTAGTTAAAATTAATTTTAATAGTTCTTTTCTTTTTTTAGATATTTTGTAGCTTGAATAATTATTTATAGTCGTGATGAAACTGTTCTAAATTAATTATTGAAGGTTATAATCAAATTGTAAATAAAAGTTATATCCGATTTTGAGTTAATTAATTTTATTGTATTTATTTTTGGCGGATCGAAAAAATAAAATAAGAAAGTTTTAGTCAATAACAATTATGTATGATTGATTTGAAAATAAAAATAATAAAAATTACGATTCTAACTTAAAATATAATAACATAGTGTTCACTATCAAGTTTGATGGAAATTTATCAAATCGATTTAGCTAAAGTTTTAGTTGAGTAACAGACAGATAAATGGAATCATAAAATCTAATTTTAAATATATATAATACTTTTAGAAGTAGTATTGGGTGTATGAAAAATATTGAGATTAAAAATACTTCGAGGTTTTGAATTATGTGGTGATTATTATTCATACTATACGTAACAGATAAAAAATGAAAAGAAATACTTGAAAAGTAAAAAACAAAAAAATTTGATTATTTATGAATTTTCCTCATCTTTTTTAATGATCACCGAGACTTTTTAAAATCTATAATAAAACTCATCCATTGAATTTTTATGAAAACATGGTGACAGAAATTCAAATAGATGCAGTTAAAGTTTAAATAACAAGCTAGAATACAAGTTTGTTATAACGTTGCACAAAGTTGTTTTTCTGCTAATTCTTTTCATTTTGTTTTCTTTATTTTTCTTGATAAAAACTCAACTCGAGGATAACTATTTTTTCGTAAAGTTTTTCCATTATGAAAGCACTGGAAAAACTCGGAATACATTGATTGAATGAAAATTAAATAAAAAGTAACGTAATTAAAAATATTTAGTGGACACGCTTTCCTCACTAAGAGAGACACGCTTTCTCCCTAGTCATCGGCAGATGTGTTTGTTAATTACAAACTGTACAACAATACTTAATTGCGTTGCCCATAAAAAATAAATAAATAACCAACAGCAACAGTAGACTCATTAATATATCACAAATAATTTTCATTAGTAACATATCAATTACAATCTACCGACATTTGGTTTAATTTTAATGAAGTATTTAGTAAACGAAAATAAAATAATTAACCAATCCATTTATTTTAATTAGCAACTTGTGTTCAATCGATAAATTAATTACGGTGACTAATAAAAACTGAAACTTTTCTATTTCAATCTTAACTTTTTTCTAATAATAATAAAAAAATTTTTTTTTAAATTTACTTCGATCTTTAATTGAAAATTTAATTAATTTATTGAATTATGAGTAAGGTCATGAGTAATATAGTAAAAAAAAAAATAATAAGAGATATTTTATGATTGGAAAAAAAAAAAAAAAAAAAAAAAAAAAAAAAAAAAAAAAAAAAAAAAAAAAAAAAAAAAAAAAAAAGTAACAACCCCCAAGAGGCGCCAACAGTCTGTCCAAAGGTTGACAAAGCGTCACGTAGCTGGCAATTTATTTTATTAGGATGTTGAAACGACGTTAGACATCAGATAGGCACAGGATGGTAATATT